CAGTACGTATGCAGCCGTGGCAAAGACTGACCGTTGGAGAAAGCTACTCTACTTGACTCTCTCTTATTCTTTAACCGACACTGCCTGCTGTTACTATGAATAACTTACCCATATGACTTCACAGCTGATACGCCAGCCCCCGGGATACTGGTCCAGGCTGCCCACTACGCTATAGCAGACGGAGCAGCTCAATCTGACAAACTACAACCTTCTCTCACCAGCCAGGTCTCGTGACTAATCATGCAGCCATCAGCAAAATCGGCTACAGGCCTCCACAAGCGTGTGTCGTCGGTGTTCAATCCCGGCGGGCCAAAGATAGTCACTTTGCCACAGCTGCTGCTGCTTCTTGACTGATCGTATGGTTCAATGCGTTTACCGGTTGGCGTCTTTGCCCCAACATCACCTGCAGAAACCCCCCACCATCTGCAATGTCGGCTTTGGGCATCGGTGTCATTCTGCCCACTGGGCTGTCCGCAAGTTTTACAACCGGTCTGAAGGAACCGTAGAACTAGACATGCCACCAGTGAACTTGTGACCGACCGCAGAGTTGTTGAGCCGGCTCTTGCTCCCCACTCTCGGTACAGGATCTACTACAATCTTATTTTTCTGCCGCTATGTATTCTACAGTGGAACGACCCCAAGCGGAGGCGCAGTAGAAGTGTATTGAAGCTCACCGCAACTGGGTAGTTCCGTCCAAGTTGCTCGGCTTATTTACCAGACGTCTAACTTCTTTGGCGTGCATTGACCTGCAAGCCTATAGTGACGGCGAGCTACATGTGTTTCGAGCTAACGACACAATCATTTTGTCTCTCATTGAGGATAGCGGAATTTTATTTTCACGGACTAGTAGGTTGTCTCTGTAATAACGATATAGGATCCCCAAAAGATACATGCCGGCAGCTCGCTCTGCGCGGGTTATAATGCGACTTCGGATGATCTATCACAAAGTGGTAAATGCATAGGAAAAGCCACTAGTAGGTCTTGCGCGAATTTCAGGAGAAAGGCCGAATAGTATCCTCGTGTCACATACCTTACTGTACCCGTAGCTATCGCCGGTGGTTTGTAACGGCTCGGCTTCGATCTTTGCGGGGTATTGGACATGCGCGGCTTTCCGCTTGTTCTAAAAATCGAGCCCTTGGTGGAGCTCGCCGCCGTTGTACACACCGCCATGAATGGCTTGCGAAGTGAGGATCATGAGACTCCACGGCCCAGCGGTCATGACTGGACCCATCTGCACCCTGCAGCAACCCCGACCGTCACGCTGCAACTCCAACATAGTTCGCTCCCTCACTCGACATGACTGGGAAGAGCGAGTGCTCTAGCCCGCAGTGTTCTCTCGGTAGAATCAGGCACCTGCTTCATTGGTCTGATGCACGTCGCGTCGACTAGAATCTCCCTTCCAAGGATGTTTCTATGAGGTGCAAAGTTCCGCCGGGCCTTCCAGGGTACAGCGCAATGTATGCATGTTGCACCAGAAACCTCGCGCAGCAAAACAACCGCCGGCAACCAAGACTCCTCTGGAAGAATTTCATACGTATTGCACCGGTGCAGCCTGCACCAGCTACACTGACGCACACATCACTAAAGAGGATCGTGACTTGGTGGTCTCGTTCAGCGAATCGTATTGATGGCTGGATGTATCCACGGATTACATAAGTGACTTAGGGTCCCCAATAGGCAGGATGGGAGAGAAAAAGGAACGACGTATGCACCCCTCACGGGAAATGCAGTCGCCACAGTCGGTCTTCATTGGCCTCGTCACGACGCGGATTTTAGTCAGCCTCGACTACGCCGGCCCAATGAGGGACGCCTGCTCGACAGGTCGAAAAGTTCTTTGTGCCATAACGGACGCTCTCCTCAGCGCTAACGATCCAGCAGAATGGTTATAGTGGTTGTGAGCAGCCCCCGATGGTTCACCCAATTGAAAAGGTCTGCAAGCTAGCATCCTGACACCTCGGCGTCATTTGTCATGGGCGAGGCTATTACGCACTGGTGCACACCACAGATCCATCCGCTGGATGGCCTCCCCGGGATAGCAAGGGAGGCTTTACTGTGCTGCAGTACCACTTCTCGGACCCTGTCTAGCCTTCGTCTCCAGAAGCTGTGAAAATGTTCGAAGTGGGGGATCGATCGCAGGCGTCCTGGGCTACGCTCGAAATCTGCACACCTGGCACCATGGTTCTTCTAGCACGCGCGAGACAGACGCGAGCTAAAGAGCTTGCAGTAGCGGCTTGCAGGCCAGGCCGGTAAAAAGGCTCCCATTTGATCATTGCCCTCATTGGCAACGGCAGCCGGCGGTCCTTTGCGCTTCTACAAACTGCCCTATCGCAAGGAAACTTTTCTCGTTAGCCCATCAAGGACCCTGATCATCCGCATTGCAAAGTTATTGCCCACTGCCTTGACTGCAGCGCCTCCGAACGATGCCGATCTTGTCCAATCGTGGTCCAGTGAGCCAATGCCTTCTCGAAGAACGCATCCGATGAAGACATCGTGGCCGGTCCTATACCGGATGCATCGGGGCTGATCCTGGATTTACTCCTCATGGCCCCCCTCTTCAGTTTCTTGTTCCATACGAACGGCGATTCCTGCTTCGGTGCTCTGCGAACCCCAGTCCCCCGCCCATGTAGCATGTGGAAAACCCCCCAGTGAACCCCCATCCAATGATGCAATGGTGCCCAAGGGGAGGCTCTAGCCCCAATCGAAGACAGTTTTAGAATCATTTACGAAGAAACTGTCCTGGAGTAACTCATCCCGAACTTCTCCGTGGAGTGTGATCATCTCTCAGTCCCGTTGCCTGGAATTCTGCTGCTTGGCGCCTACCCACTTGCTCGTGGGATGCACCACCACCCGCTCCTGCGGACCTGTTATGTCCCGCAACACATGCGTTAGACCGTCGCTGCAGAGTGATAGGATCACCACATGCGTCACTGGCCTGTAATGACTCAGAGTATGCCCGCAATCCAGTGCACCTAGGCTCGCAGTGCTGGAGTCGTGTATCTCGCCTCTTCGGATAGATTTGGAACGTGCCTACCACCCGAAAACCTGGACAATACATGTAACCCGAGTGGCTGTACTGCCACGGCGTCAGTGAAGGCATTCGCAACAGAGCATTTCTATACGCCTAGTAGGCGCACGATCCGTCTTGGTTAGGTCTGGAGCTGAAGCTTTGGCTTAACTGAAATGATTGCCATCTGACTTGTACGAATGACGAGCATTGTATGTTTCATCCTATGGCCAACGCGTGTTTTGCGGCGCAGATATTTGTGTTCCTAATAGGGGCATATCTGTCACTCATTCATGCCGGAATGCCTGCCCAGAATATGTAACGAGGTCTGAAGTCAAGACAAGTAATGACGACTGCATCAAAAGGTCAGACAGCAAAAGTTGAGAGACTCAACCTCCGTATATCTAGCAGTGCCACACTCAGCCGTTTAAAAATTCACCTGTATTGATATGACATTAGGCCATGGATGAACTTAACCTTGACCATCTTGTAGCAATAATACAAGATGCCGGCGCACGACATGAATGAACTGCTTTCTTACCTGCCACAGCTCCCTGTAGAATTACCCGACGCCTTGATGCTGCCATTTTGCCAACGTGGACTAGGGAACGGTCAGTCATCATACAATGTCAGAATGACCTTGAAGCTCCGACATAGAGAGTTCCCCCGGACTGTTTTCTACCTTTCTCGCCTATATACAACACCTCGGAGGGGGCCAAGTTCCTGTTCGGGGCTATATATCAACGCCACCTTGGTTGGGTAGCAGACCAGAGAGACAACCAGATGTTGACATGTCTTAAATGCGAAGTGTCTCCTGGCGAGCACTTTGACGTACTTGACCACGACCGAACTGCTACTGAGAACATGTTGATTACGACGAGAGGAGTCAGAGATACCAGGTAGTCCCTCCTCTGAGATGATTCTCTTCCGAACGCGCCGCTCACCTTGGCACCAGCGATGCACTTCCCTCAAATATCGCAATGCTTTACATCCAATCATGGGAGGCTAGAAATGCCTGGGGCACGAATGGGATGATCAGACTCCGCGTAAGAAGTAGAGTCAGTGAGGAATCTTGATGCTCACGGGTCATTTCAATGGTACCTGGCGTGGTGAACCCCATGAAGCAGTCACTCGTGATGCGCTCACCCATCGTAGCCGGGGTGCGTGTGCAACGAAAGCACAGCTACCGACTGTAGAAGTCGAAATTTGTCAGTTGAAAAGCATATGCTCACAGGCATTCTTGTAGGATCATTGACATGAGCGCAGCAGCGCCCATGAAGTTATAGACAGCCTTGCTCACAAATGTGCGTCGTTACTACTTCACCCTGGATGACGAACAACTTGCCTGATTCACACTGGTTGACCGGCAGAATTTGGCAAAGAGTTCTCATATAGTATGCATACGCTGAAGTTTGTCCACGAAGCATCTGAGACATAGCGTTGATAGCGCCATCGTGTTGAGAGTCTCGTAGTTCCGGGTCTACTAGAACACCAGTCAAGGCATCACGAAATGAATATGGGATCGTCAGAAGTAGGATTATTATCCACGAAGTACCGGAGCCTGAAGCAGCCTATTCAGGGGGTATCGTCAACTCTATCTTGTGTAGAGAACCAATTATCGCAAATGCCGTGCGAAAGCAACCCTCCTGCTCCCCGCAGACTCCATCAAAGTGACAAACAACCTCAAACGCCAGACCATCGAGATCATCTCGACGTAAGTTTTCTACTCTCATCTTACTGTTACAGTCGACACTCGATTCCCTCCCATGATTCGCCTTCCAGGGACACCGGCTAGTTTTCTTTGCGGGAGCCACGACAGCCTCAAGGACATTGAGACACACGAAGCGGCTAGTTTAGATTACAGTTAGAGGCACGCCCAATGAGTTGATGAACACCTCAGCTCGGGACTGAGGTCTTGTCCGAATCACTGCGCACAGGAGGGACACCCGATTCTGGTGACACGCCCTAGCAAAGAGCACATACAGTAGCCACCTTCCTACAGTTTGCTGTACGGCACAATGGCGGCATCGATGGTGGGTGCCCGTCGGTGCATGACATCGGCTTCGGGTCCCCACTTGGCCTTCCAAGTGTTCTCCTGATCCAGTGCCTCATCAAAGGCCTTACGGCACTCGGGTGGGAGCAGGTCCTTGATGTCGTCGGACATGGCACTGAGTCCCTGGAAAGGCTCGAGGAACGAGGGAACATTGCGCTCGGATTGGTACGCGGCAGACTGGAGACCGATAGGAGGCGTCTCCATGACGGTGTCGATCACTCTGAAGTTACGGGGAATTTTGCGATCCAATGGCGGGAATATGCTGCTCTGAGAGGGCGATGACGAGTCGAAGACCGGCTCTATACGAGCATGGGTGGGCTGCATGGTGGTAGGGAATTGGAGGGTGTTGGTGTGGATGTCGTAGACACCAGCGTTGTTGAGACGGCGGATTGCACCGACCTCGGCATTGAATTGGCTGATAAAAATGATCAGTTAGGAATGCAACAGGCTCGTTATGGGTATGACTGAAACTTACGCAGCAGCACGCGCATGCTCGAGCTGCCAGTTGGAGTCGGTGACGGTGACACGGCGCTTCTTGACCTCGGGTTTGCCATTGGGAACAGGGACCGAGGGGCCGCCCGTGTGGTAAACAGCACTGGCACCATGCCAGGCGACGTATTGGTTCTTGTTGTACGGCTCGCCCGGGACGAACCTGTCGTTGGGGTCGGCGATCTCGCCCTCGACGGCACCCTCGGCCTTGCGCGCAAAGACATCATAGTCGTCGTTGATTCTGCGGCCTCCAACGACAATCAAGGCGCCGAACTCGCGGAAGACGGAGCGGGCCGTGACGATACCTATCGCACGGCCCTTGTAGGAGTGCGGAATGATCTCGCGCTCGATCATGTCGCGCTTCTCGTCATCGTTGACAATGATCTTGTAGAGGCGCTTGTGCTTGGTGAAGAAGAGGTATGAGTCTCGGAAACCAACGCATCGCGCAGGCTCTGTGGACAACATGTACAGCCTGTCGCCGCGGCCATCGACGGTGAAGGTTCGGCAACGGTACTCGCGACCGCCCTGGAGGTTGCCCAGCTTGTCGACCTTGGTCTCACCCTCGGGGTCCTCGGGCAGAGCCAGCTCGTCATCCACGATGTCGATCATGGTGCCGTCGGCGTCGATGGCCTGCTGGGTGGGCGCAAAGGACTGGCCCTTGCGGCCGCCCCGCCCTCGCCAGCCTCCGCGACCACGGCGGCGCGGGGTGTCGTTGGGATCGCGGCTGGGCGGCTCGATGGGCAGAGTGTCCCAGTCCGGTGGCCTGTTCTTGGGCGGCCGACCCAGGCGGCGCCTTCTGATGACGGGCTGCGGGGGCGGGGAGGGCGACTTGGGCTCATCAGGCTCAGAGTCCTGGTCGTCTTCCTTCTCGGGCTCGCCTGCCGAGTCGCCGTCTTCTCGCTCGTCGGCTTCGGGCTGAGGCTCTGCGTCTGAGGCGTCCATATCGACATCGGCCATGGTGTCGTCCTCGACTCCCTCGAATGCTCTCGGGGTGCTCTCTGGAAAGGGAATGCGGTTAGCACACGAGAGCTGCGGTGACGCGCTGCTGCGACGCACTGCGATGGGACTGGAAGCTATGGGATGCGACGCGGCACGATGCAAGGCGACGCGAAAGGACGACAGTCGCAAGGGAGAGACGGTATAGACGGTACGGTAGGTGTCTTCACGAGGTGAAGGTGGATGACCAGGACTCACCTAGCTTCTCGGCAGCGCGCTTCGCGGCTGCGCGGCCCGATCGACGGCCCATGTTGGGAATTTCGGCCTGGATCACACTGGTGCGAACGACGCGGCTCGAATCTGTCGACGATGGATGGTATGGGATGGGATGGGAAATGCGAAGTAGCTCGCGCGGCTGGCTGGGAGATGTGGGTATGCCAATTGGCAGCACGAGTTTACTTTCAGCTAGTCAGCGGTCGTCAAAAAGTCCCGTCGCGGTTCCAACAGCTGCACGTCCGCCTGCAGCTGCCAGCTGGTCGGCGGGCGGCGGGCGGCGGGCGGCGCGTCTTCAAATTCCCAAGAACCACAAGCTACACACCCCGTGAACCTGGGCCCTATGGCCGATGATGATTGGTATACGAGAAACATCTTGTACCTACCTCTGTAGGCATACATGCACTTGTAAGTCAGTGTCAAGAGGGCCAAACTGAGATTCACGGTATGGCCCGCACATTGCCTCATCGTCAATCTCACCAGTGAGACCTTGTGCGCCCGTGCAGCCTTCATAAAGTATGTACATGGGGGACTGAGGTACACCCCGTACGCCATGCTACTTGCAACTTGATGGACAGCTGCAGTCGCTCTTCAGCCCGAAGGTTGCCACTATTCTGCCTGCATGGTTTGTGGTGCTGTGTCGATGTACATAGATATGCCCTGATGAAGTCATCACTTGCCCCCATTCCCAGCCTCCAATCGAGACATTCGATCTCAACGGCACGGCATGGCCCCATCGACCACCCTAGGCCTCAGCCCTGTGCAAAATGACAATGCAGTAGTGCTGTTACGTGGGGGTCTGGGGCTTCTCAACATGCAGCGTTATACACCGGTTGACTAAACTAGATACAGCTGGTCATGTGTTAGTTGATCATGCGTTCTATAGTATATGATGCTGAGATGCATCCACATCCATCTTCCCTCTGGCAAAGGAACGACTTGTACTGTGGTCCCAGAAATATAGCCCGCGCGGATATGACTATGAGAAGCGTGGGCAGAGTTGTCCTGACGGGGCACCACGTACCATTGGAAAGCAGCTCGGTGGAGATTGGAGCCCGCCGTCGGGCTGGCGAGGAGTTGCTTTTGTCCTCCCGACTCCGACCCTCGTGGACGAAAGGAAACATTGCACTCCGACATATTCCGGATACGAAGATCCGAGCTAAGTCATGGCTGCCCAGCCTAGGCTGAGCCCCAGCAGCCCTCCCGTGCCACGTGCCGTAGCTTGTTTCACCGACGCGATGATAGCAATCGCTGTTCAACTATATAACACAACATCACTAACAAAACTTTCTCTCGCTGGGGCGACCAACGCACGCGACAGGGAGTGTCAGCGGCAAACAACATCGGCAGTATCCAGCGCCCCTTCAGTATCATGAAGCCTTAACAACTAAAAGCAGGGCCCGAAAAGCTGGGCGTGTGGTACTATACGCGTGTTACTGCGAGTGTTTCGAACCTTGACAGCCACTTCTGGCAGGCGACAGGTAGATGACTGCCGCCAATTGACGCCATTCTCAATGTTTCTATACCCTTCCGTGATGGCCACAGCTGCGTGCAGTCTGGGGTCTGGCAGCCTCTCACTTGATCTCCAAACCATTCGCGATGCGCTTTGTAGCTATACATTCAAGTTCGTTTGGTAAGGTTCATGAAATGTCCTGGCCCATGATTCAGATCCAAGAGCCACTGAGCGAAACGATTGCCGAAAGAGTGACCTTGGCGTCCCGGTACAGTGGTTCATAGGTATCCTATGTCTCGGTGCCTCTTTTTCTCCTGGTCTCCTCCAACATTCTCGGTTGAGCACCGAGCTTGTACTTCCACCGTGGGCCACACATTTACGCTCTGTTATCTTGAGAACTGCCTTCGATGGTCGATACAGAACTCAAGAAACCAAGCCTACCTTGAATCGGTGCCGCTGCTCTGACTACCTCACGATGCCAATTGCAATACACCTCAACAAGGCGTTTTAGTAGGATGGCTTCACCTGAGTTGGGTAACTTAGGGAGCTAAGCATGTGCTTCAGCCTGCAGAAGAGCCAGCTCCGATGCTATGCATGATCTGGAGCTGGCGGTCGGCAGTTGTTGCTGTTTCCAGACTATCAATGGTCTGAAAATAGAGACTGGTTGCCTAACTCAAAAACGAAGAGAGTACATTTTGTTTCATATGGATACGCGGGTGTCAAACGACCTCCCAGTGGTATAATTGTACACGACATAGTTCGATCCCATGACCGAGGTCTTTTTCTTCACAAACGAGATTTCGATTTGGCGAATCCTTTCGCGTGAGCGAGACGCAGACGTACTGGAGAACCGGACACAGCGAAGAGTTGGTTGCAGCGTGTGGTATAGAGGACAGTCGACTTCGCTGCACCCTGTTTCTTAATATGTCTGCGTGGCGACGAGTGGTTGAAAACAGCTGGGAAGTATGCTGTCTTATTGCTCCTGTGTCCAGTTCAGTGCCTTCTTTCTTCTCCCACACTATCTTTTTAGTAATGCGAACTTTAGCAAAGCTGCGTGATAGATTTCATAAAAGGAATCTACGCGAAAAATTCAATAAAAGTACTTGGCTCAATTCATTTCTATCCCATACAATCGAATCAATCCGTCGGTTTATTAATATGATTGGTAGTAAACCACGCGGGCAATGCCACATTGACAATACCTGTCAAAGCTCTATACCCAGAGATGGGTAAAATTGCGTGAAGGAGGGCAGATCGAGAAGCTGCTGACTGAGCTGTAAAGTATTTACGCTGTACCTTTGAGAGGTGTGCCTACAATCTTTCTTCTCTTAGTTTCAAGCATGTCCGTTTGAGATGGAGTCCGAATTGCGAGTCCAGCCCATTGATTGCTTCTTCTACCTACAGCGTCTTTCCAACCCCCGACCCGGGTGCTGACACAGAATTCAACCTGAGTGGTTGGCATAAGTGAGACGCCAGGGCCCAGCTAATTGATTCCGTTCCTGTGGTTCACGGGGAATGCTGTTTCAATCCACCCAGGCCACCTGCTGCATATGCCACAAAGCTTAACAGCGGTGCCATCATTCAGACCCTGTTATCGACCTCATAGCATGCAATTGCCACTACTATCATGGCAATGTCAAAGTCCATCTCCTATGCCTCAACCATCAGACTGACCCCCAACATCATTTCCCACCACTCGACCTTACCCAAGTTATCTCGATCAGCCCCTGATTAGTTTACTTTGAGACAGTGTCTCTTATGCCAGATCGATGACATCTAAGATGATGGCCAGCATTTGTATCCATATGTTGCACACCAGCCAGCTGTCGAGCGCTTGCCGATATCCGAGAACTAGCCCTGTACTGACGGAAAACGCTCCTCTTGTGGGTCGATTAGAAGCACAGATCACCGCAAGTTGTAAGGCCTAGACACCTGTTTATAGTATTTACAAGCCTTACTGCCCAAATATATTACACAGCATCAAGTAAATGGCACTTTAAAGTCAAGTAACGCACTGCCTGCATTAGTATTGCAAGTCGCAAGACGGCCAGCGTCGAACAGAGGGCAATTGCGTGATGAGCGCAGCTGTCGCATGTCGCGGCGCCCCTGGTCAAGTTTGCTGCGTAAGACCGCAACAGCTCTATAAGATGTTGGAGCAAATGATGCACATCAACAGCGAGTTGCAGCCAGTGATGGAGAGTTTCTTTTGCCTGCTTTTGAGCCAACAAGAGTGCGCCGCAGGTAGCTGAGAGATATTTTGGGACATGCTGGGCAACCCGCAGGTTCAGCAACTGCGAGATATCAAGGCATGCATGGTTCAGTAAATCCAAACCAACTTATCGTGACCGCCCCCGTGTCTCATGCTACTCCCAACATCGCTCAATTGTATCTGAAATCTGTGAATCCGGACCAGATGCCTTGATTTTTGGAGACCCCCTTGAACTGTATTTCAGCCTCGTTCCCAAACTCCTGGGAATTCTTCGGTCTGGAGGGCTCGAGAACCAAACCTGCATTGGGAAATGTGGAAATTACTTCAATCATGCATCTCCTTATGGCACAGGAGTAGCCACAACCGGTTGTGGTGATCGAATTGTCAAGTAAGGTGGCAGGAGGGTGAAGCGATCCGTGAAATCGGGTTGAAATCGGGTTAAATAGAACGAACACCCCCTCAACTGAGCAGGTTGAGATTATTGTCTTAAGCATGTTTTTTCCCGAAAACCCTGGTTCAAGATGGCTAGGCTTACACTCATTTCGGTCATTGGCCTTCTCGCCTCAGTCCCTTGGGCTCACGCTCGTTTTGACAGCACTCTTCAGACTAACCTTGCCGTGTATTGGGGCCAGAACTCCTATGGCACGGTGAACTCCCAACAGCGTCTGTCTGCATATTGTTCAAGTACGTCGATACTCAGGATGCACACGATCATCGACATTGATATCTTTCTAACAACGAATACAGTGACGCAGATCAATATTATTCCAATTGCATACATGAACGGTATCAACACGCCTTCAATCAATCTAACCACGTCGAATAACAACTGTAGCGCGTACACGGGATCGCAGCTCCTTGACTGCGCACAGCTTGAGTATGCTTCCAAGTCCCTGCCACTCCAGGCAGTCAGGATGCTAAACGATTGATAGGAATGATATCAAGATTTGCCAGAAGACATACGGCAAAACAGTCATGCTCACGCTGGGTGGCACCACGTTTAACGAAGTCGGTTTCGAATCTGTTGCGAAAGCTGAGGAGGCTGCTGTGCGGGTCTGGCAGCTATTCGGTCCTGCTATCGCCACAGAAAACCGGCCCTTCCGCACTGCCGTCATCGATGGTTTCAACTTTGACTTCAAAAGCTCCGCGACCAACATTGTCGCCTTCGCAGCGAAGCTGCGGGCGATCACGGACAACAATTTCTCGTTGCCCTGGCTCAGTGGCGGCTCCAACGCGCAGAAGAAGACATACCTGGCTGCCTCGCCTTCATGCTCCTTTCCAAACCCGTCAATGAACGATATCCTGGCCAATGTCTACCTAGACATGGTTTTCGTGCAGTTTTATGACAGCAGCTGTGGCGCCAACACGTTCCTCTCCAACTTCGCCAGCTCTTCACAGCCCCAGATCCAGCCTAACTTCAACTTGAGGACCTGGAATACTTGGGCCACCTCCCTGTCCGTGAATAAGGACGTCAAGATCTTTGTTGGATTGCCAGCCGGTGTTGCTGCGGCCAATTCTGGATACGTCTATGGGGACCAACTGTGCGCAATCATTACGTTTGCTAAGACGTTTAGCAACTTCGGTGGTGTTGTTCTATGGGATATGAGTCAGCTGGTCGTCAATGTTGGCTTCTTGGAAACCATTTGGATTTGCATTACCAAGCCTCGCAAATCTCCCACATCAACGATCTCGATCTCGTCAACTCGAAGCGCCTCGAGTATTGGAACAGCAGAGGCATCGTCGACTTCGCTTCGATTGACTTCATCCGAGACTACTTCGTCCCCGCGGAGCACCACTCCCATCCCGTCTTCGCTCGTTACCTCTCTTTCTTCTTCGTTTGAAACTGTAACACGGTCTACGTCTTCTTCTCAAGAACGGCCTTCTTCATCCGAAGGCCGTTCTTCTAATCTTATTTCGGACGTGCTCTCGACGGAAAGTTCCTCCGTTTCCACGACGTCTTTGCCTCAGGCTTCTAGTAAAGGATCCTCAACTGAAACGATCTCACCAAGGACAGAGCCTCAAACATCGCGATCTTCCACGGAAACAATGTCACCAATATCTAGCGGGCCCTCTTCTACAGGATCTGTTTCACCAAATGCACCGGGTTCGACCACCTCCAAAACGACTTCCACAAGCGAGCAAGGCTCTCTTACACTGCCTACTTCCCTTTCTACTGAGTCAGTTTTGTCCTCTTCAGCCGTTCCATCCACAGAACCAGCCTCATCCTCCAGAGCGAACACGTCTTCCAGTAAGACCACCAGTGCTACCGAAACATCTGTATCAAATATTGAGTCCATCACAACTAGGACGCCGGGATCGATATCTCAGTCAAGCAGCACCTCTAGATTCGAGACTACCCCTACGACACCGCTATCAAACATATCGACTGTTTTGTCAAGTACAGCATCTACCTCCGTAGCGCCTCCTTCCTCATCAAGTGCTACCTCACATTCGGAATCAAGCACGGCCAGTGTAGAAGCCATCACGATTACCACGTCGATCTCGCTTTCCACTAGCGGTAGTAGTACATTGACTTCCTTATCGCTGTCCACCTCGACCTTGCAGCCAAGCGGCTCCACCAAACCTCTCACTTCGACTGGGAGCCTCGAGCCAGCATCAACAACGTCCACGATATCTGTGGGCTCTAGTGTTGAATCATCCACATCGAAGTCCACGTCCTTGACAACTAGCCCCAATGCATCCTCGACGGGAAATACTTCTAATGGTGAGGGAACGGGCTCACATACCTCCTCCACAGCCCCCAACAGCACTGGCGCTGGCTCGTCAACTTCATCTGTTGCTCCGCTTACGACAGCCACGGGTTCATCCAGTGTGATACTGAACCCGAATACTGCAACCACCAAGTCATCAGATTCATCCTCAGGATCACTGTTACCAACATCCATTGGTTCAGAGTCAACAACATCTCGCGGAGGGCCAAGCCCGTCAACCTCAGGCACCAGCTCGCCTTTGGCGGTTTCAACGAACTCACCGTCGCCAAGCTCGTCAAATGAAAGTTCAGCTACTAAGTCGTCAACGTCGGATTCAATAGCCATTTCTGTCTCGACTTCCTTGTCTACTAGCGGGAGTAGCACAGTCACACTCCTGATGACTAGCACGACGTCGAAGCTCTCCACGAGTCTTGCGTCGAGCACCGTGAGCGTGGAGCCTCTGACGGCCACTACCAAAACGGAGTCGACATCAGCATCAAGTGGTGGCAGTAGCACGGTTGCTTTACCTACAACACAATCGGCTACTACTGGAACTAGTACCTCACACACGGATCGTGATACTTCCACCACTGGGTCATCTGCTCAGACCTCTAGTCCTCCGGCTCCCTCATCTTCGGCTAGCAGCACATCGAGGACTGGGCCTGGAACTGCCAGCACTGGCTCGATCTCCACTTCACTCTCGACCAGCGGTACTAGTACCTTGACATCGTTGTCGACTTCAACGTCGGAGGCTGCAACGTCGAGCTTAGCATCCGCTACTACCAACTCTGCAGACCCATCCACAAAGGCATCGAGCCTAGCGTCAACAACAATGACTTCCAGCAATACAGGTACCTCTGCCACATCAAGATCAAGCGAAACCAATTCAGCGGTCTCAAGCATTCTGTCCACAAGTGGCACCAGCACATCAAGGGCATCAAGTACAGCAGGGACCAGTACCAATGGGATTGATCCTACTATAGCAGGTTCGTCCTCGGCAACCACTACTAGGACCGGCACATCAGCCTCTTCAAGTACGATTGGAACCAGTGTGAACGGCGTTGACCCTACCCTTTCCGTATCCACCTCGCTGTCGGCCAGTGGGACAAGCACATCTACCTCGTTGAGTACGCGAGGAACAAGCACGAATAACACTCCACCGAGCTCGCTATCCACCACTTCTGCAGGGACCTCAACGTCAATTTCGCCCTCAACGGTACCCGGGACATCATCTGCTTCATCTTCCAATGCTCAGTCAGCGACCAGTGTGACCTCTGCTTCAGGGGTAACAAGCTCATTGACCTCCCCGAGGAGTACATCTCCCTCTACAACAGCTACTGAGGCCTCTAATTCATTGGCATCATCTGCATCTGGTAGTGCTTCGTCCCTCACGCCAAGTTCAGTTGTGTCGTCATCTGCCACCATTCTACCGCTGACTTCATCCCTTACATCTTCTACTCGGGAAACGACAACCGCTGGAACTTCATCTTCGTCTTTGCCTACTGTATTAACCGGGTCTTCGAGCATTAGCACAAATTCACTCTCCACTACAGCGGGTTCGGCGTCGGGGACAGGTCTCTCATCCACTCTCACATCATCCAGAAGTACCAGCTCACCATCGTCCGCACTGCCCAGTACACCGACGACAGCGGTCTTGTCTACGCCTTCGTCTAGTAACACTGCAAGTCCAGAGACGACTTCACGGTTATCAACGACCTTGCTAAGTTCTGGATCGTCACTGTCCGCATCTCCATCTACTCTATCCTCACCAACTACGAGCTTGAGCGCAACGAGCACGCCAGACAACCTGAGTTCTGGATCAAACACTGCTTCGACCAGTGGTGCGTCAGCTACAGTCTCTGCATCAGCGTCGAGTACAAGAGCAGCATCAGCTACTACGTCGGCAACATCTATAGCCTCAACTATGTCCTCTTCAGGATCGAGTACATCCGCCCCTTCCACGCTTCTTGGTAGTACGAGTTCCACTTTGACTTCAAGCATATCGAGTAATTCAGCTGTTAGCTCACAATCAACATCAGCTACATCAAGTAACTCTAGAGACCCAACCCTCAATTCGGGATCAGCTACTTCAAGTAACTCGAGAGACCCAACACTCAATTCGGGATCAGCTACTTCAAGTAACTCGAGAGACCCAACACTCAATTCTGGATCAGCAGCTTCAACGTCTGCAGCCTCATTATCTTCGACATCATCAACTACACTCCCCTCTGGAACAACTTCAATTCTATCTTCACCTGGTCTTAGCACCACCGCCAGTTTGACATCTACACCAATTATGACTTCCACGGGAGGAACGTCAGGCACAGTCTCCACGTCGGTTTCCACTGCAGAATCTGGTAGCGCTTCTCCTTCCTTATCTACATCGGTTTCTACTTCAGGGTCTGGTTCCCCATCTACTTCAGCTTCGGCTCCAGGATCTGGCAGTGCTTCGCCTTCCTCATCCACGTCGATTTCCACTTCAGGATCTGGTAGCGCCTCTCCTTCCTCGTCCACTTCAGCTTCGGCTTCAGGATCTGGTAGCGCCTCTCCTTCCATATCCACATCGGTCTCTACTTCAGGAGCTGGTAGTGTCTCTCCTTCCTTATCCACTTCGATTTCTTCTTCTGGACCAAGTACCGCATCTACTTCCTTGCCTATGTCGATCTCCACTTCAGGATCTGGTAGCGCTTCGCCTTCCTTATCTACATCGGTTTCTACTTCAGGATCTGGTACTGCCTCTCCTTCCCTATCTACTTCAGCTTCGGCTTCAGGATCTGGCAGTGCTTCGCCTTCCTCATCCACGTCGGTTCCCACTTCAGCATCTGGTACCGCCTCTCCTTCTATATCGACATCGAGTCCAGCCACGGTGGGGACGGCATCTTCAAGTACAAGCAGATCTTTGAGCACTTCGCCTACACTTACATCTATTTCATCAGAAGAAGCGACCGCAACCCGTGCTACATCGACGAATAGCGTCTCACCTTCATCGCTGCCCGCATCTGGATCGTCATCAACGAGACCAACCTCAGCTGAAACAGAGAGCACGCGGACGTCAAGCACCTTGGCAGACACTACCACAGGTACTTCACGCTCTACGACAGCAGGGACACAGTCTAGCACCGGAACCTCCCGGTCATCGGTCGATCCAGTTATTGATAGCACAAGTGAAACTTCTAGCCTATCGACAAGCAGGCCCGCCGAGTCCAGTAGCCAAAGTGTCGACTCGCACACGACACCGTCGGCAACAACAACAACAGGCTCACAGAGCGTACTTACAGTTACGGTTACGACATCAGTCACACCGACATCATGCATTGTCACGTCGCTGGTTTCGACGACAGTCACGGTGTTTGCCACACAGACCCTCACCCAGGCCGCAGCAACAGCCACAATTGTGCCGCATTTTGGACAGTAAGTTATAAATCTTTGCCATAACGTGTTGACACGAACTGACATTTAACCGCGCAGGTGTGGTGGGGCCTTCTATTTTGGACCCAAAATTTGCGAGGCGCCGTATCAGTGTGTATATGAGTCGTACTACGTATCCTATTGTCGGTAGGTGCAAGAGCGCCAATGAAGCATATATGGTGAAAGTGTTGCAGGAAAACACGATTTGGTTCAAAGGGAGTTGGGCGAACAATCTATTATTAGCTTGGAAGAAGCATCATTAAGCCATTCATTCAGATGGTTGTATAAGAATATACCCGAGGGCTTATCAGAGCCCCCAGCGATTACCATCCTGCAAAATTTGTGTAGAGATCTACAAGAATGGAAAAAGGAGTCATATGACACTGAGTTCTAGCGAAATGAAGACCCATCCCGGTGGCCAAGCGTGATGACTACGTCTGGTTGAGCGCAAAGGGCCGCGTCGTGATGTGAAGCTTGCAGTTGAATAATAAACTCCGGAAAGATTTTTTAGTAGATGCATTTTACTTCATATTCTAACAGTATTCTATTCTATCATGATGAGATCACTTAATATGGCTTCACTCCGGCGAGTTGCAGCATCTTCTCCGTAACTACAGGCTTCTCAAACGGCTCTGTTCTATACTTGGGGCAGATCTCGCCGTCCCTCATGGGCTTCTCCTTTGTGACACGAACGTTGCTATACCATCGTTAGAAAGCTGCAACAGGACCCCATAGCTGAAAGGTGACGAATATGGACGACTTACCAATGGGGCCAGTGTGTAGTACCCATGTAGTTCTCGAAGCAGTACTTCTTCGCCTCCAGAGCCTCTGGCTCGGCAAACTTCCGTGGCGTCATACAAATGTACTGGACGTGGCGAATCTGGTCGCCTTCAGGGAAGCAGGCGTCTGCCATGTATCAGCCAGTTATCGTGCGCATCATGCTATACTTCGCACTCACAATGCATGGTTCTCGAGTCCCAGAGCACAAAGTCACCGGGTTCCATGTTAACCTTGACGAGCTCGCAGCCGCGCGATTCAAACCAGGCAACGTCCTTCTTGCTGAATAAGAAGAGATCCATAAACTCGAGCTCCGGGGGTGGTGCGTCCTCGTGGTCGGCAGAGTCACGCTTCTGGGAGAAGAACTCGTCACTGTGGCAGGGATGTCAGTAGAATGCTCAAGGCTATTCGTCGGCGTAGGCGCCTTACAAGAGCTTGGCAGATCCCTTCATGAGCATGAGACCACCGTCTTTGGGTCCATTGGGAGCATAGTTGAGAAGACCCTGAACCGCCTGCATACTATATCAGAGGTCAGCATGTACTTTGTGGTTAGGGCTTTGATCGGCTTTGGTCTCACCCTTTGCGGCGGGGGTTCTGATCACAGTGAGGCCAGGGGCTCCATGTGATATCCTTGCGGTTGGGCATGGAGATGTTCATGCCGTCAAAAGATGTAATCAACTCCTTGGTGTCCCAAAGCTTCTCGAAGATCTCGACGACTGTGGGCTCGGTGCGGGCCTCCCAAGCCATCTTCTCGTGGGTCGAACCGTAGGCGAAGTACATGCTAGTTGAGACCATGAGTAAAGCGAAGGGGAGGAAAAACGTTGCTGTTGATCTTTATCATAACTTACCCGCCTTTGAAGCTCACTGGCAGCTTGTCAGCCGTCCATGTGCTAGGGTCCTTCTCGTCAAAGCCCAGGTCGAAGTTCTTGAGCCACTGGATCTGCTTGTCGCAGTAGTATTGCGCACGCTCGGGGCTGATGACATTCTTGATCACGACACAGCCGTTCTTGTGGAACTCGTCGCGCCAATCGCCGTAGACAGCATTCTCGTCAAAGGTGACCAGGTCTTTAGTCTCGAACTTGGCAGCAAAAGTCTGCTGCTGTTCCGTCTTGAAGGCGTGGGTAGTAGTGGTTGTGGTGGTCGACATGGTTTCTTCAGCTCTTCACAAGTCTTGCTTGCTGTAGTCTAGTGAACTGAGATTGGCTTGGAGAAGTTGAACAGCAAAAGCGTCTTGTGTCTCCGATGTTTTATCTTCGGATGCTTCAAATACTACAGTGCCCGCGACTGTCGAAGGAGGCATGTGCCGGCGGGGCTACTGAACCGAAGCATGGCGAGGATGCGACCCGGAACAGGCATCTCGGAATCCGCTTCGGAGCGCGTGCCGCAGCAGACGCTGCCCCTGACTGCATACCATGGCATTCGGGGATGTTGAGGGAAGTGGAGGCTAGTGGGGGCACTTACAAGACTACCCCGGAATGCTACTCCCACAGCGGCTAGGCGGGTCCCCGTTACCCCAAGTTCTGGCCTGCGTGGCCCCGGTTCCCCGCAGTGTCCCCTGAGCTTGTGGGCCAATCAGGGGCACATGATGCCCCAGATAGGGGAAGCCGGGCGACGCGGCTGACCTCCAACTCCAGACTCGGTTCGGTTCGGCCAGCGACACTGCACAGGAGCAGCCTCGGAGTGCGATGAAGCGCATAGTCGCCGGTTCGGTTCAGCACATCGGGCTACGGACCTTCTCCCCATTTCTCCAATTCGCGGGGGGCTTCGCGGGGTGCAGTCGCGTTTCGGGGGGCGTCTATAACTTTTGCGACAAATTGACAGGTGCTTTTTTCTCTTGTGATCATGGACTTGTCGTTAAGAACGCCGCCAATTCCTTGTCAATTGTGCTGTCTGGTTACTGAGGAAGTCGCTATTCTATCCAGTCCCGTACACATTATAGTGCCAGCAGCAGCAATACCGAAACCATGCCCAACCCCGTCCAAGTCGCCACACGAAGAATCGAGGTGCCCAAGCTGGGCGAGAATGGCTATGTCGGCTTCACGCCTGGCAAGTCAGAGGTTCTCAAGGCGGGTTCTAATCCATTCGACGCGAAACCTTTGAAGAGCGACATCCAAATCGACCACGACGTCGAGGTCGTCGTACGAGACGGTGCCCGCCTCTACATTGACGTCTACCGCCCCGCCGGCAGCACAGAAAAAGTCCCTGCAGTCCTCAGCTGGTCCTTTTACGGCAAGAAGTACAGTGCATTGGACATGCTGCCCATCTGCGTGTGGAACTGCTGCGTCCCGCGATCTGACCTCAGCGGTCTAGAGAAGTTCGAGGGCTTGGACCCGGAGTACTGGTGTCCCAAGGGTTATGCCATTGTCAGCGTTGATACTCGCGGTGCTGGCCACAGTGATGGCCAAATCTGCGTCATGGGATCACAAGATGCTGAAGACGGCTACGATGTAATCGAAGCCGTGGCTAAGATGGACTGGTGTAACGGCTCTGTGGGAATGGCAGGCAATTCCGCCCTGGCCATCTCGCAGTGGTTCATCGCCGCACAGCAGCCACCGTCGCTCAAGGCCATCGCACCTTGGGAGGGCATGGGCGACATGTACCGCGAGCAATTCTGCCGCGGCGGCTGGTTCTCCATGAGCAACTTCGATCTTATTGCCAAGGCCATCGTCCGTGGCCAACCCAACTCGGGGCTCGAAGACTTTGCTGAGATGTACCGGAGGAGCCCAACGCAGAACGATTACTGGAAGGACAAGAGAGTAGATATGACAAAGATCAAGTGCGCTGCATATATCCGCGGCTCGGACGTCAGCAGCATTCACACCATGGGATGCATCCGAGCGTGGTTGGAGATTCCGCACGACAACAAGTGGATTCATTGGAGTAGCAAGCAGGAGTGGTATGAGTTGTACTGCATCCCTCATGCCATGGACGAGCTATCAGTCTTCTTTGACCGTTATCTGAGAGACGTTCAGAATGACTGGGAGAAGAAGACACCCAAAGTCCGTTGGTCAGCACTACAGTTCGGCAACCGAGAGCCAATTGACGACATCGTCTTGGAGGGCTTCCCCGTTCCGGACACTGACTATCGCGAGCTTCTTCTGCAACCTGACGGCAAGCTCGGCTCGGAGAAGGCAGCTTCAGCCGGAAGCGTCTCATACAACTCAGAGGACCACAAGAGCTTTGCAGACTTTACATACACTTTCACTGAGCCAGCTCGGCTCATCGGTCTGCCAAAGGCCGTTCTATACGTGTCCTGTGACAGCCGAGATGACTTCACTGTCTTCACCATCCTAAGAAAGAAGGATAAGGATGGCAAAGATTTGATGCATCTCAACTTCCCCATGAAGGCTACACCCGTGAACTCGATCGAAGAAATTCCGGAGAAGGACCAAGCAAGTCTTAACCTCCACCTCGGATCCATGGGTATACTCCGGGCATCGCAGCGGGCGATCGACGAATCCAAGAGCATTCACCCTCAGTTCCCGTTCCACCCCCACGAGAAGCAGGAGAAGATCGAGCCCGGCACTGTTGTCAAACTAGAGATCGGCATCTGGGCTATGGGTGTTGATTTTGACGCAGGCGAGAGTATCAGCCTTAGAGTAAGCCACAAAGAAGTTCTCCCTAGCTGAACAATTTGCTAACTAGTACAACCAGATTGGTGGCCAATTCCCAAGTATCGCGGAATACAAAAGCTTTTCCCAGCCGAGGCCGGAACACGAGCTTAACCGGGGTAGTCACACTGTCCACTTCGGTGGCGACTACCCCAGCTCTGTAATCTTGCCCTTCACTCCACTGAAGCGGTGATGATCTCGTAAACTGTGCCATATAATTTAATATAGAACTTAGCAAATATGATGCAATCAAACACCAAGAAATCGTTAAATATCTCAGAAAGAATTGAGACTCCCGGAGCGACTATGCACTGTCTCTTGCCTGCCTCTGAATGAACCATATCGAACTCTACGGCAGTTGTGTAGTCAAGCTGGTTGCACGTCACTGAAATCAATCCAGAAACACAAGCGAACCGCTGTGACCAATTGAAACGACTATAGACTCAGCCAAGACCGGGAAATAGCTCGCTAATGCGCATAACAAAGACCGGAATGCGACAAGGCTTGGACTGCCGGCTCCAGACCCTCGTCTTTCACCTGTTTATGCTTTTCCGAAGACAGTAAGATGCCGAAAAGGGCCATCCAGTTGCGAAGCTGAACTATACTGTCTGTGCCAAGTATCAGGGAGACTTATAACAAAGTTGTAAGTCTAGATGCCTCAGATCTCTCGCGTGGCGTTACAGTTCCTTGCCATAGCTTTGTGAAATAATTATGTTGAGAGCGGCTCGGAGCACCGAGTTCTTGACTCGGTTCGTCCTATGCTCCCAAGCACAACCCATACCCACTAATCTAGGCCGCCCAGGCTACCCAAGCCCGATAAGCCAGCATGACAATTGGAAGACAACCACTGGTCACACACTCGGCCCCTCCCCCACAATGGTCTTGGTTTCGCCCTATTGCTGCGGAGATAACTGCCCAGAGGTTGCTAGTCTTCAGTTAGCCAACTTAGCAGAATCTGGGGTTCAGCTGGGGTAGAACGCGGGGTACCACGTACCAAATGTGAGCCGAAACAGGGGGCTAGCGAGCATTGTCTACCGGTCCCACAAGTTCGGGTCGGTTTGACCAGCGTGTATATCATGGGCCGCCGATCACCCTGGAATCAGGAATATGCTCCTCCATCATTGTCTCAATTGCCAGAGTCTCATCTCATCTCGTGGAATACAGTCATGGAGGACCACAAGTCGTTGCCGTCGCATGTTGAACATGTCGATATTGAAAACGCAAAAGGCCATGAGATCGCCAAGGAAGACGTCGCGGTCATGGGCACCGTCAAGTTGACTGATGGCCAAATCGTGTATATCCCTACACCAACAGCCGATCCCCAGGGTAATTTGTTCTCTACACAAATCATCTTGTCTCGGCACCGCTGACCAATGATACAGATCCGTTGAACATGCCGACATGGCAGAAGACGATGGTCATTATCGTGATCTCAATCTGTGAGTGGGATGCGATTATATAGCAATAAATTATGGGCTGTTGCTAACTATATAATTATTACAGTCTCTTGTCTCGGCCTTTCACTTGTTTCGGGCTTTGGTGGTCTTCTGGGTTTCTACATCCCGGAGTATGCAGCAGCCGGCAAAGGCTACGCTGACATTACGCACATGATGACTTACCCGACACTCTTCATGTAAGAATCCCGAAGCCCTATGCACAGTTCAAAGTAGTGGAAAGATTAGTCACTGACAGATTTGAATTTTCCAGGGGTATCGGTAACTTGATCGGAATGCCCATCGCTTACGCTGTCGGTCGTCGCGTCGTTTTACTCGTTTCCACAGTCATCATGATAGTCGGTGCGATTCTCTGCGCATATGCCAAGAACTATGAATGGCATCTTGCCGCTAGAATGGTCATTGGACTCTCGGCTGGACAGAGCGAAGCCCTAGTGCCCATGATCACACAGGTACGTGCAAAAGTTGGAGCATATGGCAATTTGCAAACAGGAAAGGCGCGTTATCTGACTATACGCTGTACTTCTGCAGGAAATCTTCTTCCTTCACGAGCGTAGCAAGGGTCTCATGATCCAACAGACCGTCCAAGTCATCCTGACGGCAGTATGGACCGTTTTTGCTAGTCCCATCGCCGCTGCCATCACACCCCAGTGGTGGTATGGACTCGGGGCCGTCCTCTCCGGTGTACAACTCATTCTCGCATTCTTCTTCGTTCCCGAGACGAAGTACTACAGGCCCCTGTCCTCCTTCCAGGAGTCCGATTCGGCGAGTGACAAGGACGGAGAGCCCATTACCAGGGTCTGCACCACGCGCCCGGAATTGGACAATGTCAACTTCCTCCCGCGCACCCTGCGAACTGATCTTCGTCTCTGGGTCGGCGAACCGGAGTGGAAGAAGGGGTGGCAGACTTTCGTGCAGGCATTCGAGCTGCTATTCTTCCCCAATGTACTCTGGGCGTTGTGCCTGAATGGACTGACCCTCGGAGTCAACATCGCCATCGGTACTACCTATGGATCTATCATCACCCACGCGCCGTACAACTGGCCCGATTCGTCCGCCAGTTATGTGAACTGTGGCCAAATCATCACCGCGCTGGTTGCTCTGCCCTTCTTCGGACATGGGTCTGACCGCCTGATTCGATGGTTTGCCGACCGCCGCAACGGTCTACACGAGCCTGAGACTCGAATCATCCCCCTGGTCCTACCTATCATTGTCGGTGTGATCACAGCCGTCCTCTACGGCCAGGGTGCCACGCACCCCGAGAGCTACCATTGGTTCACCTACGTATGGGCTGTGGCTGCGTACTACTTTGCCTTCGTCGGTGCTAACATTGTGGCGATCACTTATTTGCTAGACAGCTACCCGGCACGCGCGGGCCCGCTTCTGATCATTATCTGCGCCTTCCGAGGCATCATTTCCTTTGGCGTCAGCTATGGTATCAGCCCATTCATTGAGCAAAATGGGTACGACGGTGCCTTTAATGCTTTTGGAGGACTGACTGGTGGGCTTGGCGCGCTAGGCATTTTTGTTTATATTTTTGGCAAGCGTATCCGCCAGTTCACAGGAAGGTTCTCAAAGGATAAGTCGGAGTAGGAATAGGCATTTCGTTATTTGCTGTCGTTATTTGCTGTGAACTGCTGACCTCAATCTGAAGGAAGGCGCCCATAGGACCAGCTACTGTAGCGGAATGATTTTTCTTGCTGGTTCGTAATGGGAAGCCTCAAAGGTTATAAAGAGGGGTCCCGCGACGTGGAAATGGAGGTACTTTCTGTGCAATTGAGCTTGATGTTGAAATGTTACTGATTCCACATGTCTACTTACCTGCGTGTAAAGTGTTATGTTAACTGCCTCGATACTTGGACGTACATGTTGTTTCCAGCACACAGTGATTCCAACAGTGGACCTTACCCCGAAATTGCCCCATAGCAAGTCTCAGTCGGTCTGAGTCAGTCTAGACTCGTCATCTGTAGCTATGCATGGTTGGATCGCTTTCTGGTAATCGTAATTCGCCCGAATACAAACTGCCCCGTGTGTGCGAACCCACCTGTGTCGTATAACGGAGGCTTTCTTTGACAATGAGTGGGGCTCAACTGACCAATCGGAAACATAGGTCGCCACTTAGTTTCCGACACAGCCCTATAGCAAAGTACCCGAGATGGCTTCATAGAGCCTGGAATTCGTCGTCATTTTCTGGATAGCTCACCCATACATCTCACTCTTACAACCCACTCTTACAACTCACTCTTACAACTCACTCTTACAACTCATAACATTTTTGTGTACTCTATCATTGCGTTACGGAAATACAGAAAATGGCCAGCGCTGTATCCATCTACGATTGCCTCATCATCGGGGCCGGACCTGCAGGGCTCTCAGCAGCCCTTGGGCTTGGGCGACAGATACGTTCTGCGCTAGTCTTTGACGCGCAGAGATACCGGAATGATTACGCTGATCGCATGCACAATGTTTTGACCTGGGATCATAAAACACCAGCCGAGTTCCGGGCGGCAGCACGCGAAAACATCCAGTCTCGGTATGATACCATAAAGTTCAAAAACGCCGCAGTGGCGTCCATCTACAAGAAAGACGACGGTACTTTCGAAGTCACGGATATCCAGGCCAATAAGTATCAAGGCAAGAAGATCGTACTTGCCTCGGGCGTCTCGGAGACGTTCCCGGATATCAAAGGATTCTCTGAGTTGTGGGGCAAGTCAATGTGCGCCACCGAAGACCAATAAATTTACTATTATTATGGAGAGGACTTACTAACATTTCCTCAAGCTTCCACTGCTTATTCTGCCATGGCTTTGAGGAGCGCGGGGCAAAATCAGCTGGTATACTGGCGGATGGATTCATCACGCAACCTGATATGATCCTGCATGTGGGACGCATGATATTACCCATAGCTGAGAATGTCACGGTGTATTGCCATGGGAACAAGGAAATGCTCGCCCTGGTACAGAAAGAGTTCGAGGGCAAGGATCTCATGATTGAGCCCAGGAAGATTACCGCTCTAGAGCGCAATGGAGAACACGTCACCGTGCGGTTTGAGGACGGCGAGACGAGGCAGGAGGCCTTCATGGTAAGTTTCGGAGACATCGAGACTCACGAGAAGAAATTCTAACACTTTTATTCAAACTTCAGGCAGCCATGCCCCCCGTAAAGCTCAATGAGTCGTTCCATGAGCAGCTAGGTCTCGAACTAGATCCAATGGGCCATATCAAGACCCACGGCCCATTCTCTGAGTCGTCGGTCCCCGGTGTATTTGCTGTTGGAGACTGTGCCACATTCATGCGAGCCGTTCCTCAAGCGAGTGCAATGGGTGCTTTTGCAGCTGGAGGTGTGGTAGCACAACTAGGGGCAAGGGGCAAGTTTTGAGTAGCGGATGTATTCGACGTCCCAAGAGAGTGAGAGGAAGATGTCATATAATAAGCAACATAGACATAGACTCTCGGGGAGATTGGAATTTCTGGCCTTTCAAAGCATCAAATTTGGGACGATCGATACCTGATTAGGCAGGAAAACTTGTCTTTGCTCAGCGCTGGCCCTTCCAGAAATCTTCATTTCATTCCCATGTTTATCTGGCATCTATTAAAGAGTTATTCGAACATCGTAACAGACTCAAAAGCAGCATGCTTGAATGCAACTGATGGAGATCAAGTAAACTAATCTGTATACTCTGGTAACACTATCGTGAGTGTACTCATCCTTCTATTATGAGCAGTAGAAATGTGCTCTGAATAGTCTCTCTGGCAGGCAGTTACATACAATTAATCGCGTAGAAACCCGTTTAATTAGTCTTAAGTGAAAAGAGGCCTTTAATTAGAGGCCAAATTAGGGAGACGGGGTTGTACACGCCTATCATCTTGTCATCTCATGGTGAAGCTGAACTAAAATTATTGAAAATCCTATATTTCGCGCAGGCGGAACAAGACACTGTTATAGGTTTAGAGATGTAGAAGACTAATCACTGCAATATTTGAAGTCCGAAGAATTGTTTTTCATTGCCGGAGAGGCGTGATGAATGACTTGGTTGCCCGTCGCTGAGCTCCCAAGCCATTATGTACAATTACTAATTACTATGTTGTTCTAGCGACGTTACTAAGGAGCGTGGTTATGGCACCGATCCCTTGGGTATAACTTCTATTTACAAAAAAAGCACAAATTTGCCGACCCATCCCGATGCTTTTCGGAAAAACAATCCTCATTCATAAAATCGTTAAAATTGCGTTCAGGCAGCCATTGATCTTCTCCGTCTTCTGGCGGTCACGGCCTGAGGGGAAGACTTGCCCCCGAGCTTGCTGTGGCAGACGACCGTGGTGGCCTGCTTGATCTTGACGTTGCTAAAGGTCCAGACGCCGTTGTTGCCGGCCGTCATGACTTGGTTGAAGGTCGTGGTGCCCTCCTTCTGCAGTGTGTAGTCCAGCAGCATGCCGACCTGGGTAGCGTTGGTGTTGGAGCTCGTGCATGTCACCGTCAGCGTGCCGCCGCCCGTGCTGGCCCAGTTTGCCGCCGTTACCTTGACGGTGTCAACGGGGATCGTGGTCGGTGTTGACGTCGCGGTTGCAGTGGGCGTGACGGTGGCACTGGTGGTGGGCGTGGTCGTAGTAACGGGCGGGCACGATGAAATGTCGAAGACAGTTACACCGGTCTGGGGGAACGGGTCAAGCGGACCCCAGATGTTGCCGGCGGCGTCGGGGCCCAGACCCTTGGTCAGGTGGTTGAAGGCCTCGAACGAGTTGGGGATCGGGGCCAAGCCAGGGTTGGTGAGCTCGGGCTGGATCCATTCGGTAACGGGCTGGACGTAGCGGCCGGCGGTGATGTTGTTCTTGGTGAGCGTGCCGGTACCGGTGCCCGAGGTTTCGATCATGTACTCGCGGGTGTAGCGATCGTTGGCTGTGCCGGTCTTGAGGCGTACGTCGAACTTGTTGCGAGTCTCGCCGGCAGCAGTGTCGACATTGGCGGAAGTGATGGCTCGCAGGGTCTCCTTGCCAGTGCAAGGGTCGACTTCGATCGCAGAGACAGTGAGGGGGGAGCCGGCAGGGTCGGAGACGTAGCCGATGAACTAAAGGGGGATCGTTAGCTGGGGGATCTCTGGTCTTTTGAGGTCAAAGTCAACTTACTTTGCTCTGGGCAACTTCGGCATTAACGTCCGCGGTGAAGACACCAATGTTTACGTCCTCCATTCGAATGAACACAGGCTTTCCATTGGCAGCAGTCGCGCCAGTCACGATCTGAATATTCGTTGCTGTAATTTCGTAGACGATGATCTCACTTCCGTCTCTGTAACCAGAATACTCGATGAAATCTCCGACAGCAAAAGGCGCCATGAGCAGAGGATCGGGAACAGTTCTTGTTCTTGTTAGTCATGTCCACAAGCTGTAACTCTGGGACTAAAACTTACAGAGTTCCTTGCTTGTTTCCAGTTGCGGCAATAGTCGGGCGGTTGGACTCGGGACACAGAGGGTCGGTCGCGCTGCGTGGCACACACATGGGGAAACCCGAGAAGGAGCAGATGCTGGGGTTCTCGTCGTCGGCGGTCATGAAAGGAGACTTGGTGTAGCCAGCGGAGAAGACGGCGTTGGGATCGTTGATGCGGATGATCGGCCCGTTGGTGATCTTCATGGAGCCATCGAGGTTAATCTTCTCAATGAAGCCAGAGCTCGCTTGGGTGAACAGCTGGGAGATGTACACCTGTCCAGCGATGGGCTTTCCGGAGACGACGTTGCCAACAACCTGTTGATGAGGTGAGCTAGGTGCTCTTCGTGTTAGTCTAGTATGTTTAGAACTTACCGAGACTTGGTAGCCTGCGAATTGTCCTGCTTGGTAGGAGGCGACGAAATCCTTCCATGGTACCCATGCTACAGGGAAACCAACTTGTAGGTTCTTGGGGACAGTTGCGGTCCAACCGTTGACACTGATTGTGCCGCCAGTGTTGAAGGAAGTATCAGTTGCAGTAGCACTGGGCCGACGTGTTAGTCTGTGTGTCCTTATGTTGTTGTGTGTGTGTCCAGCTTACCCTTCTATGGCTCCATCCAAGGCAAAGCCAACATCGGCAGCCTGGCAGGCGCCGATGAGGAGGAGGAAAGGAACAAGGAGGATGTGAAGTGACCAGTACATTGTGACAGGCTGACGAGTCATGAGGAAACCACGAGTGATCAACAACGGGAGACTCACACTCGTGTCTCACACCAGCCTCTTTATAGTAGCTCTCGAGGGAGGCATCCTAGACTCTAGACCTTCAGCCCAAGGACCGAATCCATCCAAAATAAGCGAAAATAGAAATATCAGCACGGACATGGGCACCACCACAGCGGAATCTCGTATATGCCGTCCGCTCGGGCGGCTGTCATGTAGTTCAGGACTTTTGACAGGGCTCATTAAGATTTCGGCCGGGGCGAAAACATCGCTTGGGCTACGGCAACCGCCTCAGCTTGACAACACTTGCGTCGATAGCTGCCTATAGGACCCGTTATTATCTGCCTGACCGTCCCTAGGCCCCTTGTCAAAGGGAGCCGTTCGAGGCCGGGACCATAAGCAGCCCCCCTAAAACTCTCGGCAACCAGTGGCCTAGATCCTCGACCCCGTGGGCACGGGTTCGATGGGTCACTGTCGTCGACTCGTGAGCATAGCCAAACAAGCAATATTGTGGAGCGGCGCGAGTGGGGCTGAGCTGAACAGAGATGCTTATGCGATCGGTGTGGCTGCTAGGCTGGGTGCTGGGACTCGGCCGTGGGCCGTGGGCTTTTTCTCAGGGTCCTCGCTGGGGTGGAAGCAGATGACGGTGGCTGATGAAGAAAATTGCGTATAATCTTGTAAGCCAAAAGGCACCTTTTAGGGCGGTTGGCGATATCAGACAACCTATCTTGCAATCTGCTACAATAAACAAAACTTCTCCCCGTCTCGCTGAGCTATACAGTGAGACACGTTGCTGAAGAAAACCAGATACAGTCAGACATGGTATCCTGAGTGCATGCAATGCATATAACTGAAACCTTGCTTTTGTTCTAGACCCCCCCTGCAAGAGTCAGCCGCATTCGGTCCTCGGATCCTGTGAGACGCAACGGTGCCCTCCTCTCCCCCAATCACCCACCTGCCCGCGACAGCCGTCCAGATCGAGAGCAAGCGCAAGAAAACGAGATCCGTGAGAAGAAGCTTATTACTGAGTTTACCGGCCGAGTGGCACACTATTGACTGTAGATCAGCCTCGGGGGCGCACCCATCTCCGACCCTGATTTTTTCCGCTACCTGGGCTTAGACACGCGAGCGACTCTGAGAGACTGCCCGAGACTCAGCTGCCCAGACGACGGATGCAAGCCACAGCTCTGGCGAGAGGCCGAAGCCGCGCTAAGCCGCGCGGCAAACGATGACTGGACAGCCACCCCACGCCAGATTGCATGTCTCGGTCTAGACCCTGTTGGCATGGCGGGCCGGGACAACATGTCGGGCATGGCGATATTCGGTTTGGGGTATTTCGCTTCAAATCGTAATCTATTCGTCCACGAGACCAGTAATGTTCTCGTATCACCTAAAGGGAAAATGACAGAGTCCTGAACGCTTATTGAAGTATTGCAACCTTTCTGGGAAAAAACAACTGAGCTTTCTGCTTTACACTCACAACCCAAAAGCCTACACTTCGCATCCGACGCCGACAAACATACAGTTCTTGGCATGTCTGTTTGAGAACCTCTGTATGCGTATGCAGAGCCAGGCCGTCTCCTCAACCCTCAAGTGGTATCGTGAATATCTGACTCCGTGCACCGATGCTTGGCGCCGGACACCACGAATGACGACCTGGGAAACGCCAGAAATGCCACTACAAAGCCCCTTGGGTCTAGCGGAAACACTTTTGAGCCTACCGCCATTCTGTTTATCTCCTTTCCAGACGGCGAAGCCAGGAATTTTGTCTAGTCCTCCGGATCTAGAGCTGCTGGTAAAATATCACTTTGAACGAATTGGAAACAGAGAAGCAACTATGAAAAATGTAAAATATTGATTGGCCAGGGATGGCCGTTTTCAGGCCATGCCGTCCATATACGTTTATGGAAAAGACTGGTGAGTCGGGGTGATTCCAAAGCAAGAATTCAACCATCATCAGTTGATATCAAGAAGGGCGACATCGGGAATGCTCCGCTGTCGCTTGTGGCCGAAAGGCTGTTGTTCCGACGATGATTTTCTCTTCTGTGTCACACTGGCGAGGGGGCTGCTGGCCAGGTTGGGCATGCGCTTCTTCTGTTTTCGAAGTGGCGAAATCGGAATGTTGGTGCTGGAGATCCGGCCATCCTTGATACCGCGCAGAGTGCCCTGATGAAGAGGACCCGAGAAGGCAAGCGACTCACGAGTTGCCTTGCCGCTTCTCAGCAGCTGAGAGTTTGCTTGGTCGCGGCGGAATGCACCGACGATGTCCGAGTTATGCTCGAAATGGCTGAGAAGGTGAGACACATCGCCACCGGCCGTGTCTGGCCGGCTGGGCGTTGTAAAGTAATCGTCGTTGTCACTAGGCCCGTTGTCCTGGTCATCATCCGAACCATCTAGTTCAAGGAAGTCTCCAATGGCGAGGCCATGCTCCCCCTCATCTTCCTCATCGTCTTCTGCTTCGTCCTCGAAGATATCCTCCAGCGAGTTGTTCGAGAAGAAGGCCTCGACGGGGCCGACAGGCTGGTTGGGGTTCAGGAAGTCACCGAGCGTGTTGGAAGACATCATAGCGCCCATCATGAGGTTTCCCGAATTGCTGAAGATCGGAGACGAGTCGATGGGCTGGAACAGAGGTAGGTTGAACGTCTCGGGGGAGAGGTCCAGGCGCCTCAGACGCTGTGGGGTGAAGATCATCAACTTGCCGGTTCGGGGGTTCACCACGGCGACAGGCTTCTTCCCGTCGCTATCGAGATTGAACTTGCCAACGCGGGGTTTGCCACGTCGAGGCCGGACCAAGTGCGCGATGTCCGAGTCAGACGCTGAAGATTGCGCTGGCGCCTCACGTGAGTGCCTCCGTCGAATGGGTTGCCTTGCAGGTTCTTCATCCTCATCTGTGGTATCGCCACCATCTTCACCATCGCCTAAGTATGGGTGTCAGTTTTTGGAGCATCACATTCCAAGAGGCTCGACTCACTCTGATATCCATCTGTAGAAAGCTCATCTAGGCCCTTTTCAGGGGAGGCAGCAGGAGTTGACACAGCAGTAGACAGCTCCTGCGCAGTCATAGGAGTGGCAACAGGCGTACTGTCAGACTCCATGAGCGCGGCCATCGCATCCATGTCGTGAATCGGCCACTGGTTGTCTGAGAACAACTCAGCCTGGGGTATGATGTCCATGTTCTGGAAATCAACATCGTAGTGGTTGCCCTGCAGGTCCCAGAATGAGCCCGAGTCGGAAGAGCCGTCATCATGCTCAATCTCCCGGCGAAAGCTGGGGTCCAGGGCATCCTGATCGAGGAAGATATCGGGGAAGAATTTGTTATATTCGTCGTCGATACCCTCGTCGGTCTCGGTGGTGTCGCCCTCCGAGTCGGATACTCCAGCGAAACGCACGCGGCGCTCGACGGAGACGTCCTGGGTGGCAGACGTATCGGAGGCGTTGTTGTCATTGCCCTCGGACATGAAGCCTTCCCAGCTTGCGGTGTCCTCAACGGCTTCCTCGTCCTCATCCTCGTCGTCGTCGTCCTCTTCGTCGTCCTCTTCATTCGGATCGTCCTCGTCGTCTCCTTCTTCATCCGCTTCGTTTACCGGCCGAGGAGAGCTCTGGTTGCTTGCATGCCAACCATTGACTCTGAGGTGCTCTTCCTCAGCCGCTATTACATCGTCCTCGTCCTCGTCAGAGTCGCTAATGTCTCCAACGGCCGAGTAGCCGTCGCTATCGGACAGGTCCAGTGACGACGAAGAGTCGGAGCCCCGACGCTTCGGCGCCTTCTTGACCGGCGTGACGGGGGGCTTTTGCCGTACGTTTCGTGACATCGTGTTGTATTTTTTGTGGGCAGCTTGCTGCAATATCTATGCGGGATATGCAGGGGGGTGGGGACAGGGGTCTCCCGAGTCGAATAGTCGAGCCCGGGGGCAAACGGCGGTGAAGCCTGGTGATGCAGATGAAATCAATCGCTGCGTGTCCTAGTAGATGAGGCAATCCGATGCTGAATAGATCGCAAAATTGGCCTCTACTGAGTAATTGTAGTTTTCGATGTGTGCCACCGCAGGAGGGGCAGGCGATGGGGGTGGATTGAGGTTGAGGTTTGGGTTGACTTGTTGGGTGGTGGAGGCGATGGCGGGAGAAAAGAGAGGGAGAGAGGGCGTGCGAAGTGTGAGAAAAGGTGCAGGCCCCGTTGGAATGGGCTGGATGCGCAGTTGTTCTATCGTAGTTCAGACTTCCGTGGCCCAGTTCGCATGAACGGACACTGCTACAGTGAAAGTCTGTAAGAAGCTTCGTCGGGGTCGATTGTGTAGAATATCTCGGTGAACTGACGGACTACGGGACATGCCAGGCGCAGACACGTCCCGCAGTGGGTGTTTACAGCTCAGCGACGGCCGAAGGCATGATTCTCGACGAAGTTCTGGTATGTGGAAGGGTGTTCTGGATGCGATGGGTAGTGCGACTTCGTTGTCTGGGGTTGGTGGTGATGCTGGTCTGTGAGGAGGAAGGGAGAGAAAAGTGCAGGCCGGGGGCGCGAGCCGGGAAATGGGATATATTGCTCTGCGGCGCCTCTGCCTCTGCCTCTGCCGCTGGAGTGGGCTCTTGGCTCCCTGGCGCTCCGTCGGCCTCTGCTGCCAAACTTTTTTTTTTTCTCTCTCTTCCCTCTCCTCGGGGTGGGGTCGGTGGTTCTGATTCGCCATGCCCAACCTACGCAGCAGCTGAGACGAACCTTTCCCCATTGGGGAATGCGTCACCGCCATTTCGAGCCTCGTTTTCGACACATGGCCCGCAACCTGGCGGGCAAGCATCACTGCATTCACGGTGGAATCGTTCGAGGCCTGTTCAGTGTTGGCTGCTCGAGTTCGAGGGTCATAGGGGAGCGGAGTCACGGTGCTTCAGGATGATTCACATTCATGGCCGCCACTGACTGCTCTCGCGTGAGCCCTTGAGGGCTGTGACTGGACTGATGGACGCCGCCGATCCGTGTCCCTCAGTCAGAGACGCTACTATGTAGAACCCACGTAAAAGAAAGCCTTGAGCACTTGCAAAGGTTGTTTTCGATGGTCTGGCGTCATCTAAACGCTGCTGCGTACTACTATGGTATACCTATACCAACGGTGACCATCGTTGCTCACGGCGGTTCTGCTCCGCTGAGAACGGAATGCCAAAAATTTTTAGAATTTTTTTTTCCCTTTCAACCTCCCTTCGCGCCTCGATTACACTCCAACAAGCTCCACTACGACCCCAAAGACGTTATATGAGTCCGGCCTTTCGTAACGAACCACTTTGCCGCAATGAGGAGTCATAACCGCCCGCGCCAGCCGACCAGTGACACACGGAAACCGATCCTGGAGTCAGTCTGGGTTGTACAACTGCTGAAGAATGACGGACACTGGCAATTGGGATCGCTAACACGACACCATGTGCTCGCGGGCGCTTGCTGATCTCGTCCGGAGGTGGCAGGTCTCGCTGCTGCTCAAACGCATTTTCTTCATTCATGCAGCATGCTGCATACGTATTCCCTTATGCAAGGACTACTACGGGGTGCATAGCCGAAAATGACGGACCAGCACGTCAATCACACCTCTTGCTCGACAGCAAGCCGCAGACACACGGTAACGACATCCTTCGACCAAACCTGCATCGGCAGGCTGGCAGGCTGGCAGGCTGGCGAGACCGGGTCCCCATGATGGATCTCCAGATCTCGTGGCTGGTTCCTCCTTCTGGCCTGTGTTCGTTGTTCCGGCTTCCTGTTTCGTTTGGGGCGAGCAGGACCCTTGACCCGCAAATCTTTCTGCCCCTCCAGCCCTCCACCTCGCTTCTTGTAATTACCCACCCGGTCTGGAGAATGCCGAGCAGTGACGTGTGTTACAAGACTTCTGCAAAGACGCTAGCTGATGGAAATTTCCTTCTGCTGTAGACCGTCTCCCAATCGCAGCCGAGATTGGTAGAAGGGTTAGAGGGCGTATTGAATGCATGTCAGATGCAGGCCGTCCTCGCGTAAGACGTTGGCCCACCCCCTTATTCCGGCCCAGCAATTGACTCAGCAGAACGAGCAACTCAAGTAGCCTATGGCTCAGGGTGAGATGCAGCTTAGCAGGCGTTCCCCGCTCCCATCTGCGCCAGCGAGGCATCGGCAGAGGCTAACTCTAGGGCAGGCAGCTTGGGCTGCTTGGCCTTGGGTTGCATCAGTTCACTTTGGCTTCTCGACTCATACAATTCATCAAAGGCAGCTAAGGCAGGGCCAATCACAGCGGCTCCATATCATTGAGTTCGCGCCTCGATCCCGTAAGAAAAAAACTGAGTTTTGGGGCCGAAACTACAGGCTAGGATGAAGAAGATACCTGCAGGCCGGGTGGCCGGGCTCCTTTCAAGGTTATTAGTGCTCGTCAAACGAAGATAGCTCGGACGCGACGGCTGCCTGAGCAGGCTGCTTGCCAGAGTCCTGCCATGGTTGTGCCAACGCGGCGCTGCGCCGTGTCACGAACGGATCTTGAAACGTGCCGCCGGAAGAGAGCGGTTGAAAGAGAGTTGGGGGCGGCCCGTGCGGGTGACAGGGGCAGAGGGGCAGAGGGGCGGAGGGGGCAGCCAGCCCCACCGAAAAAAAAAATTATCGCCAGCTATCGCGTCGGGTCGTTTCTTATCTAATCGGCGGGTTGCCGGTGACAACGGGCGCCGGCCAAGTCAACAGCGCTAGTGCCGATCTGGCTCGTAGACCAACTGATTACCTGCCTGCCTACCCACAGTACATTCACTCATTGCATCCACCCGGAGGTTCACGTTATGGAGATATGGAGATATCCAGTAGCTAAACATACAACGACACGCGTTTAGCATATGCCGCTCGTTCATCACTGCTGCCTCCAGCTTGCGTCGCGTAACGAAACCCACAACAAGAGCAGCCCGGCTCCATCCCACGACACTGCGGTTGGATGTGAGCACTTGCAACGCCCAGCAGCGTAGCGAGTAGTCATTGAGCGAGAGTACAGCCATCCGCCAGGCCATTCGTCCTCCTCCATCGCCATGATGGACCCTCCGCCGCCAAAGTCGCACGCCAGCCTCTTCCAGGTCTACCTGCGACTGCGCCCGGCGCCGACAAACTCGACCAACACCGAGAGATTCCTGCTCGTCGAGGAGCCTGACGAGGCCGAGACGCCCACCCACGTCACGCTCAACCCTCCCAACGACCGGCGACGCGCCATCGAGAAGTTCGCCTTCACACAGGTCTTCGAGGAGGATGCCACACAACTCGACCTCTTCCAGGGCACGCGCGTGCTGCCCCTGGTCGAAGGCGTGCTCGCGCCGCACGGCGGCGACGGGACAGACGGCCTGCTTGCTACATTGGGCGTGACTGGCTCGGGCAAGGTCGGTCGACGGTGAGAGAGAATGAGAGGCACTCGCAGAGCTAACCGGAGACGCAGACGCACACCATTTTGGGCTCCAGAACACAGCGCGGCTTGACCCAGCTCGCCCTCGACACCATCTTCCGATCCATTGGTTCCAACTTGGTCGACTGCGCTGAGCAACCTTCCCTCGAAAGCAGTATCCAGACCTCCGATCCCTCCGAAGCCACCATCTACTCTGCCCCGGCTTTCCTCGACACCGTCTACAACGACTTCAGGGGCTCAACGAGGCCCGGATCGAGAGCCCAAACCCCCATGACTGTACGGCAACCCCCTAAACCCAGTTTCATTCGTATCCCCATGAGCGATGCGTTCTTACAGGTGCCCCGCATGTTTCCAGAGACTCCTGGAAGCGTGCGCATTGTCCGCCAGGAGGACGAGATATCCAAGATCACCCAGTTGTCCACTCCCCCAAGTCAGATGGACAGGAGCAAGTGGCTCTCCCAACACCAACAGACACAAGACGTGTCAGCCAGGCCAAAGTTGGCCCCCGGCTCCTCCCCAAAGAAACACTACATGGCTCCCACCTCAGCTGCCAAGTCCAAGAATGTTACTAAATCGTCTCCCATGAAGAACGACAATGCGACCGCCTCGACACGAACCCGCCTGCAGCGGCCTACTGCATTCCCTCAGGTCCCCGATATCAGCTCGATTCGCGCCTCGTGCGACCCGTCGGCCGAGTACGCCATTGTCATATCCATGTACGAGGTCTACAACGACCGCATCTTCGACCTCCTGACGCCACCCATCAAGTCGAACGCAACGAAGGAGTTCCGCCGCCGGCCTCTATTATTCAAGCCTACTGAGCAATCCCCAGATCGTAAAGTGGTCGCCGGCCTACGCAAGATCATCTGTGGCAACCTGAAGGAGGCTTTGATGGTCCTGGAGGCCGGCCTCAACGAGAGGAGAGTCGCCGGAACCGGCAGCAATAGTGTGTCCTCGCGTAGCCATGGCTTCTTCTGCGTGGAGATCAAGAAGCGACGAAAGGGCCGCACCAGTGGCCACTGGGGAAGCAGCACCCTCAGTGTCGTCGATCTCGCTGGTAGTGAGCGAGCACGAGATGCAAAGACCCAAGGTGCAACGCTAGCCGAGGCAGGCAAGATCAACGAGAGCTTGATGTACCTTGGGCAGTGCCTACAGATGCAAAGCGATATGGGAAATACCAGCAAGGTACGTTGCAAACTTGGGTCGAAAAAAGCCCGACTGACATCCCCTAGCCCAACTTGGTGCCCTTCCGGCAATGCAAGTTGACTGAGCTCCTCTTTTCGAACTCGTTTCCGTCTTCCTCCTTATCCCAGTCGCAACATACTCAGCGACGTGCGCCGCAAAAAGCGGTTATGATCGTGACCGCCGACCCGATGGGTGACTTCAACGCAACCTCCCAGATCTTGCGCTACAGCGCCTTGGCTCGTGAGATTACTGTACCTCGAATTCCATCGATAACTTCCACCATCCTCAACAGCCAGCCGGCGTATCCCAACCTGCCGCAGTCACAGTACAGCCCCTGCAGCAGTCCTCCGCTGCTGCCATTGTCCTCATCACCTATGTCGACCCGCAGCCAGCCCTTCTTTCACCCTTCGTCAGGCTCACACTCTCGAACGTTCTCCCCAACGTCCGATTCGGAGCGTGCAACGATGGAGAATGCGGCACTCGAGATTGCCCGCATGGCCGACATCATTGAGAAGCTCAACAATGAAGTTGCACGGGAATCTGAGGCTCGTATGGAGGCTGAGGCGCACTTGATGTCCCTTGAGGACCGTCTTGTCGACCTCGAACAGGATATCCGGGAGGAGTGTCACTCGGACTTTGAGAGCCGCATTGCCCTGGAAATGGCACGGTGGAAAGCATCCCTCGCGCTGGAACAGGAGCGCGGCGAGGAGCACTGGGACCGCAAGGTTGAGGTTCTCAGCCGGGTGACCGTCACCGAGGAGAACGGAGATGAAGAAGGCGAAGAGGACAAGGAAAATGTACTCATCGAGAACCTTGAGGAGGAGAACGAGAGACTGCGCCGCGAGCTGGCCGTCCTGAAGCGCGAGCTCGGGTCCCGCACCCCAAGCAAGCGCGCCCCGCTCCAGGACCGGGGCGACTTTGTTGCCACCGTCAAGAGCGAGATGGCCGGCCTAGGCAGCCGCATGGAGGAGCTGAGAGTCAGCGGCTCCGGCGAGGACGGCCTCGGCGCCGGCGGCAGCTCTCGGAAGAGCAGAGCAGGTGCTGCGGCAACGACCAGCACCGGCAGTCCCACCAAGAAGGTGCGGAAGCTCAACACCAAGCGCTGGGAGAGCGTGGAAGTGGACGACGACATGATGTAAGAAGAAGGGTCCGGACGGGGCTCGGTTGTATTATTGGACGTATGCATGGATGGATGGATGTATAATGAAACAAAATGACTGGGTATTTGTGACGCGATGTTAGGATGGTCCTTGGGTGGCCCCGTCTGCTATGGAAATGATGGGCAAGGAAATAAGCACAGGGAAAGTGCTGTACAGGGTACATGCGGGATATGAAGCGAGGATACCCTTTTTTCTTGTGTTAGTGCTGTTCCTATTTTTTCTTGGGGCCGTATAGATTTTGCGCGGTAATCATTCGACTAATGACTTTTCTTTCCGTGAGTATTTTAAATTTATATTGGCTAGAATGCGGACGAAGCTACTTCACATACCTTCGGAGTTGCCAGTGTCCCCTCTATGTCTCATCATCAGGTTGTCTCATAATAGTCGAGAGGCGTTGAGGCTGTTGACAGCCTTGTCCTGAGCGCCTAATACTTATAAGTTGGGTAAATGCTGTCGGACCCCGTCAAAGTCACAGGAATGCTAGAATCGTTCTCACTTTCCTTTCAAGGCACAAACCGCGTGATAGCTCTAGCCTCACAAACAGCTAGTGCCTCACCTACAGTTGCCTTTGGCTGTGCGCGAGATGATGTTTCCCGGATTGTCGGCGCAGTGTGACCACTGCTGTTGTCATGATTGTCTGCCACCACCCTTGGAACGAGACGATATGACCCTACAGCCGCCAAAACAGACTTGCAAGCACAAGGCGTTTTCGGAGCCTTCAGACGTGAGTTGCGGTCATGTCAATGTCAAGTTTTGTTCTCTGGATAAATATCACTTTGTTCTGGGAAATGTCAATTTCTTACATTTCTCCAGGGGCTAGTCTGCATCTTTATAACATTTTACTCAGTTTCACAACTATATTGCCGACAGAATGTTTTGTTACAAGCTACTGATTCTCACATTTACATTCCCAGATATTGTAACTGCTGAAAAAAAAACCTATCTATTTCCAGTGATGGTGTGAACATTGCTGACTATGCCTACGGGATATTCTCAAGCACAAATATGACCAAGGACCTGCGAACTACATGAATGACACTTTTCCCATCTGTATGGATCAGGTCGATGTCTCGGCATGGATTGCTGATACCGTGGTGGACTGCGTGTTGAAAGACAAGCCGGAGTCCAGGAAGGCGAACATTATGTATATACGACCATGGTTGAGAAAGCTGCCCTGACATAAAATATAAAAACGCAGTGGCTTCAGCAGCGGTTCTTCTCGGCCTCTTGCCCACGACGATGAGTCTAGTGGGTTCCAGCACACTAGAAACAGGCATGCTTGCCTTAGGCAGGCCCTTTCTTGTCCCCTGCTTCTCGGTGCCGACTCCCCGGTTGCGACGCCCCGTCGCACGTTCGAGTACAGCAGCCCCGAAGACTTGCTTTTCGACGTCAGCGGCAGTCTGTAGAGTCATTGTGATGTTTGAGATCAGTGGCATGAGAAATACTGCTCAGAATCAATCTCGGAGCGAGGGGAACGAGGGAATTTTACAGAGATTTTCCTAATAGCTGGACATTTCGAAGCTAAAAGAGCTGGAAGCTATAACTAATTAAGAGTTGCACTATCATTTTTTACAGCTTTATTTCTGGAGATCCTCTTCTAGTATTCCTTACAACAGGTTTGAGTTCAATATAGTAAACTCAAACAGAATCAAGTATTATACACGTCCGGTCTTGGTACAGACGCAACTTTATACTATTCGATTTATACTATTCGAGAAAGATGCTTGGATTGGCTGAGGGATGGAAGATTTTTCGTTCATGAGCGATGGTGAAGGTGATGACAATGTGTTTATCGATGTCATTTGATTTTGGTTGCCCCGCACATCTCTTACTGGCATTCCTGTTTCGGCGTGTACTGAAACAAATAAGGAATCTTGGTCAATGAAGATTGGCTCATAGCTGGCTTGGCTGGGCATGAAGTCTGGAAAACAGCGGGGGAGTCCGCCTTGGGAACTGGGGCTAATCGTAGGCCCATGTCACCCTTTTGAGCTCCACAGCCAATGAAGAAGCGAGTCCCCGAAACACGTGCACTAGAAGGTCGCTTTGCATAGATGGGGCAAAGTCCAACGCCGCCCGAGGACCACTGCCGGCCACGTAATTGGGCTTTCGCTTATGCCAATACTTGACAAAAACTGGGTATCTGGGGTACTTCGGTGTGCGATCGAGCTATCGCCCAGGTACGGGCGATGCACTACAACGTCACGGCAATCGTTGATTGAACGAATCCGAGCAGGTAAACTGGGAACGTTGGTTCCTGGTGATTATTAGTTCGATTGTGGACTGGCATGTGATGGTGGTTGTCGGAGCTGAGATGTGTATTTGGCCATGACTCTGCTCTGTATATATACAGTGGTTGTACCGCATGCCCTCAGTGTGAACGCAGTGCCCACAGCAGACCAAACTCTCTGTCGATCGTTACCAAACACAGTCTTGCCATCGAGGCTGTTTGGCAAAATGAAGTCCCTCGCTCTGGTCGCTGTCTTTCTTCTCCAAACCACTGGGCTGGCTGCTCCTACCAACCCAGCTAAACGCCAGGATATCAACACGATCACCGATCAGATTCTGTTTGACATCACACTGCCGGAGTTCACGACGCGCCGCAACGCCAAGAACCCTTCATCTCTGGACTGGGAAAGCGACGGGTGTACCAGCTCGCCTGACAACCCTCTGGGTTTCCCCTACGTGCCGGCTTGCAACCGCCACGACTTTGGCTACAACAACTACCGTCTGCAGAGCCGCTTCACGGTCAGCGCCAAGGATGCCATCGATACCAACTTCAAAGACGATCTCTATTACCAATGCGATGTCTACGGCAGGAGTGTGAGCATTTGCAAGGCCTTGGCGGATGTGTACCACGCTTTCGTGGTTGAGTTTGGCGGAGATGATGCGACCCCCGGTAAAAGAGGCGGGCTGTACGAGGAGAAGCTTGAGATCTATAACCAGATGGTTGCAGATGCTGTTGCAAAGGGTGAACTAGTGCTTCCTGAGACTGCATAGAGGGAAACAAGCCCAAAATAGCAAATGAGAAGACATTAATTACCGTTGATAGTGAAGTGAGCGTCCTTTAACTCATTTTGCCGAACATTGTGGTTGGCAACGAACAAACTCGTAATTGCTTTTACGTAGGTTTCGTTCGTGTAAATTATGGAATGACATAAGGATATCATATCGTTAATGTAGTATAAATTTAATAAAAGGAATCCTCTCTATTCATGCTTCTGGCTACTGCTTCGAACATTGCTATTTGGCCTTGTCATCTAGAATCGTCCAGTTCGTCCAACTATGCGCTGCCGCCTATTCATTTGGCTCGCTGATATTATTCACACGCCAAAGGATTTGCCACCATGCATTTGACGCACATGGGATCTCATCAAGAGCAGACTGGTTACATTAGAATATTGTACCCTGGGAGGCGCAACCCGCAGTCTTATATGCCATGCTACCACCGCAGGCGAAGCTGCAACAAGGCCTTCCAAAGTATCAGACGGGCGCTTCTTTCGACTTTTTGAGGTCCAACCAAAATGATATTTCCCGCTTTCCATCTGTCACAACGGCCTATCACTTTACCCGTTGTAGACGATCTGGCGCAACTCTGGAAGAATCAGTGCTATTTATAAGGCAGACGCTACTCAATTAAGAGGGCAAAAAATGAGATTTTCAGTCTGCGCATCACCGTAACCATCTTAGACGATTCGGCAGGGCCATAACCTAGTTGGTTACACGACGATGAGATAAAGAGTATGGTTCAGCTGAACGGGCGCACTTGCACTAGTGTATCTGAACTTTCCAGCAGCATGTGACCGCATTCCCCTGTTTCGTATTCATCAGTTCTCTGTCGGAAACCCATCACTTGGCCAGATAGTTATCACCGTGTCTTGTAACGCTCTGTAAGATCCGAGAAGTTGACTGTTGCACTGGGAACTGCCTCGCCGCTGTTTGACCAGTCGTGCTGGTACCTGTTGCGTGTATATTGTACTCGCAGCCAGGGAAATATAGGCTTTGCCGATCAAAGACTTTCCAGTTGAAGGCAGGCAGTGAACCTGGCAAGGTAAGGTGTCTTGCTATGCGAGCAATCGTAGTCTAATCAAATTGAAAATCGGTTGCTTCCCAATCTAATAACATGTTGGATGGAAAGCTGAAGTGAAATATGATGGCGCAGGAGCATTTCGAAGGGGATGATTGTGAGCAGATTCACGGATCATTACCCATTTATTCTCTTTTGGAGTTCAAGATTGCGTGTTGCACCCCCTGTCCGGCGGTCATGATGATTACTGAGTCTAACGTTTGGGTCGCCGTGAGGTCCTGCGCCGATGATACCTCATCACTTGGTGCAAGCGCTGTCATACTTCGTGGTTCATCAACCCCACGACCGTGTCTCAGAGTTTTGTGTTAATGACCGTCATCTGCGTCACCTGTGGCGTCGTATCCCCTATTAATTTCGGCGTTGCAAAACTGGCCCTTTTCTGTTAACTTTTGAAGCAGGACTGCCAAGTCAGAAATGAACAAATGGGTGCAAAAGATGCTCCTGAAGTCAACGATGTGATTTTTGCTGAGGGAAAGCGAATGGACCCAGGAGACGACTTTGGAAGAGGCGAGTGGCACCTTCCACGCCAGCTCTTCGAGGAACGAAACGGGGCGCTTAAACTACATTCTCAAGCTCACAGGGCACTTCACTTTCATATCTATTGAAATACAGGTCTCTATGACACCAATCCGGTAGAAAGTCCACAGTGGATACACTGAACACGAGAGCTAAAACCATGTGCCATTCTCCACAGCACGCTAACTCCCACTGCTTAACTAACCTACTCGCCCCAAGCGCCTGATTTCGAGAAGGTTGCTCGTTGCCGTTGCAGCCTCCACAGGGCCCGGAATAGTAGTTTTAGGGGAGAGAGTATCTGTTCTAGGGTAGTATTCTTGCCCTTCTTGCCCTGCTTGCCCTGTTTGGACGACCTCGTGCTTTGCCGTCTCTGACGTCACATGCATTTCTATCACCGACGAGGTCGCCCCCAGCCACGGCTAACCACTGGAAGCGGGTGAATGGAGAGGAGGGTTAAATGCATACATAGTACCCGTGGGCTTGAGTACCGTATCGAGTTCGATTCTTGACGGCGACAGGGCATTGAGTGTCCCTGCTGCCTGTGAGGCCCTCTTCAATCCCTGGACACATGAGTAAATCAACTAAAGTAGTGGGTCTGCCCCCCTCTCAGGCGGTCTGTTGTAGGTCTAGACCTAGGCACTAGTTGCCGATCACTGAAGGCTCTCTTCAAGGCATGGCATTGTTCTGCGGACAGCCATGAATCCCATGAAGCCGTCCACTTTATGTATCGATCCAACAACAACTTTCAACCCGCCCCCGCTCCCGCGTTCCTGCGTGCATGACGAGAAGCCAAGGAGCCCCTCAACGCTTGCTCAACGTTGCTTAGATGGCAAAGATTGTGTCCGAGGCGGCGCGCGAAAGAGAAGCCCTCAAATATGCCACGGTTTTGTACGTAGTGCGCAACTGTGGTTCGAACAGCGACACATCCCCCGAAGCTGACTTGTGACAAAGCTGCCATCTCGCAGACGCTGCGGCCTCCCCGAAACAAGCCTCTGCTCTAGCATCTACGTCATCTGGCGACTGCGGTCTTACTGCCTTTGCGCAACTCGGTGTGCTTAGGCTAGGGGCCGCACGTTGCCTCATTTCCATCTTCGACCAAAGAAACCAATACGTAGTTGCAGAGGCTACGCCCTCCTCTGCCCTTACTCCCAATGCTAGCCAGCCGGACGAGCTCTGGCTCGGCTGCACTGCTATTCCTCGATCATCCAGCGTTTGCGGCCACCTCCTGACCACAGACGTGGAACAGTCGACCGAACGACCGAACGCCTTGTCTACTGCCTTGCCCGTGTCTGTCATTCCCGACTTGACCAAGGATCCGCGCTTCCAGGGCGAGGCCCATGTCTTGGGTTCACCGCGCAACCGATTTTATGCCGGCGTGCCCTTGCGGACGTCCAGAGGAATACACATTGGCGCATATGGTATTTTCGATGATAAGCCACGAGACGGACTGGATCCGCTCCAAATCGAGTTCATGCGGTTGATGTCACAGGCTGTGATGAGCCACCTAGAGCTGCGAAGGTCCGCCGAGAGCTCTGGGAGGAGCGAAAGAATGGTCCGAGGAATTGGTAGCTTCGTCGAGGGCAGATCGACCATGTCGAATCTTTGGCGAGGTACAAATCCAGCTGCCTTTGAACAAAATAGTGTTGAAGGGAAGTTGAACTCGAACCAACAACTCATCCAGCAGGCGAATGCCGATCGAGACCTGTCTTTAAACAAGACCGCCGAGGGGGTTTCACGTGCCATGGCCAATAATGCCACTATACCACCTTTTCAAAAGCCAGCCTCGGCGTCAGAGCGAGAGAGTAAAGGGGACAATCCTTCGCCGTCTCCTCCGCTACGTGATGCTAGAGAAGGCGGTTCTAGTGGCCAGGACACTCGTTCTGCGACGGATGAAACTACTGCATTGACCAAGTTTACTCTTCACTCAGGTGGATCAGTCACGAGTATTGCTGCCAAGTCCTTCGCTGACGAACTACACACTGTGGAGTTCAGGGAGACATTTGGAAGGGCATCTAATATCATCCGAGAGTCCATCGAGGTGGAAGGCGTTGCCTTCTTAGATGCGATGGTTGATACTTTTGGTGGTCTAGTACCGAAAGATGGTGGCAGCGAAACCACCAGCTCAGACTCGCAACCTGATGGGTCTGGCAGCGAAGGCGATCAAGGCAAGAAGGAGGAGCCAGAACAGAAATTTTGCAAGATCATCGGGTTTTCAACATCCGATGCATCGAGTGTTGATGGCAAAGTCAACGACAATTATCAACTCAACATTTCGCAAAACTTCCTAAGAACTCTTATCCGACGATATCCAACTGGCAAGACATTCACCTTTGACAACGAAGGTGATATTGTCTCTGGTGACTCGGAAGAAGATCCGACTCATGTATCAGACCCCGATGCAACCTCGTCACAGGTGTCACTTCAGGAGCGCAAACGCAAAGTTACACAGTCCCGACAGTCGGAGAGTGCTGTCCTCACGTCTGTACTCAAGGGGGCCCGTAGTATAGCGATGGTTCCCCTTTGGGATCCTGTGCGAGAAAAGTGGCACGCGACCGCGTTCGTGTGGACAAAGAGCCCAGACCGGATTTTCTCAGTTGAGAAGGAAATCAGTTATCTGCGCGCCTTTGGTGCGACTATCATGGCCGAAATAAGTCGCTTGGAGGCTGCAAACTCCGAAAAAATGAAGTCCGATCTACTTGGCTCTCTCAGTCATGAATTGAGGTCGCCCCTACACGGCGTCTTGGCAGGTATCGATCTGATGCAGGAAACCGAAGTCGATGCTTTCCAAGGTGATACCTTACACTCCATGGAATCCTGCGGCCGCACCTTACTAGATGTTATCGAACACCTCTTAGATTTCAGTAAGCTAAACAGGTTCGTCCAGTCAGCCAAGGCCCAGAAGAAGAACAGGAAGCATGGCAACAGACAACTGAAGGATCAACAACAGTCCTTTGAGTCCAAAATGACCCCCCTGGCGATAGACGTCGACCTCAGTGTTTTGATTGAAGAGACAGTTGAGAGCGTCCATGCTGGGTTTAACTATGGCCATTCGCGAAGAGACCAGTCCAGTCAAGCACATTCTCAAGAATCGTTGTACAACCAGGGTTCCTTCACATACCAGGCGGATCAGGGCGCGGTACGAGCTTCGAACGGCGCCGTGTCTATTTATCTCGATATCGACGCCAATGTGAAGTGGACGCGCCACATTCAGCCTGGCGGCCTTCGGCGAATTATCATGAACATTCTCGGCAACTCAATGAAATACACGGACACCGGTTACATCATTGTTAAGATGAGACAGATAAAAGTGCCGCTCAAACGCAATCGCTACCAGACGAACCTGAAACTTACGGTGACTGATTCGGGTAAGGGTATAGGACCGGATTTCCTTCGCGATAAGCTCTTTACCCCTTTCAGTCAAGAGGACAGTCTGCAACCAGGAACAGGCTTGGGTCTAAGCCTCATACAACAGATCATCACACTGCTGAAAGGTTCTATTGCAGTTGAAAGCCAATTAGGTCGTGGAACAAGTATCGAAGTCACGGTGCCGCTCCCACCCGCACCGGCGGAGACTGCTGCCGAACACTCTGGTAGTCTGGGATCCAGTGTTGCCTGCTTGAAGGGGTTGCGGGTAAGCCTTCGCGGATTCAAGGAGAGCCCAGACACCTCCGGTCTTCCTCATTGTCCTGCGCCTATTGAACGACAACTTTTGGCGACCTCGTGCCAAACCTGGCTTCAATTAGAAATTGTTCCAGAAGACTCCGAAGAAACTCGACCAGATTGCATCATCTGCAGCGACCTCTCCCTAGATGAAATCGTACAGAAGTCTCCTCGCCTGTTACCCCCTATCGTGGTTGTATGCCAAAATGGGACCGTTGCACGTGGTCTATCACAAAAATATAGACTTGAGTCAAGCACTGACTCTGTTGAGTTTATCGCACAACCGTAAGTGTGCATTGGCTGCCATGTGTACTCAATGTTACTGACATTGATGTAGAATCGGTCCTCACAAACTCTCGAAAGCATTACTTCTAGCAATGGAACGATGGAAGAAGTTTACGACCTCTTTCACGGTGCCTGCAAATGCCATTGCCACCCCTAGTTCAGAGCCATCCGCGGTCGATCCAGCTTCGTCTACAAACCGAGGACCGCACAGCAGCAGTCCATCTCAACCAATACTGACCTTACCACTCAATCCTTTGGTCGATACTGTAGCTGACCAGCCAACAAAAGACCATAATGAATCTGGAAGTGTGCACCCGGCAATAGCAGCAACGCAAACCCATGCAACAAATTCAGACCCTGAGACAGACTCTAATGGTAGCCAGGCATTGACTGACTTTCTTCTCGTTGATGACAACAAAATCAACTTGCAGGTAGGATAATCTCATTTCTATGTAGGCGCCTATCTAACGAAAACAGATTCTCTCGGCCTTTATGAAGAAGATGAAACGGCCATATGATATCGCGCATGATGGACTGGAAGCACTGCAAACTTACTCCTCCACGCCAGGCCATTTTCGTTGTGTCTTGATGGGTATGCATACTCGTCTTATTTATACATCATCTGTTCAGTTTATGGCCTAACAAGTTGCAGATATTTCCATGCCGGTCATGGACGGCCTGGAAGCAACAAGACGGATCCGGGAATTCGAGCAAGCGCGGCAGCTGCCTCGCTCGCTGATCGTTGCTTTGACAGGAATGGCCTCTACCAAAGTACAGCAAGAAGCTTTTGGTAGCGGTGTAGACTTTTTCCTGCCAAAGCCAGTGCGCCTGAATCAACTAACCGAGCTTCTACGCGACAAGGGGTTAGACTTGGCATAGGTCTGGCACTACCATCCTCATGTTTTTCACGATTTCATCCATATATCCTCGCGGGCCGGTCTTTATGCCCTCGTCAATAGCTTCTATTCACTCTATCACCTTACTGGATGGTAGAACGTGAGTATCGTCGTATGCGTCCGAAAGGAGACAGGACGTGAAACCAGGCGAAGATGTTGATTGAACTACCATGCACGTATCGCCCGCGCTGTTTTACTAACTTCAAGCTCATGTTCTCCCTCAACCCTTTTGGCGACCATCCTGCATTGTCCATCCCGTAGGTACTTTCCCGGCCGTTGGGCAGCCACCTGGGGCTCCGCCACCCACTACTGCCTCGTGCGGATGAGGTAAGTCGTTACTCTTAGTTGTTCGTTATGGCGGCAATGCGAAGGCTGGTCCTACCAGGAAGTTTACCAACACCGATATTCGCGGGCGTAACAAGTGTGACAGCCAGAGCACGGGTTGGCATTCCAAACAAAGGACTTAGGCAGGGCTGTTATTTCACCCAATACCAATCCATTGTGGGCATGATACAAGGAGTAAAAATGATAATGGTTACCAACTCGCTGGCTTAGATGATAAGCAACGAATGCATTAATCAGTGGATCTTATTCCTCATCTAGAACGACGAGACCCTCATAGCCCGACCTGACTACTTCAGTGTCAACAATGAATGTTGCAATAGCCTTCAAGCGCTCCGTTTTGCTATGATTCTCTCCTACCGTATGATGGCAACCAGGCAGTTCCATGAAACTTTCTCCGACCTTGTAGACCTTTGGGGGATTGCCATTCATACCGCTCAACATGCTCCCTTCGGTTACCACCGCAACCACAGTGGCACCGCCGTGCCGGTGAGGCGGGGTAAACCCGTTTGGTGGAAAGTCCAACTCAAGGGCGACTATCGACTTTCCGGGTGCGTTCACAAGCTCATAGTCGTAGAGGATCTTGATGTTTTCTCGCGGGCGAGTTCTGCAGAAGACGATGTCAGTCGAGTTTCTGCTATAAAGCGGAGCGGCGCAACTTGCACCTGCTGCTTGGTCGATTGGTCCATCGTTGTTTTCTAAAGTTGAGGCAAATTCTATAATGAAACCGGAGCTTGAGAGACCTTTGCAGGTTCGTTCGTATCTAAGAAACGTTGTGAACGGAAGAAGGTACTCTTAGCATACCCATGCACGTTATATATCCCTTACGGGTATAGCGCGCGTAGCTTTACGTAGCACGTCGGACCCACCCAAATGCCGAATAGGCTATGCGCTGTGTAACCTTATTCGCCACATCGCACTCCGAAGTCGAGCGACCCGATAGCCAACCGTTCCTCCTCCTGGAACCTAATCATTGGTAGATGGTCTGCTAAACCGGATATGCTTAGTTACTGCTTCCCAATACCCGGACAACGGCAAATAATCGCATTGAGAATCCAACAGTTCATATATAGCTGTACTGGCTCCTCTATAGATCATCAAGGTTCCTGCAGAGCCATTGCGGATAATAGAGGCACATCATCCACTATGAAGGCAGTCCAAGTCATGGGAGATGCCTTGTCTCCCCACATATCATGCAACAATGACTTACCCCAGCCAACACCCCGAGCTGCCGAAATGCTCATCCAAGTCCATGCAGCCGGAATCACTGGCGACGAAGTCACTTGGCCCGAGCTATATCGCACCCCTAGCCGCATACCCGGACACGAGATATCCGGTGTCATCGCCTCAACTGGGCCCGACTACGTAGGACCCCTCAAAGTGGGCCAAGAGGTTGCCGCCTTCCTCACTGCCGAACGAGGCGAGGGCCAGGCAGAGTACGCTTTATGCTCTGCCGATGAGGTTACGTCGAAACCGACGTCGATTTCGCATGCCGAGGCGGCGGCACTGCCAATTCCTCTCCTCACGGCCTGGGAGGCGATAACAGATCACGCCAAGATCACGTCAGGCATGAAAGTCCTCGTTACTGGCGCATCTGGTGCTGTTGGCAGCATCTTCACACAGCTCGCAGCGCATCTCACTGGGGCAGAAGTAATTGCTCTAGCTTCGCGCCAGAACCACGAGAGCCTCAAAAGGCTGGGGGCACACAGCGTGCTAGATTACAACACTGAAGACTGGGAGAAAGCAGCAACGGGCGTGGATGTGATTTTCGACACAGTCGGGGGCGACATTCTGGCGAAAACGTGGGAAGCGATCAGTGACAGTGGAACAATTATCACTGTCGCAGACCCACCGCCACCTTGGGCCTTTGGCAAAGGTCCCGCCGCAGAGTCTGTTGGACGGCCTGGCGTGAAGTACATCTACTTCGTCGTTTCGCCCAACAGTGAAAGGCTCAGGAAGGCCCTCGAATTTATTGACACTGGGGTGGTCAAGGCATTGAATATCAAAACATTTCCATTTGAGGAAGCAAGCCAGGCGTGGTCGCATGCCCAAGGAAGAAACAGAGGATACAAGGCTGTAATTGATCTTAAAGGCGCGGAAAAGTCATAAGTTGAGGCTGATAAAGTGTTCGTATGCTCTTGGAAAGGCAATCAATTAATATTGAGAGGATTAGTAGTAGGTTCTAAATCAGAGATATAGACAATGGATATCGGAGTAACATCAGCGTCCTCGACGCAGTACGTATTCAAGTGACTTTTGATTCATGGCCGTCAAGCGAGACAAGGCGACTGGAAGCGTAGCTTTCCACCCACCCCAACCCTCTTCAAAGTGATCCCGCAATGTACTGTTGTATGTTCTAGTGCTTCCGTAAACGTGACCCTAGATTTTTTTACACCAATTGACAATAGTGGCACGTTTACCTGGTACACCCTTCGTGCACAAGGAAATTTAGAGGCACAGAATTATAAAACGCAAAGCATAATTGTAGAGAGTACTTAATCTCCCACGTGTCAGTATCTGGAGAGAGTAGGGACTATGTCTGGAAATGATGTTCATTCGTTGGCCCACCACGTAAGCTCTCTAGATAGATCTTCTGAACTAAACCAGCCACAGAGATCACCTATTGCATCCATGGAACAGAACGCGTCACTACTTAGCGTCTCGGCATCAGACCCAGATCTCTGCTGTATCTCTTCGCTCGAGGAATTCCTCCCTTCGCTGGAGTTGGGGGTGTTCTCGTTGGTCCCCTTGGACTGTAACCCAAATACATGACGAGCGATGTATTGAATTTCCGATACATTTCTTGCTGTACGAGACCATATCTCGCCCAATGCCTTCAGGCATCCAATGATCATACGGATCTGATCTCTTGCTATCCCCAACTCCTTTCCCTTAAGCAAGAAGTTGCAGGCGGAGAGTAGCGCGAGTATACCTTCGCTCACCATGCAAGTGGTGAACGGACTGTGATTAAATGGTCGGGCGGGAAGTGCTAGAATGCGGACCTGAGCCTCTACTGATCGCAGCACCCGGATAGTATGAACGCTGATTTGCTCAGTCACAGCCATGTCTGGCCGTGGTTCTCGAGCACAACTTGAATGGCCTTCGACAGCGTTGAATCTCAGTTCCGACAATGGCCTATGCAACCCAACGAGAGCACTTAAATAGTCAGCTCAATGTTCCGGATTGTAAAGGAATAGCTACTTACACATGGATCACCAGGTGCGCTTGGAACATGAGCTCGTCGACTTCTCCTGATCGGGACATAATCTGCTTCCTGTCTTTTGGGAGCAGCAATAACCACCCATCAATCATGGCATCCGCATCTTGAATGACATGGATAGAAGCCTGCTTGTCCGTAGTACGCGGTGTCATAGCGATTGCCGAGCCAGCGCATTTGACAGCACCTATGAGGTACGAGAAGGATGAAAATTCCGCATCGGGGAAAAATTCACGGCAGTTGAAGTCTTCCAAAGTCTTAGGCGGTGGAATATCCTGCCTGCGTTGTCAGATGTTTGTTGATTACCGGCGGGGAAAATATGAAAATAAGTAAACCATGCACGCCTGGGCTTGACCGGCGCGGTTGGGAATACTTACACCTGTCTCGTATTCAGGCTCCCTACAAGGTAAATCAACAGTCGCCTCGACTCCCACGAGTGTCAATTCCCTGGTTCCTAATGTTCCGGCATAGTAGGCATCTATCGTGAAGAGCATCCACCATGTCCTCCTCCAGCACTCCGTCAGGACAGGGTCTCCGCTTCCATGCTGTACTGCAAATTCTTGTCGGGGCATCCCGAGATCGAGGGCCAGCTGGGCAGCAGCTTTCCATTCCGATTGCGACTTGGCTTTGTGGTCCTGCCAGAATAGGACTATGGAGTACAGTAGCCGGCATTGTGCCATGACCGGATCGGTTGGGGATGCTCGGCCGAAGCAGGTCTCAACGAACTCCTGCAGCTCGGTGGACCACAACTGTGATTCATATAACTGACCGATGAGACGTAAAACTGCAATTAGGGGCATGAAGCTGTCTTGCCGGTCTCGATCTTGGTAGAGTCGTATCAGGTGCCGTTGAGGTAGCACCATGGGATGGAATCTATGGAAATTCTGGTAATATGCGTCGATGAGTTTGTCTCCCTTGATGCTGTAGTATTGCTCCAGAGGTGCTGTCGGCGAGACTGTCCCTGAGCTCTGAGTGCTGAGGTCTTCATCCTGAATGTTAAACAGGTTGGCATCTGTCAGTCGATAGGCAGGGCTCTGGTCCTGGTTGTTCTGGTGGTCTGCAGGTGGAAGGTGGGATATCGGAGGCGTTGGGAGATTTTCGAAAGAAGCAACTCCATCAACAACTGCAGCTTGACTGCGTCGCTCTGCCAAGGTCGATCGGTGGGCCCCTCCACGTCGGGACTGAGCATAATGGCATTGCTTTGCTACCTCGATGCAACGACTACATTGCGGGCGCTTGCCGTCGCACTTGAGATGGCGCGAGCGGCAAGGTAGACATGCTAACGATGAGCGCGTCGCTTTACTTCGTTGTGCAGCTGTGGTATCTAGTAGATCCATCCGGCTTTACCAGAAGAAGTGCAGGTTCAAGATGGTGTGTCGTCTTCCACCTTTGTCAGCTTTGGCTAGACTCTGGCGAGGAGTGGGGACGAAGTTAGCGGGTATTCGGGTCGGGTATTGGGGTATTCGGCGGGACGGGCGCGGGTATTGTGGCCCCACATTGACACGCCGGCCGCAACTCGGCCCGTCTGGGTATCTCCGGCCAACCCGGGCAGGAGGTCATCAATCTAAGGCTACTGAAATGATACCATACTCTCAGCCAGACAGCATGTTTCTGATAGGGGAGAAGAAAATGATAAAACCCCGTTAGTACGGCATCTTTCAGTCGAGTCAGATCAGTCACTCTTCTTGAAGTTGTCTTCCTTCGACTAGGCAAAGCTTAATTGCGTATCGTATCCTGCAATTTCTTCGAGAACTTTTCATCTTAACTACCACGATCCTATTGCAGCTACAATGGCTCTTCAAAGAGATATAGTCATCATAGGCGCTGGCTTCGCCGGGGTTTGGAGTGCCCTGGCCGCCAAGCGTCTTATTAGCCTCAGCAACAAACAGCGAGATCTGCAAGTCGTTGTTATTGCCCCTGAACCTTTCTTGGCGATCCGACCGAGGTTGTACGAAGCGGACGTTGCTACCATGAACCATCCTCTACGCGACCTGTTCGATTCAGCGGGCATCCAGTTCATCCAAGCTACCGTTCACAACATCGACACTACGGGCAACACTATTCAATTCCAATCCACCACAGGCACCAAAGCTAGCATTGAATACAAACGCCTCATTCTCGCAGCTGGAAGCCAGGTCGTGCGGCCTCAGACAGTCGCCGGAATACAGAAGCATGCGTTCGATATAGATACTATAAGCGCTGCTTCCAAACTGGAGTCCCATCTCGACAGACTTCCAACGTTTCCTCCAAGCCAATCTCGCAATACTATCGTAATATGCGGTGCTGGATTCACCGGACTTGAGTTAGCAACCGAGTTACCGAAACGTCTTGGCGAGAAGAGTGGCGCTCGGATCATCCTCGTAGAAGGCGCAGACGAGGTGGGCCCTGAACTTGGTCCCGGTCCCCGCCCCATCATCAGACAAGCTCTAGAAGCTCTCGGGGTTGAGGTCAGACTCGGCAGCCCTGTAACCGAAATCGACGCTTCAGGGGTGCATCTGGCATCCGGAGAGTATATCAAAACAATGACAGCCGTATGGACCGCTGGGATGAGAGCGACTCCTCTCACGCAGCAAATCACCGGAGCCAAAGATACACTCGGTCGCCTTCAGGTCGACCAATACCTTAGGGTGCCCACTAACGAGCAGGTATACGCTACCGGCGACGCTGCATATGCTCTTGTCGACACAGACGGCCACCATGCGCTGATGTCCTGTCAACATGCCCTTATCCTGGGTCGTGTCTCTGGACACAATGCGGCTGCTGACCTTTTGGACGAGTCGATGATCGCATACTCGCAGCCTGCGTATAATACTTGTCTCGACCTTGGAGCTTTCGGTGCGGTAGTTACTAGTGGATGGGCGCGAGAAGTGAAGGTGTCTGGAGAGGTGGGGAAAAAGGTGAAGACCTATATCAACCAGAAGCTGATATACCCTCCAAACGATGCGAAGGAAGCTATAAATGCAGCCGATCCTAAAATAGCTAGTTCCGACGAGCTACTTACGGAGATGCTTATCACTGTACAGTAGACTTCCCAGCTCAAGTTTTTAATGGGTTTCTAGAGTCAGACCTTAACTCCGCTCAATGCTAAGACATTGAATTGACGGAGGATTCCCTACTTTGAGAAATGAGGAATGAAAGGTGCCGTTTTCCAGCAGTTCGTGGCTAAGGTTTTATCAAGACCTTCTCGCCAAGGCCGGCCTTCTCTTCAGCAACGTCCCAGGCCTGCTTCCAATCATCAAGACCAAATATACCAGCAACTGTGCACCCGCCTTCTCTTCCGATTTTCAAAATGCCAGTCTCCACCATCTTGATCAAGAGCAGAAGGTCATCGCGGCTGTACATCCATTTGCCCTTGAGTGTAATGTCGTTGTGCATGATGAAGTGGTGGGGTAGCGGAACATCCCCCATCAAACCTCCCATAAGACTGACTCTGCCACTGTGTCGTAAGGACTGGATGCCTGTCTTGAGATGAGTTGATCCGGCAGCTTGCGGAGGGGAAATGTCAAAGAACACATCGATCGGACGACCCCCTGCTGCAGTTTTGATAGCTTCGGCGTCCTTGCTCGGATCATTGTACAACTTAACTACATTGACCATACCCCTAAAGCGACCGTGGCTGATTGTCTCCGATATGCCCTGAACGTTCTCGAGCTTCTTCTCATCTCGGCCCCAAGCCAGCACCTTGGCCCCCATAGCCAATGCAACCATACACGCGGCTCCTCCAAAGGGTCCCGTCGCTGGACTGATCAGCACCAGCTCGCCGGGCTTCAAGTCGACACCGTTGAGACCGCCAAAGGGCACTGGCAACGCTACCAGCTCACCCAGTTCTTCGACTTGAAGCCCCAAGCCTCCAGAGCCAGGACTTCCCAAGAGTCGAGACTCATCCAACACGAACACGTTCTCTAGGGGAACCCGCACGTACTCGGCAAAGGTACCATCGCGGAAGGCATCCCTCATCAATTTCTTGCTCGCGGCACTAAAGCCGTCAAAGAACGCGCTTAGGAACTGCTTTGGCCCATCCTGAGCGTCCCGAGCACGAACAAGGCAGTCGAACTGAACGAGCTGGCCGATCTCCAAGCTCGTGGCGTCCGGTCCTAAGGCGGCCACTCGGCAGACTGCCGAAGCGCCTGGAACCAGGGGCAATGGGTAGGGATAACCGCGCTTGTTGCCGAGGAAGACGTCCTTAGTGTACGAGATGATAGGCGAAGCTAGAACGCGGAGAAGAGCGGTGCCCGGAAGTACTTCTGGTACAGGCACCTGTTCGACTTTCGGGTCGATGTTGACGTCACGCAACACTAGAGCGCGGTGGGTCGTGGGTAGAGCCGCGGTGTTGGAGGCCATTCTGGTCCACTATGAACAACTGGGACTATGCAGTGCCAAGACTGCATGGGCATAGATGTAGTACGTAGCAACAAAAAACATATCCCCAATATTTGTAGATTTGAAATGGAGTTTCCGGAGTTAAGAGTTGGAAATCCGACGTCTAACATTTGACAAGATTTACAGGTGCTAGAGTTGAGGCATCCCTAAGTTCTCCATGATCAACTAGCTGTTGCGGGGTGTCACTCGGAAGTAGCCGTTGTCAGACTTTAGCTATGGTATGTTACCTAGTACATCAGTGATAAAGCCTGTTAAGTCCGACAAACCACAGGGTCTCAATATACGTGATGCTTCTGCAATCTTATCGCCGATTTATGCTGGCGGTCTAATCAAAAATTGGTTTGAGGTTATGTGGGGGAGATTTGGAGGGATAATTAGCCCGTGCGAATGCAGCCTCGATACGTTGGCCATGGTGTTTTGACCTAGAGCTATTGGAATATCCGAAGCACCCTGCTGCTTCATACTAGACAAGTTGGTCTGCTTATAGATATATCAAGCTTTGGTACGGACTTCACTAAGCCTACCGGAGGTGATGTTAACTTAATCAGAGACTTGTGCATCGATAACTCAGCCCCAAAAGCGGGATCGCTCGTAAGCAGAGGTTGCAAGTAATAACTCATAATGCAAGTTCGACAAAGCATTGCTTGCGCACAAAATTTTGTCTGCCCCGATTTAGTCGAGATTAATGAATTAAGCTGAACATGGCTGTGAGCGGTCCCTAGACAGGAACATATCCATAACCTCTGCCATTTGCTACCGCCTCTGTGGCTATGAGTGAGCTTGGCTGCGCCGTACTGTGCAGCTACCGACAGCCCTACGCCAATGATCATTCTTGCTCGCCTTTTGCTTCCAAGCCAAGAGTGGCTGAGTTGGCGGCTTGTGCATTGACTGGTATCACATAAAGATGTATATCTGCGAGGTCCTGTCGAGTCAGCCTTGATCGTTCAGTCGGCCACTTTACGTTTGCTTCGCCTTTGTACTCCAGCGTCTTGCTTCAAAGCTCAGGTACTGCCTTTGAGAGCAACGAGAAGGGTGTTGGATTTGATCTCGCAAGCAATCGATAACGCCACGAGTTGCGACAGTTGCCAATGGCGCTAAACACCTTTTCCCCTAACTGCACATCTCCCGATGCTCATGTCAACTATGTCGCGTCGCTGCCCTTACGATCCACGCTGGACATTGTCTGGCCCTGCATCTTGACCCTGATCGCCTCAATCTATTCGGCGCTCCACTTGGACGTGATAGCCGACACGAAGGCTACTTCGGCAACGCCATGCGATTGCAAGTGGTGCAAAAAGTGGTGGCTATACAATCGAATCTACCGCGATGCGAGGGGCTTAGTAGTTGAGCTAGGCGTCGCAACAGTAGCCTTGTTCGCTCCTGAGCTGATTGTGCAAAGGGCAATACAGGAAATGCGCTGGTGCTCATCCGCATTGCAGAGACTAAATGGACTAATAGAGCACAAAATGTACGTTCAAATTTCCATCTGGTGTATTTCTGAGAGCATTCAACAAGAGAAGCTGTTGGAAGGCCTTGTGGTCTTTGTGATTGTTAATTCATTCTGCAGAATGTCTCAGTGGACGAGGACGCATTGCTACTACGTGAACATGGGTGGGTTTCGACTATGTTGTCTTGGGCCATTGGCTGCGCACGCCATATCTCCTGGAGCTCCCTGTGAATGCGAGGAGACAGTCCTGGATCGTGAGGGCCTCGCTTTCGCAATATCTCGCGGTTTGTTACCTCCAGAACCTCCTATCACCGAACAGGAGATTCTTGACCAGGCCAAGGCTGGGACCTTCGCGAAAGTTCTCGCCCTTTGGCAGATTGTTTGGTTCCTGGTCAGTGTTGTCACCAGGCTTGTCCGCCAGCTGCCTGTCGCCCAACTTCCAGTTGGGGTAGCAGGTTTTGCGATGCTTGCCATAGCGACACTGTCCCTTTACTTCAAGAAGCCCAAAGGAGTCAAGATTGGCACCAGAATCTATTTCCACCTCCAACCACAGCCCGTCATTCAGTTGCCACGGACTCAAAATGACGCTGATGTTGGAAGGGACTCACCAAATCCCCTTTTCTTGTCCAATATTCACACCGACAATCAGAACGAAAGGGAACCCAGCTCCGTACTGGCACAAAACTTACGAGCCAAAACCTCTTATTTTACTTCACGCAGCCGATCCATTCGAGCAGAGCTAATGTCCCATATATCCCTGTCTCACGATGACGAGCCTGCTGCAGAAACCCTGGCGGATTCCATGTTCGTCGGAGCATTGCTGGCGCTGCCATTCGGGGCCGTCCATGCGGCGGCCTGGAATGCAATATTTCCAACAGGGGCTGATCAATAGCTTTGGAGAATATCATCTGTGGTGTCAATGCTAGTGTTGTCGTTGATGTCCATCATGCTACTCAAGCTTGTCTCGTTGGGAAAAGCGACAAAATCGTTTGAGAGTAGGCTTGACGGCACGCTTGAAAGAGTGCCTTATAAGCTGTATTACTTTTTTATAGCAGGTTATACGGTTGCTAGAGGTATTTTAATTGTTGAGATGGTGCGCTGCATGCTATTCCTTCCCCCTAAGGCTTACACCACCTCATGGACAGCGAGTGTCCCACATTTTGGATAATTATAATTGCTAGGGTTGGTGATGAACAAGAAATTTTGCATAATCTGGTCGAAGTGAGCACAGTGCGTTAGACTGAAAGTCTATAGTTTAAGCTTGGTAAGAAATTACTTGTGTTCAAGAGTTGTCGCTGCCAGTTTAGTTACATGTAATGACTCGAGCTGACCAGGAACGTAACCGCTCTGTGATATTGCAAACAACGCGGTTAGGTGATATTGGTGTGAACCATAGTAGCGGACAAAACCTCAAGTCCGGGCGCGGGCCGCTAAATCCCAAAAATAGCGTCCAGTATCCTGTTAGAATAAATTGTTTGAGAGGACGCATGCATAATATCTCGGCGCCTCGTTGGTGCCCGCACCGTTGAGGTTTCGCAAGGAGGCTGTAGTGTAGCATGAGTGGTGTTGGCCGCAACTCGTGGCCAGCTTTAGGCGCCCAAGTTAAAAATCCTGCCGCCTGATAGAATCAGATCGTCATGATAACCATTCGACTTTGAATTGGACTGACAGGCAACTTATAGATTCGTGATTTATTCAAGACCTCTAGTACCCTAGAAAGATGCCGCAAGCCAGCCATCTGCGATCTGCACCGAGGCGACAACTCCTAACGTCTATTCCAAATGGAGTACAGCTGGCTGGCTACATCGCTTGGCTTCCCCGACGCGATTGTACGAACGCGAATCTCGGCCTCGACGAGGGTTGCTACAATCATCCCGTGGTAATCATTTCGCCTCTTGTCCAGGGCGATGAGGTAGGGATTTTCTTGGTGAGTTGCCCCGTTGGGCCAGCAAGCTATCCTTCTGATACTACCAGATAACCTCGCTGGATGACAATGACCTGGCCACGAAGTATCGCAGCAAGAATACACGATTAAATTACCTGCCGATCGCACCGTCAAACTTCCATCCCGATAATGGCAAACTTCTGTACCTCGAGGATCAAGCGAAGCTGAGGAAGAAGAGCTACGTGAATACTGGAAGGCAGTATAGGGTTCCATTGAGTTCATTGCATCCATACTGCAATACGGGCAGGGTCTTCGTACTCGATAAACACTCATATCAAGAGTTGATATGTTACGCAGGACTTAACGTCCCAGAACTCGACTCCAGGGTGAGCTCTTCTCAACCCATTGGCAGCTCTGTACCACTGGGGCGCTCCGAAAGCAGTCTCCATCCAGGGGAGAACCTCCTTCCAACGGAAGAACACCCTGACGTCCCATGCGTGGTTTCAATCGCCCCTCCACAAATGAACAACAACGCAATGGAATATGCAAGCACTGTACCGAGTCATCCATCCAATAGAAGCCCAAATGATTCTGTCGATGGCCACGCGTGCTCGAGTGTGACTTCAGTCCAGGCAGAGCGCCAGAGGCTCTTAAGTGGATCTGAGAACCGACCAAGAGCAAACTTCTATGGCACCAATGCACGTCGATTGAGGCGGCATGGCCCAGCGGAGGAGCCATGGCTCGACAAGTGCATGGCAGAGGACTGCGGGGGTCTGGTTCCGATCTGCGGTTCGCTATACCTCTTAGTCTGGATGTGCGGGTATGTGCTCGCCGCATATGCTGTGGTTTATGCCCTTTTATGGGCAATGTGGGCCGTTGGGGCCGGAATCGCTTGGGCTTGGCATGGCTTTCAATCCTTGGGTCCCTTGGTCATTAATGGGCTGCGAGATGTGGTTGTTGCACTTCACCACGTATTCGACACTGTCGTGAACTGGGCGAAGGCTCTATTTCTCCCAGACGGTACCCACTAGGCTAGGACCTGTCGGTCAACATTTCTGAGATGGTGTATGCAGGGGGTATCCGTGATGGCGCAGGATTCTTGTCCTCAGCCTGGAGAATTGAATATTCCTCTGTAAACCCGCCTGTAAACTCAATGCTCTTGTGTATGAGAAAAAGTTGATGGGCACCCGCGGCTGCTTGACTAGTGGGTGGGCATCATTGGTGGCAGGCGAAAGTGCGGAATTGCATCCGTCCCCACAGGGATCCCATTTCGCGAGCCCAATTTACGCGTCTCCCTGGCGCGTGGACTAGCAATGTGGTGACAACTAATTCATAATTCGTAGACAAACACCTCGAAGGAGCCTCGACAAGGGAATAGTGTCGCAAAGAACATTGCTCACTCTTGATGAGCTGATCAGCGACCTGCCATGGGATACCGATCCCGAGCCGCACCCTCTTCCTATTCATCCATGGCCATGAAGTAGCAGGCGCATCTAGAATACGCACAGGGATCACAATGGCGGCACGGAACAAGGAGCATTTCTTCCAGCACGGCAAAAAGGTACGTACCTCAATCAACATCTGCTACGTGTGTCAAGGTCAAGATCAAGGTCAAGGGGGGTTCCACTGACGACCGTTCCGGGCAGGGCAACGACGAAGAGAAGGCCGACTGCCACTGGTGCCAAATTCGCTCCTTCAGGACGCACCCTGACTTCCCCGTCACAATTGTCAACACCGTCGACGATGCGGTCCTCAAAACCGACTTCATGTTCACGGACGAGTCTGTGTACGGTCCCGGCGTCGAACCAGCTAGGGATGAGTTCCGCAGCGGCTGCGACTGCGAGGATGGCGAAGACTGCCAGTACAACACGTGCCACTGCCTGCAAGAGATGGACGAGGAGTCCGACTCGGGAGATGACGACGGCTATGGTACGCCCAGGCGGAAGATATACGCATACCATACGCATGGCACCAAGAGGGGTCATCTGAGGTCGGACGTGCTGGAGTCCAGGGCCCCGATCTACGAGTGTCACGATGGATGCGCCTGCGGCCCGGAGTGCCCGAACCGAGTTGTCGAGCGTGGCAGGCGGATCCCGCTACAGATCTTCAGAACCGAGAACAGAGGCTGGGGAGTGCGCAGCATGGTAGATATCAAGCGGGGCCAGTTCATCGACAAGTACATGGGGGAGATCATCACGCCCGAGGAGGCAGACCTGCGCAGGGCACAGTCGGGCATTGCACAGCGGAAGGACGTCTACCTGTTCGCGCTCGACAAGTTCTCCGATCCCGACTCGCCCGACGAGAGGCTGCGTGGGCCGCCGCTCGAGGTGGACGGCGAGTTCATGTCGGGCCCGACGCGGTTCATCAACCACTCGTGCGACCCGAATCTGCGCATCTTTGCCAGGGTCGGCGACCATGCCGACAAGCACATCCACGATCTGGCGCTCTTCGCCATCAAGGACATACCAAAGGGGGACGAGCTGGCTTTTGACTACGTGGACGGCGTGGACGACTCGGACAAGGATGCGTTTGACCCGGAGATGAAGAAGGACATGACCGTCTGTCTGTGCGGCAGCAAGAAATGTCGTGGGTTTTTGTGGTAGGGCGACGGGTGTCTGCAGCAATCCCGCGCAACCGTAGCTTCGGGAGCAGCCAGTGAATCACGAGCACATGTGAAGCCAGATGCGGGACACGATGCCGGGTTGTATTCTCCGGCTATATGTGCAGATGCGAGCATGGCCTTCCGCAAGCCCAGGGAGCGATCCCTGAAACCTGGTTATGCTGATGAACCAGTATCGAGCAATTCCAAAATGCCAAACACGATGGAACTTGATAAGCCGAATTGCACTTCTCCTCTATCATCTTGTCTGACCGACCCCTCCCCCTCCACCATGTCCCATATCCCATGTCCCATGTCCCATCTCTGTCTGTCAAAACTCTAAAAAGTCTTGTCTTGGGTAAGGGTCAGGGTATCGTGGGTTCTATTAATGGCAATCGAAGCTGGCCAACCTTATTCCCGCTAGCTTGGCGATCCGGCGGGGCTCGCTAATAAGATGAAGAAATAAAGTGGACTCGGCTTCAGCCTCATCCAGACTCTTCCCGACTTCGCGCGCACATTGCCGTCGGCTTCCCCCCTGATTAGCTGCTTGTTGTCGTCGGGCTGGCTTTGTTGGGCGTCGCTGCTTCTATAGTATCTATTATCATGAATTGCCCGTGTCTCGCCCGATAGCTTGTGTAGGAATCGCCCACCATGGTAAGTAAGCGGTGTTATCTCAGCCCCCCTCCCCCCCTCTGACGCACACGGGACTTGGGCCAAGCGCTGGTCGCAATCACCTCTCTTGGCGGAACCACCGCTGATCAGTCTTCGCACGATAGGGTTGCTGTTTCTCGACTCCCGCCGGCCCCAATGCGCCGTATCCTGGCGGAGCGCCTTCTGGTTCCTCGCGCGCGATCAACTCACCCCGACTGCAAGCCTCGGCCACCGAAGAGAGCGGCACCCGGTCTCCGGCCGTGGTCCAGTCCGACCCGACTGCCTCCCTCGCCTCGCCCACCAGCGCATCGAGTCGCCGATCGCGCTCCCAGCAGCCCCTAGATCAGCACATCGATAAGCCACTACGACGTCATGTGTGGTGCAGCAGCGACAGAACATGGACCCGGGCGCAGCTTGACAAGGAGAGGACCGAGTTCTTCGACACGCGGGTCACGGGAAGAGCAGAGGTGTGGCAGACCGTCCATGCCGCGCTCGAGGTCATGTGGCAATCCGACGCCGAGCCCGGTGCGACAACCGAGGGAGACCCGGAGGGCGACACTGCGCTGGCCACGGCGCAGAGTATCCTGAGAGCTGCCGAGATCACCCTACCCACCGGCGACCTGGCCAAGGGCGTATACGATTCCCTCGGTCACTACTACCCCCTGCCCGAGTGGATAGTAACGGATCCGGTCAACATTTCAGAGACAGATGAACAGGATCGTGCCGAAGACCAGAAGGGCGGCCACGTCGACGATGACGACGGGGCCGGGGAAGAAAGCGACGAGGTCCTGCGCAAGCGTGAAGAGAAAGGCAAAGCCGTTGAGTCTCAAAATACAGTCAAGATACGTGCACGACTCAGCGAAACGGCGCGTGATATCATTGTCAAAATCGATCCAGACGACAGCGTTCGTTCGGTTGCCCAGAAAATACTATACCAATCGCGTGTAAGTTACTACTCGTGACAGCCAGGCTTTTGGTGCAGTATCCACTTGATACGAGCAAACTGCTGACACCAACTTAGCTGGACGCTCAGAGCCGAAAGATCAAACTCGTCTACCTGGGCAAGATTCTCAAGGAAAATGCATCTCTCGAATCACAGGGCTTTAACACGACCCATGTAGTCAACGCGTTCGTCTTCAGCCGCTAGACCACGCTGACATTGGGGCCGATACGGCCCAGACTATGCATCTCTTTCACACAGCTCTCTTTCCTATCTCAGTTACAACTGCATCGGTTTGGATTATACCCCATCTACCCAGGCTTGATTTCCCTTGCCCATCGTATGTTTTAAAGGCGTTCCGGCTAGTGGGTCCAGAATGTTGTATCAGGTCTCACTTCAATTTGTGTCATGCCGCGAACCAAGCGCGGCCGTATTTTTGTATAATCGATAGACTAATGCACCGTGGTACCCATTCATGGCTACTCATGACCCTCTCTAAATGACAAAGCTCTCCGACGTGCCAGGAAGTTGAATCCGGGCACAATGATTTATATATATATGTAACCAATCGAACGGTCTCTCTACGGTAAGATCTTTGGCCACTTGGGCTGCGAATCAATTACAGAGTTCCTCTCAAGGCGGTGTAATATAAGTTAAGTGTGATACACCACCAAAATGCCTGCGTCGCCGGTGCAGCCTCTACCCTTCGTCTGGTAGTCTCCTTAAGGTAAGAAACAAGACCTTACGGCTCTTTACCATGTTGTCTTGAAAGCTACATGTCGACATCGAATACACAAACATAACATCTTGCTATGTATGATGAACCTGAGTGTGCCGGTCCAACTTAAATACTGGCGGGTGTAACAAAAACCCGCATGCATAGGTCCCTCCTGTCTATTTGCTCTAATGAAGCATAGCAGGGAGGATCTGCGGGGTAACCATCGGCTTGCGGTAACGCGTGCGCGACATTATGGATGCCCGTAAACCTCTTGCTATCTCTCGGAGTGGCACTTGTGGGCTTTATTTCCCTACTGAGAATGCTCCAACCGACTACCATCTATCGTCAAATCTACACCACAGAAGCTGAGATCACGGATGAGCGCCTCGCGAAAGTCAACGATGACAGCGCCATGTATAAACCCCCCCCCCCCCCCCCCCCCGCAGAGGCATGTGTTTTTTCTTATGTATATAAGCACTACGCAAAAGTCACCAAAAGTTGTCAATAGTTCCGTGCAGGGGGTTTGATCAAAATTCTTGGGAATCGACGAATCAAAACCACATATATGGCTGCAGGCAAGATGTGATGCCTGGGCGCGTGTCTTAGGACGAACCGCTCTTCACTGAGCTCTCGCTAGATGAATATTTGTGTATTCATCTAAACATCACGCAAAAGATCCCGGTTCTGCCAAGTCTTGTCAATGGTGCCGTGCAGGAGTGGCTGCATCTCCAACAAGTCCAGGCTAATCAGGCCCATGGTCTCATCGTTAGTCCAACCACTAGCATTGTGCCAACGCCTTGCAGGTCACAAACTAGGCTGTCGAGAGCGTCAATGCATGATCCAGCCCTGCGTCCCTCTCCTTCTAGCAACAGATTGTTCTCTCCGGTCCGAAGATATAATGATCGATTCCGCTTTACAATCTTCCCCCCTGGCTATGTCCCCATGTCGATCAAGAGCAGGATACTTCCAGAATCATGAGCTTCCAGTTTTCTCGCCCCCATACCATGCCCAGTGCAGGCCCTCAAGCCGCCTTTGCCTCCACCAGAGACTGGGAGGTCCATCGCCCAGTCATCACAGACCTGTATGAAGGCAAGAATATGACCTTGAATGAGGTTATGAGATACATGGAATCACGACATGGATTCAAAGCAACGTGAGCGCAGGTCATTTCCATACAAAACTTGGAATCAATTTGCTGAAAACAACAGTGTCAAAATGTACAAAAACCGAATCAAGCAGTGGGGATTGCGCAAGAATCTTCGGTCAAGCGACGTCGAGAGATATGTACAATCTGGTTCCGTTCAAGGGGATAATACACAAATCCCAGAGTTGCGTGGGCGCAAGGCCAGCCAGCAGAGAATAACTACATACCTACGCCGAAAACAAGAGAGAGACAGCAAAAGGCTTGCAGTTGCTTCACAGGTCGGTCCAGCAAGGCCAACACCGCTCAGGATGAAGTCGAATACAACGGGCACCGCATTACTTACGGATGCATCTGGCTTAGCTTACTCCTCCCTCTGCTCTCCGCATGACTTTCGATGGCAAGAGCAGTGCTTTTACGTAACGCGCTGCTGTTTGGAAAGCAGTTTCGATTTCGTGTCTTTGAAATTGGATTCAGAGCACGAAGACCATGGAAAGGAGGCCCTAAACTGCAATAATTACATTGTCACGGCCTTGCGGCTCATGCGCGGCGGGAAACGCAGACAGGCATATCGCATATTTGAAAGGTGCAATCACTTACTCTATCAGGCATTCCTAAGGGGCTATCGGTATGAGATTCTCCTCGACCTATTTCGACGAACCCTGGAGGTGTACCAAAATTTGCCTGATCTTGCCGCGTATTGGTCACAAGTCCTTCAAGCGTATTCAAACTCCGCCTACAGAGCTTCAAATCACCTAGTTGCAACTTTCTTGGGAATTTTGTGTAACATTGGTTCGTCACTCTAAAATCATCTATAGTATTGATATCTAACAGGATTCCAATTAGCACCGAACAAAGTCTATGAATTCGGTCGTATGTATCTGGAGGGCTACATGAACTTGATGCGCGAATATCTTCCAGCACATAGCGACCTTCTTTGTAATATGGTCAACGAAAACTTTTATCGTCTATATCGCATCGACCTCATAGACAAGGACACTGCAGTGGCTGCTATACTAGCTAATGTTTCAAGATTGATTGAATCGGGCAGGCAACGGTCTCAACCATACCTGTGCGCCAAGTATTACCTTGCATGGCTGTACTACTCGGACGACGACTGGACAGCAATGTTGCGAACGACGCAGGATATTCTGTCTCTAGAAGATAGGTACAAAGATTCAAAGTTTTTGAACACCCGGGAGACGGGATGAAGCTCGGTCTCGTGACAGACAAAGTCTTTCGAACCTTGTAGGAGGCGCAGCTAACCTATGCATTTTCTAGTGGGCTCGAAGTTTTTTCCTTCTACCGTACGTCATGCTATGAACTACAATTCGAAATGTACCGTGCCCAGGGCAATGAGCACGCCGCTATCGCAGCTGGGCAAAAACGTATCAAGTGTTGCATCGATGAATTCGGCATGGCTGACGATCGGACCATCGATACACTCAACGATTGCGAAGAGTTTCTCAGAGAGCGTGGACACCTAAGTCCGGCAAACCAGACCGAGAAAATGTTAGAAGATGCTATAGATGAACTGTGCCTGGGTGTAGGGAAGCTTGAGTTGTAGCACAGTCCAAAGAATTGGCTACGACTCGAGACTAGCTCCTCAAAAAAGGTTACGCAGGTAACAGGAACGAGAAAAAGGCGTCGAAGATGGGCATCGCGAGTTGCAAATGCTGAAGAAGTTCCTTTCTATAAGTTTTGGCCATTTGCGATTGTCCTCATGTACCTTACGGCACTTTCAGCTGCCTCCTTGAGCTCATCATCCTGTTCTTCTTTTAACAGCTTGAGTAGCCTCTCTACCCAGAAGGTCCAACGTTCGTGTGGGTTCCCAAATGATACAGGCGACCGTGGGATATCCCTTGGATCCCAGCCCGGAATATCGTTACTATGCAAGCTATTATACAGCCTCTGACCACAATGAGTAATCCACCGACCAGACGCCGGTATCAGGAAGTCAAGTCTGATCTGCTCATCAGCCAAGGCATCGTCTGGAGCGCGTCGGTGGTCGTCAGACCCGGGGGTCCACTCGAGAGCTTGGACAACATATTGCAAGGCTCGCGGGTATGCTAACGGTCCCTGTGTGAAGAGCTGCGCTGCGACTATTTGGGCCTCCACGTCCTGCTGTTTAATGTATTGGTCACGCGCACGGCGCAGAGTAGCATCATCGGGACATCTTCGTGCAATCTGCCCCGGCGACATCCAGTGGTTGTCTGACCAGACGCGGGTGAAATACGGCAGATCATCCCAGCACAGAGGCTTCTCTTCCTCATCTCTCGCTTCCCTGCGATGGATATGACCCGGAGCTTTCTTGATCTGGATGAGAAGAGCAACAAGAGGTGGTGTCTGTGTGGATGGCCATTCGATGAGCGCTTCGATGAGCAGGGCCCAGAGCTGCGCCAGTGCTCTAGAACCGTCTGAGTACGTATTCAATTTGGGCACTGAATAGTCTGTAATGGGACGGGTAATAGAGTAGGCTGCTTCGTCTGCTGAGATGGAGCCATTGTGGAATGGCTGGAGCACTTTGACCTCCAAGGAGAGGATGGCTTGGAGAGTATTGTCCTCGTCGTACATGCGATCGATGCACGCTTGGAACCAGCCATCAGGTATAGTCCTAACGTTCTCTTCAGAAAGCGTATACTGTGCCATTTTCGCTGTGTATGGTCGTTATACAGAGGTGGAAGGTACTAGTAGTGCTTTGCTTTGCTTTGCTTTGTTATAAAAGCGAAGTCCTACGAGTATGACGTTCAAGTCGAAACTCAATGTCAATTGCTCAGCCTTCCGTTCACATTGTAACCAAGGCTCTAATCAGGGCGGTGTTAAGAATCTATTGATAATGAAAGTGATGAAGGATAAGACGGATCGGCGTCAGGATCAACTACTCCACGATATGTGGCAAACAGGCTAAAGCACGCATTTCAACGTGGAAAAGATGGACCATTGGCATGGGCCAGCATGAATACTAAGAACAGCCGATTTATTGCTACACTTTCACATAGGTTGGTCATTACGCGCGACCTTTCCAGCAGTGTTGGTAGAAATAATGAACAGATCTATCGTCAATTTTATATACAGGAAGTGAAAGTTGCGACACGCCGGCGTCGGTCTGAGGTACTTGAGTGCTCCATTGTCGCATCTAGTTTGGACGCTTCTGCCGGCCACACGAGCTCTTACGGCCATTGCCAAAGCCTTTTCCAAAGCCGCTACCTTTTCCACCATTGAAGCTTGGCAACCCGCTAGAAATTGGCCCAGAAGATACAAAAGACTGCGATGGAATGACAGCTGTAGGAGCGCCGGAGGGAGTGGTTACTGGGGCTGCTATAGCGCTGGGAACAACTATATCGGAAGGCTTGACTGAGGTGTTGTCAATCTGGGTCTCCGAGGGAATTAAAGTACTCGACGAGACCTCTGATGTCGCTTCGACGACTGGTGTAGTCGTCTCAGCAGCGGCTGTCGTTGAGGAGCGGATGGAGGTTACGAAAGTTGAAGTGGCGAGAGTAGAGGTAGCTGCTTCCTCTTGAGCAACAGTTGACGATGCAATAACCACACTTGACGAGGGCGCGGAAGTTTCACTGCTCCCGCTGAGGCTCATGCAAGCAAAAGACATCGAGGTTGTGGTGGCTGTTGATCCACCGTATGCAACAGGCGAAGAAAGGTCCCAGACCATGCTGACATACGGCCAGCAGATTCTGCCGTCAGACATGGTCACCATATCTCCGGCAACGTAAGTATCTGTCTCAACAAGAGCATCGCCAACCTTGGCACCATTCGTAACGAGCTGGAAGCGAGTGCCAGTGAAAGTACCCTGACAACCCATAGCAATCACCGGGCAGAAGGGATTTTCGATTTCCTCCCCTGTTTCAAGTGTTAGGAAGTGGTAATGTATTAGCAGGATTGGGGAGCCTCACAGGTCACCAAGACACTTGATCCATCAAAGGCAGCAACATGAGCATTTGAGCAGTCGGCGGTTCCTTGGGTTATCCAGTTGATTTGGGAGTCGCCATCAGCAGCGCCGACCACAGATGATGCCTGCTCGCCAACAAGGGTGTTCTTATCGGTGAACTGGGCAATGGCGACGTTGCGGCCATTAGTCCGGTTAGAGCACTGGGTGTAGCCATTACCCATCCACGAGTTCTCCGTCAGGTCCACTGCACCACGGGACACCCACGCAAAGACGTAAGAATCGCTTCCAATCAAGCGCGCGAGGCCGCTGTAGGAACCGCTCATGCCGCCCATTGCCTCCCCACTTGCGCCATTGGTGGTGTTCTCGTTAGAAATCTTGACACCACTCATGCCCTGAGTTGCAGTGTTGAGCCAGATGTCACCCTGATCCTCCGCGCAGATACTGGCGAATGGTGCGGCATCGGCGGCCTCGAAGGCAATACCAGTATTGTGCGAGCATCCCCAAGAGCTTGATGCGCCAGAGATCGTTGTAAGTGTACCATCAGTCTTGACATACTTGATGCTATCACCATAATGGCCCGAAGCATCTCCAGTATATCTACACAAGAAGTTCAGTAACGAGGCTCACTTTAAAGCGGCTAGGATGAGACTAACGCGGTGATGACAAAGTAGGCACCGTACATGCCCGCCTCTTCAGAGTAAACGAGATCACCATTGAGATCTGGTGAAGCGGCGAGGCCGAAATTTGCATCTACCCCGGGGCCTCCAAGAAATGTCTTCCATGTCTGTTGGCCGCTGGTGAAGCGATAAAGCACCGGCACCGGGGTGCTTGCAGCGGGCGCATCCGCGGTGCCGGACGGCAGAGCCTCGTTGGTTAACAAAGCGAAACCATCGTTGTGGGCGACTAGACCCCCGGCTTCCTTGCCTCCAGTCACGGTGACAGCAGATCCGACAGCAGCGAAAGTTGACGGGTCCACCTGCTGGACGTGCACGTCGGTCTCACTTGAGTCCAAGTACGCCAAATAAGCCGATTGTCCGTCGGGCGAGACAGCAAACGGAGTTCGGCGATGGTGCGGCAGGCTGGTCCAGTACGCCTCTTTCACTGGCTTGAAAGAATGGTCCAGAGTCAAAGAGTCTACATGTTTCTGCAGGGAGCTCTCACTGAGGCTCGCGGCGGCAATGGTTGACAATGCGCACGACAGCGCAAAGGAACGGAATAGCATGATAGCGAAAAGAAAGTCAAGCGGATCTTTTGACCCGCAAAAAGAACGTGACGAATTGAAACGAATGATGGAATGGCAACCAAGACCAGGAGATCTACATCTCAATGGTACCTACTAATGGGGTTTACTTATAAGGCCCTCGGCTCTCGATCCGAACCATCCCTCTCTGCTGGGTCTAATGCTCTTGCTTGGCTGGAGACTTCGTCTGAACTATAGTGCTCGAAATCTAGCCGGCGGACCATCCCTTATGTGACATGGATAGCTACAGTGAGTTACCCTCGGCGGAGAAAGCCGCCAAGAGGTGGGAAGTCTGTTTATTAGTCAAGGGGAGCTGGCTAGTGTTTCACAAAGAACAAACGTGGAGATGGCAGGGGTTTGGCAGGGGACGGAGAAATCGACGTGCTGACCCCAATCTCCTCTGTGTTTCTAATTTGTTGTGACCTTCACAGCCATGAATTACTTCGATTACTAGTTGCTTTGCATCGTACTAGCCAGGAAATCGCCAGTACCTTTCCAATGAATGTGGGAAGATACTGTGCGAGCATCGTAGCTTAATTACACTGTACACAGCAGAGATCCAATCAGAGTCGCTTCTTTTGCACATAACATTACTCGCACACGCAGTCACAGCCTCAAGTCGCACTCTTCACTCGGACAAGGATACTCCTAGGCATAAAACATTGTGAGAACTCCCCGCAAATTCAATGTTACTATCCTTAACCCTAAGAGAACGCCGTTCGATTCTGCAAGCCGACCAGTCGTGCCCACCAAACGAGCGGGCCTATCGCATTCCAGAAGCTATCCTAGGATTGTAGCCCCCTGTTTTCCGTTCCATACTTGGCGCCGGTGCTTTAACTTAGAAGTAATTCCCTGGCCTCTACTTGAAAGACCAAGTGACAGACACATTACCGGCTCCCAGCCCACCCACAAGCTCGTTGAAGACAGCCTGCGTGCCATCTATGTCGCCATAGCCGCAACCATCACATTGGTCAGTGACTTCTGCGTCTGTTTCCCTGCCTTCGTGCTTGATGCGGATTTTCTTGTGACAAACAGCCGCGTTGTTTGGGTTTGCACTGTTGCTTAGTTCGGCGAACTGATATTTGTTCAGTGCGACGATTTTCTGGTTTTTGTAATTGATTTCTCCGCAAGCACCAGGTTTGATGCCCAGGCCGCCCTCTTTGTCATACCAGGTCATCCAGCCGTTGAAGGCTTTGGTAGGATCCATTCCCACGGGACCCTTGTCAATTGCGGGTAGACCAAAACCTAGTGTAGCAAATGCAGCTGTTAAGAATAGTGGTCGAAGCATGGTGCTGTAGAAATATGAAGCGATAACGGTCTATGATGAATGAGATGTTCTCACTTCACTTTCGTCATGTCATGTGCCGCATGTGCAGACATTTATACATGCTCGATTATTGAAGGAGGGTGGTTCAGACCCTGCAGGATCGTAGCGCTGATATCATGCAGGATGAATCAAGAGCTGAAGGATACTCGTGTTGAAATCATGCAGGATCGGGGCGTATCAAGGAACTCTGAGATCGGCAAGGCCATAGAAATGTAAAGTGCCGCCGCATTTCCCGCGGTGTTCGTCTTAACTCTTCGTGATTACCTGTGGCAGCATTCCTATTAAAACGTCTCTACAGTTCACATGTTGTCGCTCGCACACTATTTGTATTTACATCAATGTGAAGTGGCGTGTATTTCTAGTACAAAATGAACACTAGGGAAGTGCTCAAACTTTACGCACAGGGGAAACCGTTCAGCTATGGCATTTCAGCAGCTAATTGACCAGAAATATGTGAGCCTTGCATTGATTTTCCAGCCACAACGGCAAAAACTGCGTGGGTGCAGGATGGCTACCTTCCTGAATGAGGCGCAGTACAGATCCACTCAACAATCCTGCTCAGATAAACTCAAGATCGGCGAAGAAGTGCACAGATTATTGTATGAAAGGATTAGACGCATGCCACAATTTGCTCAATGCGTCATGGTGGCACGATGTCACTTTACCCGGGGTTCTCTATTGGACGTGATAAGAGCTGCGGACCGGGCCGATGGTACTAAATATGGTTCCCAGATACACGAGTGAATGATATACGTGGGATTTGGCGCTATACATGCATAAAACGTTTCAATCGCCGTCAGCAACATAACGTCCCCAGCAATGCCGCTTTCTGAATGAAGGCCATCGACACAAGTTACTTTTAAGGTTGATCGCAACTAATTGGTGGTCGTCCGCTGTCCACTATGCCCGCCTCCCTGTTCAACGCTTTGCGTCGTTACAACAAATATGTGATTCTTGTGTAGGGCTTCCTCAATGGAACTCAGATAAAAACCTATGATAAAAGCTTTAACATAAGAAGGGTTGATAATCGAGCCGCCAAAAACAACTATGCTACCCATAACATCTCGCATATTCTGAGAGACACAGTCATGTCTATAACAAGCAATGCTATGTAGCAAACGGACTTGAGTACCATGCTGATGTTTCCACCTATGTTGGAAGCCACGGACATGATATTTATCTCGACTTCTTTCAACAGGTGTTGAATGAATGGAGGGCTGATACCGGCACCCGATGTGACATGGATTATGAGCTCTGAGCAGACATGGTAAAGAGCGGCATATCTAACCACCCAGTTGTCGTGCTCTCGAGGCAAGTTCACCTAGGAGAAGTGGCCGTTATGATTGTTAGTTCACCTGTTCCTTGTGCGACGCCTGCCTTGGTACATAGCGTTGTTGACACTCGCGGTAGGTTACAAGTTTCGATGACACACCGATCGAGAGCCGCCATCGGGAGCCCATTAGACGACAATCCTATCTCCCAATACACCCAGCGAGTCACCCAGCTACCAATAATGTCCTCGTTCTTGCACACGGAAAGGCCATGAAGAAAAATACCTACGTTAACACTAGGAATATCCACAAGATACCACTTGCTATTCTCCGGTCCTGTTGGCACGACGATGATCTCCGTTTGGAGCAAAAGTCATACCAAAGGCTTGCCAAGGAATTGTGGAAGCATGATATTGCCGAACTTACTGACAGACTGAAGGGGCACGGTATATTCGAGCGGGTGCCGTAGTCAGCTCCTATCGCGAATTCCGTCCCCGTCTTTGACCGCGATGCTGATAGACGTCTATTACACGATCTGGGATATGGTGCAGGATATATTGGGGCTCCTCTTTCAGCTTCATACGGGACATTTATCCGAGGCTCACCATCGTTTATACAACCGCACTTCCCGACAAATGTTATTCCAAGCAACACGACAGTATATGGTTCCTCGCATAGGATATATGATGGTAACCAACCTGTGTCATCGACATTCGACGCCGCTGCATTACAGCGAGTCCATAATTCAACCGTGCGATGGAGTGATACCCTGATTAGGAATGATCCGGAAGGACCGAACTGGCTGCTTGCTATTTTCAGCATTTTATGTCTCCTGGTAGCTGCCTGGTACTGGTTTTCTAAGGATTGATTGGTAATGTCCATTCACGTGTGGCGACCCACCCTCCGTGGCGAGCTAATTGCAGGTAGGTACTTCAACTTTCAATCAAGCAAAATTTCAACCACAACGCCACATTTGCTCAGTTCTACGTAAAGTATATAGTTCAGTGACAATTATATCTTATATTAGCTCGAATCCAATAGTTACGCTTACTCCGTAGGGTTTAATTGATGTCATAGAAGAACCCTCAGCACCAATAAACATCACTGCGCCTGCGATGATAGATATGTCCGCCTATGACTTCAGAGTGCTTGTAGCATATGAGCGACCTCCGGCGTAATTGCCCATGACTGTGACGGCATTTGGTAGATAATCCTATAAAACAAGCGTTCCTAATCCAAATAATACCTCAATTCCTGCTCTTCAGCTATCTTATATAACAATTCTCTAGCATTCGTCCTGCTTTGTTTCTTGGTAATGCCAGGCTCATGACACATATTCTCAAAGCATTCTTCAGATACACATATCACTCTCCTTACCATGTTCATAAGTCGAACCATTATGGAAATTCGCGGCCTAGTCGGCCGCGGCTTCTGCAGCATATCCTACAAATCTTTTAAAGTTCCACACCACGCGATCCCCACAACACTCTTTATGTCGCGGAATGTTATATGCGGGATTGTTTTCAATCGTCCGCAATGGTAGTCGTAGGATTTGGTCCGAGCTAATGAGACTTATTTGAAGCCTGTGAATTCGGTTCTTTTATCGCCTGTATTGTAAAATGTCATAATAATACATGTCATCAGACGTCCACGAGACTGTTTGTCCCACTGTTGACTCGCACTTTGGATCTATTGTTGAAAAAGTAGATTTCATCCTGGCATTGAGCTTCATGGCCAGTATTTGGTCTCGGAAGAGTCGCCTCAGGGAGGATGCTTCGCACGCACCCTTCGGTCTTTCGGCAGAAGGAAGGAAATCTGAATGTCGTCACGTCTCGGGAGAATCAAGGGAGTACCCAAAGAGTGCTCTGGGTAAACAAACCACGTCTCAGGGAAAGGTGGAGAAGGTGATGTGTAGGTCTGTGTTGCAAACAGAAATTATGGATGCGTCCCCAAGAAAACAAGCACGCCTCTCGGCCTCCTTATTTTTTTTCCACAACGATCTCATTTCTTCTCTCCATGACAATGGCTCGAAAACTTTGAATAAGCTATTACCGGTAGCCATTATGCTATTGTAGATCTATCAATAAGTCAAAATTCTTAAGCATTCAAATGATCAAGCTTAGATACTGCACTTTGATGTTTTGCTGACTATTTAAGTTTCGAGTTGTGACCTGTTATTAGTGCTGCATCTGGAGTTTGCAGGGCTCGAAAATTGGGGACCGAGTATACGAAAAGCCTAAGTCCGGGATCACTTATCACCCAAGTCCCTCAGGTTATCGAAGTTAGCCGTTTTACTGCGGCTGTCGAATATTACAGCACTTTTACAATAATAATACAACAGTGCGTCAAATCCAGCGATCATAGCATCTCTATACTGCACTTTTAATCTGGGCAAAGCAAGAAGATTAATCGCTTGAGTAAGCCTGCAAGACAAACATCTTAGCACCGCCAATTCTATTAAGCTACCAAGGTGACAGAACCTTGAGAACACCACAATTGACAAGTACCCGCAATGGGTACGAGACTGCCGTGTTGTCGACCTGGTTGGTGTCATAGACCGCTTAGTAGACCAGCACGTGGAAATCATGCGCCATCACAACAAACTCGAACCTCGTGCAAAGGTAAGATCAAAGCATTGCTTGAGCGCTTCTCCAGTACGCACGATCCAACTATCTCTCGCAGTCGCGGCATTAGTTTGATTGCACAGAAGGCACACAAAGAGTTGGACGATGGTAAGTTACGCTCATGTTGTACTTCACGACTCGACCTTAATCTTCCTTCCTTCCTTCCTTTTTTTTTCTTCTTTCTTTTTTCTAGACGGCCGTTCTGCCTTCCCGATTGAGATGCCATCCGAAGATTCAGGGGACTCCAATGTTCAGTTTGTCGAGTTTCGAGATTACCGGACAGAGAAGCTTTTGCGTAAGCTCTGCCCGATGAGCGCCATAAGCTGGATGAGCTGTGGGAAGGGCTGAGAGTTGATGCAGAGGCTCCATCCTGGGTCAAAGAAGCCGAAGCCCTGTTCTTGGCGGACCACCGCAAGGATCGTTACAGTGCCGTGGTCGCGAAGGAACTGGCAGGTAATTTCGCGGACAAAATGGCTTCGAAACAGAAGATCGAGAATCTCGAGAGAAAGAACAGGCCCCTCGGAACGGTGATCAAGAACAAAAAGGAAGAGGTTACAAGGCTCAAAAATGAAAAGTTGGCGCTTCAGGCACAGGTAGACGCCATCCCAGCCGAGTATGTTCGTCTCGAGGCACGCCGGGAGCAAGTCAACCACGCAGCTGACGCAGCAAGACACGAAGCGACGAAGGTCGAAGAGGCAGCCAGGGACACACTTAAGCACGAAAATATGAGGCTTTCAGAAGACCTGGCGAGGATCAAACGGGAGCGCGACGACTATGAGGAATGGATCAAGGGTGCGCCACTCCCCAAGCGAGTAAAGACAGAAGATGAATCCTGACATGCCTTAAAGGGCGCATGTGCTACTCGCACCGATGGATTACAGTCTGCTGCGTTGAGTTACTAGAGTGCCGCTGAGAGGCAAGCAATGTATCTACATCAGATAGGCCTCATGCATGCTTAGAAGAGCGCAGCACTCGATTCTATATGGCGATTCTCTAGCCTAAGTCCTCCATTGACCCCTGGTCCACTTTTCAGCCTTCGTACATCTGGTCCAAGATACATTGAGCCTCTGAGCCCATCTGGTCGCGGCAACGTTGTACCAGTCTTTTGTACACCTCCCTCAATGCAGCTTCTCGCCGCTTGTGCTCCTCCAAACTCATCTTCAGGTCCTCAATACATTCGCTGGCCTCTTTTCTCTGTTCCTCCATGAGGCAGTACTGCTGGTCGCACTCCTCAAGTGCCCCTGTCAGGGAGGCATTTCGCTCCCTGAGTCTCTCATTCTGAGAGTCCAATCTGTAGTTCTCATTCTTGACATCCCTGATTTCGGCTTTGGTAGCGTCGTATGCTGTAATATACGAGTATCGCGACTGGTATGCAGCATCTAAGAGAGCACAGGCCTCTGATGCTTCATCGGCACCCGTTCTGTAGATGCCACGTCTACCGAAGCGCAGATCATTCGGCTGCAAGCTGGCTGTATCGAGGAGAGCGTCAACCTGGATCCGCTCTACCTCACTCTCCGTCTCACCTACGCCCAGCTTTGACATAAAGGGTAAGTGTGGGTTGCGCATTCGTGTGACAACAAGAAGGTGATCCTCATGTTTGGTTCGGCTGTTCTCAGTTCCTGTCGGGTCATAGTTGGCCTGGATGTTACGCTCGAGCCAGTAGTTGAAGAACTCTTGGCTACCTGGAGCGGCTCGCATTGATGGAGCCGGGGTGTCCCACGGAACGTCCTTGTCGACGACTGGATTTGCAATCCTGTCAGCGAGCTATGACGAGAGGCAGAGAACAACGAATTGGACCTACACTTTCCTTTCCAAACGCCAGTTGCGACCAACCAGTCTAGGTAGGCAGCTGAGATCCATGGGCTCTGTCTCTTCTCGTACAGTGACTTCATAGCTGCGTACAGCTCTTCATTGAAGAGCTGGTCCAGGGATGTGGCAACGCCGGGGCATCTCTGCTTGATGGTAGAGCAGACCTGTGCGCATAGTCCAACATCACCGGACGTCTTCAGGGAACGAAATTGGTCCTGGGACGCCATGTTTGGTGCGTCTCAGCACGGGTGGTTTCGTGATGGTGGTGAGGTAGAAGAATGATAGCAACAGTGCTGATGAGAGGCTCAAACAATTTGGTCTCGAATTATGAGAACGAACGGAGAGTATCGACGTCAGAACTTGCCCAGGTGAATTTGTGTGGCTTTCCAGGGTTGCCGGGGGCGCAGGTCGACGACAACCCGCTGATTAATGGGAGATAGCGACCACCCTATTGTGCACCTCGATTGCATACTCCGCAATCGCATACCCCCGGGGGTGCTCAACTAGTGCCTCTGACCTTGGTTTGTACCCCGGTGCCTTGTACTGGTCCGAATTCCTGACCGAAGGTATTTCATGACTATCTGTGATACGAAAAAGGCACACTGGGTTGCCTATAGTGCCTTTGGTGAAGAAGCCAGGCCTATAGAGGTTTTCATGACACACATCAATGCAACTCTCACTTTGCACAGACTCACAGGGCTGCTAGTGGAACACCGGCCCGGTTAACTTCCAGCCGACCAGCACAGTGACCCAATTTCGTAGGATCAGATTCCAACCAGATGGCATGTCGCGATTTCGATTGAGTCCTATGCTTTCGTATCCACGAAAGTGGAAGTCTTGCCGATATGCGACTTGTAAGGACGCCGGCCCTGAAAAAAAAAAAAGGGGTATAGTGACATCTACCAAGAAACCCATACATATTAATGCATCAGCCAGCCTCTTCGCTCAGCTCTCCCTCCGCCTGGCACTTCCTAAATCATCCAAATCATAATACTACGTCTACTCGTCGTCTAGTATCCGGCTTGCAAACTGCCCGAATATAGGCACCTCAAATCTACACCACGAAATTAGTATGACGACACTAATTGAAGAGAGACATTGGAGACATATTACTGACCTGTCTAATGTGTCCGCATCTCGGTATGCCTTTAACGCCATGAATGCCATGAGAGCCAGGTCTCCCAGGAATATAACCCAGCTGAAGAAGGTCGACCAAGAGAAGAGTAGGTGGAGAACAAAGACGGTGGTGAACAACAAACTCGACTGCCAGGCGTGAAATCTGCGGCACGGCCGTTAGCACATGGATCCCAAGCCGGGGTGGTCCGTCCAGGAATCCGACTCACCTCACGTAATCGCTCTTCCGCTCTAGAATCAACAGCACGATGGCGCCGAGCGGCGGGAGCGCCAGGTATGCGGCTGCAGCCTCGTAGTCCAGCCTGACGCCGAGGCTCGTGTCGAACGCATCTACACCGCCGTAGCCGGCCTCGTTGCCGTACCCCCCGAACCCGGCGCCGCCGACAGGGGCCGCGGCGACGTTCTGGTAGGCGCCTGGTATGTTGGAAGAGGCCCACTGGCGCTGGGGCTGCGGGTGCTGCAGCGGCGGCGGAGAGGCGACATTGGAAGGGCGGCCGCGGTCGTACGAGGGCCGGGGGCTCGGCGACTGCACGGGGCTGAAGGGCCGCGAGTTCTCGGGCGGCGAGGACTGGTATGGCGCGAAGTCCATGGTGTGAGGCCGAGATGGAGAGGTATGCGGTGTGTTGTTTCCTGTGTTGTTGCTGGCGCGCGGAGCGAGCTCTGTCGATTCCGCGGGTTGGAAGCTTCTCTGTATAGCTTGGTTGAGCTTCGGGAAGGTCAATCGCACACAGCTTCCACGAAGATGGTCTGCGCTGGACACAGCGAACTCGTCGCTGATCGGGTCAAGAGATCTGGGAGCTGGCGCGACAAGCCTTCAGTCTATGGGAAGTTGTCGGAGGTGGTGATGGTACGGAATGTCGTTGAGTACAGGATGCGAATGCGCCGCGACGAAACAAAACGGCGGCATGCGACACGGACGAGGACAGGGTAGGACAGGGTAGGACAGGGTAGGAGGACAGCAGGGCGGACGCGCAAATGAAAGGCAGGCGTTTCCCGCTTCCCGTTTCCCTGGGTTAACGTTAGTGCTTGGCGTTGGGGGCAGTTACCGAGATGCAGGGTCTTGTCTTAGCGGGCTTTTCGCGTCACTCTCCCACAGCAGACCCCTGCCAACCTGCCAGCCTGCCCACGCTGCCGTTATCCACCGAGATGGGTTTGTGGACCAAGGAACGACGCCTGCCGTGCGTACCTGTTATATGGCTTTAGCATCTCACTGCGCCAACGATCCAGTACAGTCTAAAATGTATTGGACAAACCCATCATCATGTGAACGAGAGCCTTGACCTGACCGGAACACCAGGACAGGCTCTCACCACTGACAACGCCTCACTGCAGGCTTGCAGACACGAGTCTCAAGGTTGGGTACAGCCAACCTTGTAGTGATGCTTTGTCTTTGATTGGGATTTCCCTCCGTCTTGTGAGGTTTCTATCGGCGTACAGATTACAGTCGCATGTATACACATTGGGCTTCTTACAATATAGTACAGGTCTAGTCCACTCAACTGCTCTCCTCGGCCTTGGCCTCTCCCTCCTCCGGCTTCTTAGGGTTCTGCTCCTCCTCCAGCTGTGTCCTCCGGCCTTCCAGCGCCAGCCACAGACCCTTGCTGTGGCCCTCCAACGCGGTCGTGAGACCCAGGCCGGCACTCTGGAGCATGGACACCAACTGGCTCCTCAGGCCGTCCAGACCACCCTCGATGCCTCCGACCCACTTGACTCCGTCCTGGTCGAACGCCTTGCCCTCGACGCGGCCACCAATCAGGAGAAGCTTCTGAAAAGCACTCTGGGCAACAGGCTCGTGGTAACCAGGGTTCTTCTTCCTCGTTGGCGCAGGGAACGCCGGTGCGCTCGGTGCCAAAATCTTCAGCGCAGCAGCCAGGTGCGCCGGGCTGACAGTAGGCATCGTCAGGGCGGCCACAGGCCCGGTGAGCAGAGGGCTGATCTGGGCATAAGTGCTGTTCGGGTCCTCCAGGTTCGCCTTCTTGATAGCCTCGTACGCGGTGGCCGACAGGTCGTGTGTGTACGCGTTTGATTTGCCCGCCGCCGCCTCGGCATCGAAAAACTCAACGACCTTGAAGGCGACGTCGAATATGCGCGTCCGCAGAACGGTGAGCTGGATGTAGTCGGTCGGGTCAACGGGCAGGCCTCCGTCCGGCCCCGCGACCGGTTTGGGTACCTCCTCGAGAGCTTTCCGCAGCTCGCGACGGACGGCGGCCCATTCCACGGCCGTAAGGTTGTTGTGCTGGAAGAAGAGGATCAGGGGCGTCGACCGCAGGAGGGCGGTATAGGACCGCAGCAGCTGGGACTTGCGCGACTCGACCGGGCGCGCGGACGGCGGCTTGGTCGGGGGGATGTAGTTCTCTGGCAGGCGGAGGGCTGCCAGCGGGATGGGGGAGGCGGCGGCAGCGTACTGTCTTGAGGGTACGCCGGTCTGCTGCTGCACGGCTGGAATGGCAGCAGACGCCCTCGACAGAGAAGATGCGCTCTGGGGTCGCAGCACGCGGCCGGCGACACGGGCCGGCGAGCAATTGAGTCGTGCGGGCATGGTGTGAGTCTTGCGGCGTGATTGTAGCCGCCGGTTGCCCTCCTGACTGCAGTTCTTCGCCCAAGGCTGGTCGAGATGCCGAAAGACGGGTGAAGCTTCACAGCTCTCCAGAAATTTTGGAGGCCCGTGCAGGGCAGGGGGGAAGCCAGCTGCGCCACATACCCGCGATGGGCCGTTGGTCTGGCTTCGCTCAGCCAGGCTTGCCGGGGGGCCTGCCTCGCTGTGGCCGCTGAGGCTGAGCTGACGGCCTCCACCTGGGTAGGCAGGCCCAGGACAGGTCGGCGCTAAACGTTAGTGCAGGGCATCAACCTGCCGGCTGCCCGCCATCAAATAGGGCTGCAATCACCAATAAAACAAGGGCAAGCGTTGCAGATGCGGCAAACACCCGTTGGTTCACGGTTCACCTCCAGGGCTGTCTTGGAGTACATGCATGCTCAAACAGAGGTTTCCGGAGATCACACACGAGCACATACGATCTGGTTCTAGCACCGGAACTACCCTCAGGTCGCCGGTACTACTGCCCTGCGCCTTCGCCGGGCTGTAGTATTTTCTGCCTCCCAGACTAGCTGATAGGTTGTGACTCATGCCGACGACAAGCCACTTGGGATACCATCACTATTATTCATTGACTGCGAAGCTGCCCAAGACTGCCTGCCGCTTCATATAAACTGCGTGTGAGCCCCAGGTCTCAGGCCGGGCTTGAACACCGACACCATCATAGGACCCTGCACGAATCTAGCCCCGCGAACGAGGGGGAAAGTGGCACCTGCGTTACCCTGCCTATACCGAGTAACTGTCTCTGCTGCGTGGCCAAGGCCGATCAGACCGAGACTGCCAGCCCAGCTCAGGGCCTATAGCCCAGACTACTGTGGGCCACAGTCAGTGTGTTCTGCAACCTCGCCCTACTGTCCATCTCCCTGCTTGGCTTCATCGCCGAGCCCCTTCAGTCTCCAGGCCCTCAGAGCGGACTCAAATTCTTCACTTAGATCTCATCACACTATTTCCAGATCAGCCATGGCGTCCGCGCTCAAGGTGCCGTACTTGGACCAGGACCCTCAGGAGATCCAGACCCTGGTGGCTGGCTTGAACAACTCTACCGGCAAGGGGAAGCGGGGATGGAGGGCCAAGAAAACCACCTTCAAGGTCCAAGGGTCATCTGATGGCATCACCGTCGACTCGTGGAGGTTCCAGGACTGGGACTACAAGAAGCCCGACCTGCCCACATACGCCCGCGGCCTTTTCACTACCAAGAACCGCCGGGGTGAGCACGAGATTGCTGTGCGAGGATACGACAAGTTCTTCAATGTCGATGAGACGTCCGACACAAAATGGACAAGCCTCCGTTCCAGGACACAGGGCCCGTATGAGCTCACGCTGAAGGAGAACGGCTGCATCATCTTCATCAGCGGCCTGGAGGATGATACTCTGATTGTTTGCAGCAAGCACTCGACGGGAGCCCGCAGCGACGTCGAGCTGAGCCATTCCATGGCGGGCGAGAAATGGGTCGACAGGCATCTTGCCGCTGTCGGCAAGACGCGTGTAGATTTGGCAAGAGAACTGAAGAAGCGCAATGCTACCGCCGTAGCCGAGCTGTGCGACGATGACTTCGAGGAGCATATCCTCGCCTACACCGCCGACAAGGCCGGCCTTTACCTCCATGGGATCAATATCAACGTGCCTACCTTCATGACGTACCCCAGCGAACACGTCCAGAACTTTGCCGACGAGTGGGGCTTCCGGAAGGTTGGCGTTCAGCTCTTTGACGATATTGAGACCGTCAAGACTTTCCTGGAGGGGGTTGCGGAGACTGGTGCACACGAAGGCCGCGACGTGGAGGGCTTCGTCATCCGGTGCCGTATGTCATCCGATCCTGAGCGAACCCCTTACAACGACTGGTTCTGGAAGTACAAGTTCGACGAACCCTACCTGATGTACCGCCAGTGGCGAGAATGCACCAAGGCTCTCATCTCCGGCAAGCCTCCAAGATTCAAGAAGCACGTCAAGATCACCGAGGAGTACCTACTCTACGCCAGGAAGCGCCTGGCTCAGGACCCGCAGCTTGGCAAGCTTTACAACCAGAACCACGGCATCATCAAGCTGCGAGACGACTTCCTTGCGTATAAGAACCTCAAGGGCTCCGACGCGGCCAACTGGGAGAACGAGTTCGGCAACGACGACGGTGCTCTCGTGACCTCTGGTGTTGTCATTGTCCCCATTGCAACGATTGGATGCGGGAAAACTACATTGGCAGTCTCTCTCACCAATCTCTTCGGTTGGGGCCATGTGCAAAATGACAACATCACCGGCAAGGGTCGTCCGGCGCAGATGGTCAAGCAGGTTATGCAACTGCTAGCCGATGGCAACCCTGTGGTTATCTCAGATCGCAACAACTCGGAGAGACGTGAGCGGGACCAGATCATCAAAGACATCAAGCTTCAACACACAGAAGCACGCCTTGTAGCCATGAACTATTCGCATGGCGATATTGAGGAGGTGCGACGGGTTACGAGGGACCGCGTGCTTGCCCGAGGTAATAACCATCAAACCATTCAGGCAGCCACGGATGAGGCCAAGGTTGTCAGCATCATGGAAAACTTTGTACACCGCTTCCAACCCTGCGATCCTGACAACTCGCCCGACGACGGTTTCGACCTTGTCATTGATCTTGACCCTGCCAAGGACAGCCGTGAAAACTTGGAGACCATGGTCAACGAACTCCACAGGAAGTACCCTCGGCTGCTGCCAGACATGCCCAGCGGAGAGCAGATGGACGAGGCGGTCAAGGCTGCCATCGAAAATTATACACCCGACATTCGGCACACTGTCTATCACTCAGGCGGCAAGAACAAGCAGAACAACGTGCAGAACCAGCAGCCCAAGACCCCGAAGAAGAAGCCCCTAGAGTACATGTCCATCTCTGTGCCAGCCAAGGACGTCACGGCTCTACTTGAGTCTAGCTTCAAGGACGTCGATGCCGAAACTTCAAAGTTCTACAAGCAGCTACAGCAGACTCGTCGCATTCAGCCACAGTTCCACATCACCTTAATGCACCGAGCCGTTTCCAAGGAACCCCAACACTCTGAGAAATGGGCAGAATACTGCAAGCTCGAAGAGCAGAGTGCTGCCAACGGAGGTCGCATTGCCGAGTGTGATGTTGAGCTGGAGCGAGTGAGTACCCTTTACCCCCGTTGACAACTCACACCCATGATATCTTTTTTGGCATGGTATCAAGTCTGACATTTATCCCAGGTTGTTTACGATGACCGCGTCATGTCGATTGTTGTTAGAATCCTCGATCCCAACTGGACCACAGTGAACCCCATCGCACACGTCACAGTGGGCACGCGCGACCAGAGCGTCAAGCCGAAGGAGAGCAACGACCTGCTCGCACGCTGGCTACAGGAGGGCGCGGGAGGCCCCACCAACATCGGCGAGCGTGCGTTTGAACCCAAGCCTGTGCTGAAGGGTGTAGTGCGTGGTGTTCTTGCACGCTAGGATGGACGCAAGGGAACTGCTGCACAACCTAGCGGGAAGGAAAACCAACGCCAGCACCGTAAACCAGACCGCGATCGTGGCCCGAGACACACGCAGCGGGGTGGCGGGAGAGAGAGATGGAGGTGAAGCCGGCCAGGCCGGTCGCATCGAAAGCTGGATGATCAACGGCCCCGAACAGCGTCTGATGATGAATCATGGTTTGTGCCTACTGGGGATCACGCTTGATGCTATTTACGCTCAAGACAAGAAAAATGGGGTACTAGAGATGAAAGACGCGGCCAGATGCGGCAGTCTTGGACTGCAAACCATAGCCTGCTGAAATATGGTAGTGAATGAGATTATGCGTTCCCATGCTTCATATTACTCTTGTGCACGGCTTCTGTTCGGATCCATTATGAAGCTTGGTGGGCGGCTTAGGAATCTGCCTACAGTGAACCATGCTCGAAGCCATGGCGCTCGCCCCGAAACTGGACTAGTCTGCTTGCATTGACTCGAACCGAATATTCTCCTGTACTCCAATGCATTCAAGAAACAGAAGCAGAATCCGTCGGTGTCAAAGGTGGCTTGAGTGAGACTTGATGGTGCTGGCCCGATAGTATTGGAGCCCACCGGGCTGCCGATTTCAGCAAACTCATCGAGTATCGGGCTTGTCATTCTTGTCATGGTTGAAGCCATCGCGCGCCATAAGTCAAATACTGGACCCAGATCTCGATCCTTGTGCGGGTTACTCAGTAGATCGTCTGGCATATTGGTTCGGCAGTGTTGATGATATGTTCCTCGGAATAGAGCGCGCGGTCGGCATCCTTCGTCTGTAAGTATTGTGGAGAATAATTACCTCGCAAATCAGAGCCAGAGCTACGGGTATCCAAGAGGCTCTGTGTAGAGATTCCTGTGGCAGAGTTTGGTGTTTGTTTTCTCTCACATAGGTGTTTTATTTTACTTCTTGAATTGTGGATGCTGAGAAAGCTTGCTTTGTTCCGCCACCAGGGAGGTGTAGTCACTGAACCGCAGGTTGGTTGCTAGCTTCCTGTCTACGAACATTAATTATCTTGCGTGGGTAGCTTCCATCCACACCCCTGCTGAAGATGTTATTTTGGGCTTACCGTGTCTGGGTTTCCTTTCTCCCTGTATCATGGGTTGAGATACGGGAAGCCGTGGGTAGGGGGAGAGAAGCTAGGGTATGGTTACAGCAGTCTTACAGTCCTACCCTCTGAAGTATGGTTTGTCGCAAATCTGAATATCGCATCTGTCAACAAATAAAACTCTTCGGAGTTCAAGTTTCAGGGCAAGAATGGTAGGGAGAATGGGCGCGTAGGCGCATGACTAATACGCGGTGACGGTTGCAGTGGTCAGTCGGATCAATAGAGCACATGACCAACGCGAAGATGAGGCCGGCAATGTATATTAAGCAAGCCAAGAGTAAAGTTGCCCATAATATGTAGCATAGCCAGTAGTGAGCCCCACCAAAATTTTGTAAGTAGAGGAACAAAATTGATGCTTTCGAGAACATAATGTGCCTTGAGTCAAGATGATGATGGTGGCGACAGAAATCTTGGAAGACAAGATATATCAAACTCAAAATTCTACAGACGTCGGTGGAAACTGGGATTACCTTTGTACGTACACCAAATGTCAGACTGGATCGAGGTTGATATTCAAGAAGGTTATACGCAAGCTGGTTGCGCGCATGCCGGCAAAGATGCTCTTAGGAGAGCCAGCTTGTCGTGATCCCGAATGGCTTAGAGTATCCCTAGATTTCAGCATTAATATGTTCACCACTGTCTTCATTCTTAGGATGTTTCCCACATGAATGCGCTTTGCCGTTGCTCGGCTTCTCCCATCGCGTCGTCGGTTGAAACAGCACCGTGCAAGTCCTTACAGGTTGTTGGTACCCAGATGGAGAAACACTTTGACGATTTGCGGCGCAAAGCACGTGGTGAAGAGGTGCATGATAGCGACACGCTTCTCGACTGGGTGATAGATAGCGGTGACGCAGAGGAGACTACTGTCCGTGAGATGGCGAATCGCCAGTTTGCTATGACACTCGCGAGCATCTATACTACATCCTCCAACGCGGCAACTTTCCTGTTTGAGCTCTGTTCGCACCCTGAATGGTTTCCTGTACTGAGGGAGAAATTCTTACGAGTCGAGCAGGAATCAGGGAATGCTTCTCAGGTGGACATCAAACGGTGGCATCCACGATTGGAGAAAATTGACTCGTTCATATTGGAATGTTTCAGAGTCCATCCTCCTAGTATCCGTAAGTAGTTCCTTTGTACGTGGTTTCTGATTACTTACGGTAGCAGTGAGCCCCCAAAGAGTGGCATTGAAACCACACACTCTGAAGGAACGCACATACCTAAGGGATGCAGAATTGCATTCGCTCTTGCCGAGCACCAAATGGATCCTCTAGTAACGCCAGACCCTACCAATTTCGACCCTATGTGTGCGTATCGCAAAAGAAATGTTTCAGAAGACCAGTTCTATCGGAATTAGTCGGCTTTGGTCGACTTGAAGAGCAATTTAAATTTCGGATATGAGAGTCAAGCATGCCCAGGAAGATTTCTTGGCGTTGCCGAGGTTAAAGTGCTGGTGACTTGGTTTATCTCAGAGTTTGACTTCAACTATCTGGAAGGGAAATCGATGCCAAAAACCATGGGCACCGACGAGAATGTGTTCATCGACCTGAGCGCAAAGCTATTGATGAGGAAGAGGAGGCTCGCCTGAATTGGAGAGCATGAAACAGTATAGCTACTATGCATAGAGGCCTAACTAGCTGTCAGATAGCATTGAAAGCCTCTCTCATCTCTCATATCGTGCAAGACGTGCATCGTGCATGCAACCGTCCAGCTGGCTATACCAAGCTAATGGGGTAAACACCTGTTATTCGAGTACTCGGTCTTGACTGACATGAGCTGAAGTTCAAACTTGGCTCGACTTTCAGGGTTGAACCGTATATGATCTGGCCAGGCTCGTTAAAGAGAGTTATATTTGAGATTATCTCGAGCTTGGCTCCCCTATCTGCCGTGAGTCTCCGGTCATATGTAACAAGCCTCGGCACCTACGTTGCAGGTGAGGAGTTGGGTAAACCCTTAAACCAAGCTCCAGCATGCAAGTGAACCGCGAGGAACCGCACCAGGAGTTTACGGTTAGCCTTTGTGACCCGTTCAATCTTATGATAATAGCCCAGTCTCAAAGCATTTCCCAGCTCGGCGACCATGCTATGTCTATTCCATACAGCGTGAAGGGGCCGATCTTTGCGCTGCTGGTCTTCAAAGCCATGTTTCCGTGGATGGTATTTAGTGAGATGATGGGAATCGCGCTCAATAACCCGTTGATGTTTATAATGGAGAATGGGACTGGAATTATGCTGATATATGCGGCAGAGGTGATGCTTTTCTGGACTTTGACTTGAAGGCTAAAGACGACTTACACGGCGCCAGATAGCAAGATAGTAGCTATATATTATCGATATAGAAAGACCCGGGAACAAGTGATGGTTGTAAGAGTTTTCGCAAGCTCGTAGGACGTAGTCAAACGTCAATCTAGGCAGTACTGAAGGGGCTATCATTCTGTGCTCGCATTGCCCGTGATCGGCTACGCTGACGTTTAGGGTTGCATGGCGTCGGGTAGGAGCTCTGGGCTGAAGTGGTAAGTATTTGGAATCAAAATCGCCTGGAACAGCCACCTATTCCAACATGGACAATAGGCGTTCCTCTATCCCTGCATGGCAGAAGGGCGCAGCTGCACCACGTTAGTAAGCATGATGACCTCCATTGGCTGGAAGGGAAGATAGTGAAAGTTTATTCCCAAAACAAACCCACCACATCTTAACAACTAGCTGTGTAACTGGCAGCTGGTGAAACAAATCCCGAATGCCGGGAGAACCCTCTATATGTGCAATAGTAGGATTCGTAAGCAAAGTATTACAACTCCTCGGACGAACTTATTCTACGTATGAACACTGGCGGGCAAGCGGGATCGCAATTTATTTATACATTTGATGCCATTTTCATGACACATGTGAACGCACTGGCAGATCAAGAAACTATAAAAGGTCTCGTACTAGCACAGCCGTAGGGATATCAATCAGACAAGCAGCCATCTCAGTCTTACACCTCAACACTATAAACACTACCACTACCACCCCCCAAACACTGTGTGGTGATAGACCACATTTACACTGTGTCTAAATCATATCCCAAATACACCCCAACCATGTCAGCAACGATGAAAGCAGTCGTAATCTCCTCTTTCGGTGGGCCGGAAGTCCTAGCACACCAAGAAGTCCCCAAGCCAACACCAACCGTTGGGGAAGTACTAGTTCGTGTGAAAGCATTCGGTGTTAACCATGCAGAAATGCACATGCGGAAAGGCGGCGAGTGGGACGAATGGAATCCCATTACTGGTCTCGAGTGCGTTGGTCTCGTCGAGGCGTGCCCAGGTGGCGAAGTTCCTGTGGGCAGCAAGGTCATGGGTGCCATGGGCGGAATGGGTCGAAACCGACCAGGCGGATATGGCGAGTTCGTCAATGTACCGGCTGCCAATGTTGTAGTCATTGAGACTCACATGCCGTGGGAGCAGCTGGCGGCAATCCCCGAGGTCTACAGCACAGCTTGGTCGTGTCTATTCACCATCCTGGACTTAAAGTGTGGGGAGAGATTACTACTTCGTGGCGCGACTAGTACCATCGGCCAAGCAGCTTTGAACCTAGCCGTCGACTCGGGCGCTGTCGTTACAGCAACTACCAGGCGAGAGGAGAGGTTCCAGTGGTTGAAGGATATTGGTGCCTCGAATGTCTTGCTTGAGCAATCCGGTCTTGAGAAACAGCTCAGCGACGGGCAGAGATTCGACAAGACCCTCAACCTAGTCGGCAACAGAGTCCTCTTAGAATCGATTTCGCTCACGAAGGCGGGCGGTCGAATGTTGCAAGCGGGTTGGCTTGGTGGCCTGGCACCTGTCCAAGAGTTCAATCCCATGGTGCAGATGGAATCTGGTGTGCATTTCAGCCTCTTTCATAGCAAGGTGCTAGGGACACCCACGTTTCCCATGTCTGAAATTCCGTTGCAGGGCATTGTGGACAAGATAGAAAATGGCGCTTGGGACGCAAAGCCAACGAAAGTTTTCGAGTACGAGAATGTTGTCGATGCACATAGGGCTTTGGACTCTCATGATGCTGGGGGCAAAATTGTTGTTAAGCATTAATCAGCAGTTATTATATATGCTGGCAGATAATTCTTGAAAACATTGACCCAAGTTTGCTCAGATTACCGATGCATTGCAGGTGATGTTCAAGCGTTCAGACAATCTGCCAAGTGTATCGGTGACTAGTGCTTGCGCACCTCTGTTATAATTGGCTCACCTTTCAAGACAATTGTTAAGTTTGTCCTCACTTCGACGTCAAGTAAAGCCAAATTCTGTGGTTATAAGTAGTACCTTATAAACCGAACGATTCTAATGCCTTCAGCTGGTCTTGCAATAAACAGACCACCTCATTGTAGAAAGAAACCTGAAGCTCTGATGAGTTTAAATCGGGTTCACATCCAAAATTGCATTGGAGGCACATTTGAGTCATCCTATGAATTGGCTCGCCCAGTTCCGTGCGTGATTTCGCCACCCTTCTGGCAGTAAGGATCTCGTTCCCAGCATCAGCAGCTTTAGCCATATCACTTAGAGGCTTCCAGTGCCATATCTCCAAGAATGCAGTGCCAAGGGCCCAAAGAGCTCGATTATAGATACCGTACAGGTCATCGGACGTCAATAGGTAGTGTTGTGTCTCTGGGTTAATTGGTCCGGCGAAACATTGTTCTGTATTGCTGGCAGAGGCTTTCTTGGCTGTCCCTGTTGCTAGCAAGGTTCTCAGGAAAACCTTCGGCTTAGATGTTGTTTGGAGTTTGTTCGAAGTGTACAAATCCGAAGTCCGCCAATCATCATGAAGCCATGGGGTTGAGTGATACTGCAGAACTGTAAGTGCAAGTTTCAGTGCCCATGTTAACTTGAACTTTGGGGTTGCTGGCCGTTCTTGTGTTGCTCGTAATAGATCTTGCAGCGATATTCCTTCGTGCATCTCTGTGCCGCCTGTCTGAAGAGAGGCTTCACAAGGTGAGACATGGAAAACGTAGCCCGAATGTGGGCATCGGAGATGTCCGAAGGAGCCTAGCATAGAGCCATTTCCCACACCAAAAAGGCACTTCTTTTCGAGATAATAACAAATATCATCAATGAGACCTAGGTCTTGTGATGAGTTTGCTTGTGAAGTGTCACTTTTTGTGATGTTTTGGCTGGCGCTTTCTAGGTCATCAGCGAACCGCAACTGCTTCGCGGTCCCTGGACGCTGTTTAGCGACGCGGTCTTGGTGAGAATTGAATCCGAACGTCCAGTTGTTCGATTTCATTGCCAACGTCCATGCTTGTTGATTATTACTGCTAAGATAGAGTTAGAACTACCAAAGAAAGGTCATTCCCAAGAGAACATCGGAACTTACCCTTGATTCACTTCTGCGTAGAGCAATACCATCTCCAGGTTATGGCACTGTTCAAATGTACTATCGGTACACAAGGCTGCCCAATGCATCTCGTGATTCTCTCGCTTGCAAGAGAAACAGTTATTCAAGGCGTTGTAGGCTTCAGATGCTATCTCTTGAGCTTCTCGTACTGCGTGTATTACGCTGTGCGGCAGCGGCAACTTCCGCTTATGTTTCTTTTCCAATACCGGCTCGCGAAGGTGCTGGATCTGGGTACGGAGGGCTTGAAGATCCTCATTATGTTGTCTAAGTCGTTGGACTTTCCTTTCCAGTTCGTTTATTTTGAAGCCTAACGACAGCCGCTTGATGGCCAACTCGACGGATTCACCCGGCTTTTTCTGACCTTGCAGCGAAAAGCAGGACAAAACTTGTTTGAGCTCGTTCTGAGTAACTTGTGTTTCTTTGGCCAGTTCAACAAACACCTCATAGCTTTTGTCCAGGCTTATCGTAAGAGCTGAGGCGAGGTCATAGTCACGCCAGCCAGCGTGATCTGGATCTGAGATCATGTGCCGAGCCTGCCGCTCGTCCTTTGTGATGGAGCGGAGAACAAGCTCCCATTCGTTCAGAAATATTGTTTCCTGTACTCTTAGGACGGTCTTTAAAGGTCGCAGCTCTTTGATAGGATTTCTGACCACCGCGATGGTCTTCCTCAACCATTTATACCCATGTATACCCTCGATAATGATGGGCAATAGTCCCAGTGTCGCTGAAGTGATACCGAGGATTTCAGCCATGGTTCTGCGTCCAGTGTGTAACGGTTTTGTTGGACAAGGGAGATGAGTAGATTGAAGACATCAAGAGAGAGTAAATCGATCGAAATTTCTGGATAAAAGTACATAGACACCCGACGCAAACGCAGCCTTGTGCGGGGTATGTCTCTCCTTTCCACTCCAGAGCCTTCCCTCATCGCCATGATTCTTGCACTTTCCCCTTCTTTGCTCTCACAATCACTCAAATACTTATTATCAGGATTCGTCATGACCACTGAAGGCTCTGCCACTCCTAGAGCCAATGTTGCAGGAGGCTTAGCGCTGGGAAACACAAGTCTTACCAGTGAGCTGGCCATGGCCTGCTTTGACATGTTGCGTCAAGCAATGGGTATACTTGAAAATGAGGAAACTTTCGAGAAAGAGGCACTTTCGATATCTCACGCTGCAGAAGCTTTCACACTCTGGATGGTAAGACACCGTGTGCCAGATGGAGATCTCGACAAAGTGTTAGTGCGGTCAGAAAAAGTGCATGGTGCTGTGATCGCTTCGCTAAGGGACATTGCACTAAAGTTATGCCGCGGTAAGTATTTAACTTCGAGAAGCCAAATCTCTCTGAGCTGACAAGGCCTAAGATATGAATTTGAGGATGCCTACGAGAGCGAGCGAAGAACCCCAGAGCAAGGCCAAGATTCTAGAACTAGAATCGTTATTAACGCGGTCCCTTGCTTTGCTTTACAGTACGGATTACTTGGATGAATACATGGAGGATGAGGGGGATACCGAGGACAGTCCCTCCGAGCATGGAGACCTTGAATCATGTATATATGAACTTGTTACTTACGTCCAGTGTCTTATAGACCTTGATCCGGCCATCGCAGAACCGACATTCGACCCGGGAGCTACATATGAGGAGACATTCACGATAAAGCCTCTAGACAAACATCACCAATACGTTATGAGGATTCGAGATCTGTTTCCAGAAACGCCACTGGACATGGCTGATCTGCTCGGCAAATCAAATTTGCGTCGATACTGGGAGCTAATTCAAGAAAGAGAGACTGCAACTACACTTTTGGAAGGCAGGGGATTGATTACAGCGTATGACAATCAAGGCGTTCTGGATATCGACTGCATCATGGCTGAAAGGCTAGCCAAATCCAGTAGAGCCCCGAAGTCGTTTCACGACTCTGGTATCGGGTCTTCAGTTCAAACACAAAGTGTCTATGCGAGATCGGCCAGGTCCTCTGCGGTGTCGAATATGGGTTCTGGACGGAACAGCGCATTTCCTGCAATTCCATCGGAGGCGAAATCTGGAGATCCTTTCCTGTGTGAAGCCTGCAACCAGTTCGTGAAAGTCACCAAATCAAGACATTGGAAGTAAGTCAAGCCTCCAAGTCTGCTGAAAGTTTTACCGTACTGAGTCCCATTAGGCAGCATCTTATTGAAGATCTGAAGCCCTATGTGTGTATATACGCGCACTGCAGTGCTGGAGACATTCCGTTCCCCAACCGGCAAGCCTGGTCGCAACATATGAGATCAGAGCATAGCTCTGCACATCTAATGGCATACTATACATGCCCGTTCTGTCCCGAAGTTAGAGAAGGTGAGACCACCGCAATGCTAGTGCATGTGTGCAAGCATTTGGAAGTTATATCTGCAATCATACTTCCTCGCAACAACGGCGACTCAGACGAATCGAGTGACAGTGAGAGCATTGACGAGGCAAAAGAGCCCTTTCTGTCAAACGAAGGTACGTTAATATCTATGCGTGGTTCTATGCGAGATCATTGCATACCAGAAAACGCAATAGGCTCTGCACTGGGCTTGATATGATCGGTAACGTTCCCACGTGGACTAAAGAGTGTGTAGATGTGTATCATAGCGAGGCTTCTCAGTTTAAAGCCAACACTACTTCCTCAAGTAATGTCAATCTCCACGATAGCGGCTCCCCCAAAAAACGTTAGTTTTGTTGTTTCCACAGTGATAGGATCTAATCTGACTTAATCAGAATCAACCTCATCAGTCGCTTCGAGTATGCCCAATATTACTCTGGATAAAGGTACGTGGAAATCCTTACAAGTTAATATGTTGTTAACTTACATCACTTAGAATTCACCATCAAACCATCCAAATACTTTGTGCCGGGCGAGGTTTGTTTCTAACAAGTGACAAGTGTTGTGCAATCACTCTTGGCTAATCCGGAGAAGGTCTTCAAATTCGAGTGGCTTGAGCCTAACGGGTCGGGGTCGAGAAAGAAATTCTCCAACAACTCCGAAGCCTCTTTTACAGAAGCAAGTGAGATGAGTGTTGAAGGAGAGATGTATTACACTAGCATACGCCGCTTCGTTGTGGTCAGCACCGAGAACAATTCTAGCATCTGCGTGTAAGTGTGCTCCTTATGCTTTAATACCCCCCGTGTCTAAAGAAACCTAGCCCTATTCTCACGTATGAGGGCAGGGGCTGCAACAAGCCTGGTGTTCAGCCTGAAAACCACGGCATCGTTTACGAGCCGCCTAACTCCCCTACTCGTTTAAGGGGTGAACCAGCGCATGGCTTTGGACCAGTACGAATGCAACTTTATGCCGAAGGCGAAACCTTGGTGGCCGAATCGAGAATCAACTATTCAAAATTGGTGTCTATTGAACATAACTTCGCCGTTATGTTCATTGGGCGGATATATAGTCAGGACTTCGGTACTATCTTGGGTGCAGTGGATCATTGCTGGGCGAGAAGGAGGTGAGGCCGACGAATCAAGGCTTAGGTACTTTGCCGGTCATAGCCCGATGGAGAACGTGAAGGGAGCGAAGGATCTGACGAGGTCGGAAGAAGGGAACTTAAGTGATATCAAGTTGCTACTTGAATCATTATATCATATACGAAGTAGAATTCAAGCCACACCTGGAGTTCGGGACATCTTACAACGTGAAAATACCCAACAGTATCATAAATTGTTTAATTTGGTTCCATTCCTTAAAAACTAGATTACACCGCCCTGCCCTAAACCAAAAATAAATGCTAGCGATTGGTGAGATATGCTGATTAGACGCATTTTGAGGTCTCGTCCCCAATTTCAGGCTGAGCAAAACCACAGACGCAAACACGACCAGACCAGACGGTCCACAGATACCATGTCAATCGCTGATCTATAAAGGAGCAATAGGGAATTATCATTTACCTAGATTCACCAATAGCCAAACTTTTCAAGACGTCACCTGAAACAGGGCCGTTCAACTCTATGGTTCGATATTCAAGCTTCCCCTAAACTCCGCTTCAGAGTCATCCAGCCTAATACTACACTTGGTGGAAGAAGCGGACCTTTAACAGGCATGAACGCAATTTAGTGGTCTAGGAGAAAAGTTTTCTGGCAGATCATTGCAACATGTCTTTTCCTCATTGAACCCACATAGACAGCACGATCTATGCTGCATCCCTCACTGATGATCCATTTTAACTTCCAACGCCGAATCTGCAGCATATGTCGAAGGTCACCTAAAGCTACCGGACGTTATATAGTCACTACTTGGTGAAACTGGTGGTGATATCCACGAACCTCTCCCACTCCTTCCAAGCCGAGCCGCTCTTGACGGCCCAGCGAGCCCTCCTGACACCCTCCTTCCAGCGACCATTGCCTGGACCACGTTCCGTGATGACCTTGCCGTCGTCCCCAGGACCCATGTTGCTCGTATCCGCGTCACAGATACCGCTCGTAACAAATAGCGCAGCCGTGTTCATGAGTACAAATTCGAGGATGGGGTCATCATCAGGCACTTCGCCCTGTAGAAGCTTGCGCAGAATCTCGGCGTTCTGGTGCGGCTCTTTTCCTGGGGACACGGTGTTCAGGGGGTGCCTTGAGAGACCAAAGTCTTCCGGCGCAAGGCGGAAGTGCTCAATCTCTACCACACCGTCGGCACGCTCAACCAGTTGCCAGCACAGCGTCTCTCCGGCGCAAGAAATCTCATCCAGCTGCTCAACTCCACAGACGATCAAGCCCTTGGTGCAGCCAGTCAGGCGTAGGGCCTCGGCAAAGACCGGGCCCATGTCATCACGAGCCACTCCCAGCATCCGCACCTCGATAGCGTCGTGGAGAGGATTGGCGAGTGGTCCAAGGAGGTTGAAGATGGTGCGCCAGCCGAGTTCCTTGCGGATAGGAGCCACGTACTTCATACCCGGGTGGAAGGTAGGCGCGAATAGAAAGGCGTACTTTGTCTCCTCGTAGACCTTGGCAATGGTGTCTGGGGTAATAGTGGCCAGGGGAGCCGGTCGAGGGACCATGCACATGAGAAGATCGGCCGAGCCAGATTTTGACGTCGAGGCTCTGTTTCCATGCTTGCCAATCTGGAGGAGAGTAGACGCAATGATGGAAGACGTTGTTGAGATATTGAAGGTATTGTGGGAGTCGCCTCCAGTGCCCACAATATCGCACTGAATCTCATGTCAGCATGGTCTTTTCTTTTCTTTTCTTTTCGAAAAATATGGTACTCACAAGACCGCCTCCGTAGCGGCCCTCCTTGACGCCTTTTCTTGCGATGACCTCATTCAAAGCCTGGAAGTCGATCGGGGACGAGGCGTTCCTCATAGCGGTTGAGGCCTCGGCCAGCACGTCTGCGCGGCGGTCCCATCCCGTGAAGTGCAGGGCCGTCAGCAGCGAGCCGGTCTGGACAGGGCTGAGGTTGTTGGTAAAGATCAGGGCGATGGCAGCGGCAATCTCCTTGGCCGTCACTCGCGTCTGCTCGGGATCTGGCCAGAGCCTCTGCAGGAGAGCACGGATATCCACAATGGCGGGCTGATCCTGGCCCTGGATCGAAGCCGGTTGGGGTAGTGTCCCAGTCATTTTGGGGAGCGCCAACGGCAAAAAGCAATTGTGCAATCCGGGGTGGGATATTCAAGTCTCGCCAAGTCCAAGATCGTAGAGCAGAGTCGAGGGGTATTTGGTCCTTGGACTAAACCAAAAAACAACAACAATGGCAACAGAATGCGTCCGAGAGTCAAGAGGGTTGTCTCAGGCTCACCCACTGCGAAGTTCGAAAGATGAGTCAACTGCCAAATTCAGTTGTGTCCGTGTCGCAAGCCCGGGTGGGACCTCGAAGAGTAAGCAGCCACCCACGGTGCGTGTCAGGATTGCAGAAGGATGCAGGTTATGTGGGTAGTAAGCACGAGGCCGGTATCACATCGAGTATCGCAACCCGCAAGATCGAGAACCGGCGCAAGTCCCACGGTAGAATCCAGACGGCTACAAGGTATGTATGTATGTTCCTCTCTGGCGCCAAATGTGAGCTTGCTTGAGCTTGACTTGAGCCCAGTGGATGAGTGGCATCCCTAGCCCCGCCACAGATCTTACAGACCGCGGGGTTGCCAGGCGATTGGGGCGGTAAAGCGTGGCATTTCAGGGTCTTGGGCTGCGGAATTTGCGCCGCTTAGCGGGGTAGCCAGGGTCTGCGTCATTGTTGCAGTCGAGATTTTATTTGCTTTTTTTGCGCAGCCGTTGCGAGTCCACGAGCGGGATTAGAGACTTTTCCGTGCCTTTGTTTGTTTTTAGTTCGGCAAGAGAGCCTTTAGGAGCACTGGTGTCCCGCCAATAATCGGATCCCATCCCTAAAACACCACACCGCGACCATGGCCACCAATCCATATCTCCTCGCCGCCGACAACCCCACGGCGCTTCTTGCCCTCCTCCGCGAAAGCCCGAGCCTTGCGTCTGGCCAGGATGAACATGGATACTCCCTTGTCCACGCCGCAGCAAGCTATAACCACCTTGATCTCCTACGAGCGTTAAGCCGCGACTTCCAGGTGAACGTTAACCTGCGCGACGAGGACGACGAGACGGCCCTGTTCGTGGTCGAGACTGTTGACGCTGCCAAGGTCCTTGTGGAGGAGCTGGGTGCGGATTTGCTCGCTAAGAACGGCTCTGGACAGACGGCGCGAGAGAAGATACTAGAGGAGGCTGATTTCCCAGAAGTCGCTGAATACCTCAAGACGGCAGAGCGGGACCAAGGTGGCGATCTTCCCAACGGTAACAGCACCGACGGACAGACCGAGGGGTTGCCTCCCCCTCCAGAGGGCATGACAGTGTCTGTGGGTACCATGGCGCCCGTCGAAGAGAACGAGGGCGAGATTGACCCCGAATTCCGGAGGCGCATCGAGGAACTGGCTGAGCGCGATGACTTCCACACGGAAGCCGGCCAAGCCGAGCTACGGCAGCTCGTCCAGGACGCCATCTCGGACCGCAATCTCGCAGATCGTAATGTTCGCCAGAGGCAAGACTGACGACTTGCACTCGCCGAACCTTCTCTCACTCGTGCCCGTGGACATCCCAGAGCAGGTATTCACCGGGCGAGTTCTCGGGTCGGAGTATAGTACACTCTGTGCTGTTCCCCGTGATCTCCCTCCCGAAGGAGCTCACACTCAGTGAGAACCAGGACCGCGAAGGGAGGGCTAGTATGGTATCCACCAAGACCTGCCTCGTCCAGGCTGGTGAGATGAAGCCTTGCCAGCTCACTTTGCACAAGTCGGCCTGCTGCAGACCCCCCGGCCCCCCTGGCAAGGCGTATCGTGACAGATGAGGATCGATCTGGTCTCCTGTGTTGATTCGGGGGCTTTCAAGTCTAAGCAATGATAGCCACTCGTACAGATCTGTTCCAAACTCTTCGACATCCAAGCGATCATGTACTACAAGGGACGTCTGTGGCGGTTTGAGAGCCGGGACCATAGCATGGATATCCTCGACGATAAAGGGGGCCGAGGTATACTTGGTGGGGAAATGTTTTGCCAACGGATCAGGGTCAGGGACTACGAAGGCAAGTCAGCGGTGGCCCATCATATGTAGAGAGAAAACCCTACTTTTAGAAATGGAGCGAAATAACCAGGTGACTGGTCGGTTGAACACGTTCTTGCAGGCATAGAGTAATCTGTCGAAGCCGTTCTTGCCGGGGAAGCTTGCCGGGCTCCGTAGATCGTACTGGACCACTGTACATTGTCAACCAAAACTTCGATCTGATGTGATGCAAATGAACGTACCCCATCTGGGTTTCAGACCGCGCTTGCCTTTGACGCCGTGTGGCTGGCCGGCCAAACCGGCTCTTTCATACATCTCCTTCTCGAGGTACATAGTCAAGGTTCCTGGTATGTAGTCAGAATCCCCTCTCGATTTGTAATGCAAACTACTTACCATCTTTGATTGCAAAGACGTTATCTTGGCCGATTCTCCCCTCCGAGAGCATCATTATGTTCCCAACCTTGATATACTGCGTGAAGAACTCTCCATTAAGAATGTCCCCAAGAGTCATGATCACCCGAGAATGTGTGGGCGAATACGCATCTTGCCCGAGTTTCATCCTCAACTTCTCAAAGGATTGCTGGGGTAGAATGAGATCGACCTAGTAGAGGTTTAGAAATAGTACGCATGGATGGCCTGTCAAAACCTACTTTATGCACAAAGTCCTGTCCTAGTAATGTGCTCCATGGTTTCCCCTTCGAAGGCAGTTGCTTGGGGTCCGGGTGAGCCAATGTGCCATGCGTGAAATAGCATTTCGACGCCTGATAGACGCTGGGCGTCGGGAAGGAGATCATCTTGGCGGCAAGCGTAGCGTTGGTACACCAGGCGCACTCTCGATGTCACTCGCTGTGCCGTGGTCGAAGAAGACTGGATGTGTCGATTTTTGGGACGGGCCCGGAAGAGATGTCGATGCATCAAACGAGAAATATGCGGGTAACATGACTGGGCACTCATTGGCCCACTATGGAATCGCACGCCTAAAAAGCAACTCCCTGATTCGGACGGTTTCCGCACCAAAAATTGAGCGATGCAAGTGTGATCCGAAAGAAGCCCGCCGCCGAGTTTCTGACAACTCCAAGAACAAAAAACCCTTGTACTGGTTATGGTTCATGATAATCGCACATGGGAACGTAGCGTCGCATAATTTTCTCCCCCACGCAGCTTTCAGCACACACCCCACAGGCAGACATTCGCAGCCATGGAGTATCTCATCCGCTTCAGTCAGTCACACGAGACCTTCCGGCTCCCAGAGACCAAGGCAATCGCAGAAGTAGGTGGCATTGACATGAAAGTCATCTACTATAATCCAGAAGTAAGTCATCTTCACGGCGCCTACTGAGAGAGTATCTAAGACGCCTCACAGTCACCATATTGTGTCGTGCGCCTGCCATCGGAAGAAGCAGCGCACTTTCTCATGAGCCGGTCAATTTTGGCGCAGAGTATCCATGAACACTGGGGTACGGGGGAAAACTACGAGGTGCTGCACGAAGAGGTGAAGCGTAAGACCTCGCATCTGTGGCCCAAGTACAAAAACTCCAGCTTCAAATTCTCCTTGGACCTCTACCAAGGCACGCGGCCAAACAAGAGGAGGGTAGAACTCATCAACTCCTTCTCGTACATGCCGTTCGAAGGCGAAATCAACCTGCGTACCCCCGACGAACATTTTGTGATCTTTGAGCAGTGGGACTTCCAGGCTGTCACGCGGAATCTCCCAGATCCGTTAAAGATTCATCTCGGTCGAGTTGTTGGTGCCTCACAGAGGAAGTTGATCCACACTTTCGACTTGAAGAAAAGGGATTACATCTCGACTACCTCCATGGATTCCGAGCTGGCTCTTGTCACGGCAAACATTGCACTTGCAGGTCCGGGAAAGCTGTTCTACGATCCTTTCGTGGGCACTGGCAGCTTTCCCATTGCCTGCGCTCATTTCGGAGCTCTGGCCTGGGGTAGCGACATTGACGGGCGTAGCATTCGTGGCGACGGTGCCAAGAAGAGCCTGAAGGGCAACTTCCAGCAGTATGGGCTGTCGCATTTGATGGGGGAGGTGTTCGTGAGCGACCTGACCAATTCCCCGTTCCGGAAAAAGAGGATCCTCGACGGCATCGTATGCGATCCGCCCTATGGAGTGCGTGAGGGACTCAAGGTGCTGGGCGTGAGGGACGTCGAGAAGTATGACTACGTGATCGAGAAAGGGAAGGTCATGTACAAGTGAGTGTCTCTCTCCGACCTCGAAATTCTCCAGTCATCGGTAAGCTAAACGCAGCAGGGACGAGGACTTTGTGCCGCCCAAGAAACCGTACAGTTTCGTGGTCATGCTTGACGATATCCTTCAGTTTGCAACTGACCGCTTAGTCGACAACGGACGTTTGTCATTCTGGATGCCGACGGCCAACGACGCTGACCAGGAGATTGGCGTCCCCACGCATCCGTGCCTGGAGGTTGTCGTGGTCTGCGTGCAGGTATTCGACAAGTGGTCGCGGAGATTAATCACCTACCGCCGGCGGCCGGACTCTGAAGTCGACGCCGCCGCGCTCGAGCAATGGCAGCAGCGTACCGAAACGAATGGTGGCGTCACAGCAGACGAGCTCAACCCATTCCGCCGTCATTACTTCAATGCTTTCCGTACCCAGGCTGCGGTCGATGGTGCGACCCTCGAAGCGGTACCAAATTGAATAGACCATCAAGTTGGTAGCACTGACAAGCTGCCGGAAAAGGGTCACGCGCACGAAGGCGTAACAGTACGACTTGCGCCGTTCGTGACTGCAGCCATCGTGGCAAAGGTGTAACACTCAGCTGATCCCATCTCGATGGCTCACCGTGTCTTCAGCTTGCAGGTGGGAAATGGCTCTGTCACGTACAGTGACACCAAACACGTCAGTTGGAAGCTGGTAGCGTTTGGACCCTCCATGGCCCTTCCTCATCAAGAAGCTTTCGGGTTGCATAAAGTTCTACGCGTCAGCCCGTGCTTCCCGCAAGTCACTGCAACTGCGCTGGGACGATTCCATCTGTGCGCGCCTTGGACGTCTTCCACGCAACGGCTCCCGACTAGCAGCAACCGTTCGGTGACTGTTTGACAGGAGACATTGGCTTCACGGCAGAGAGCGCTGGTTGAGACTGATCATGTAAGTGGGGGGAAAAGAGATCGGGGTGCCTTGGTCGTCGTGAATACGGTTGATATCACTAGAGGGTTTCTATGCGGCTCCCTGCCCCGTCCAAATCCATCTGAATTGTCGCTGCGACGCGCAACCTAAACCCTCATCGCATTGCATGTTGGATCTCCCGTGCTGCACGTACTGCTGCAGACGGATTTCAGATGGTACCGCCGACTGGACTCAGCTACAACAACACCTACTAGGCTTGCTATGCTAGGATACTGCAACCGCGGCATGGCGCAAAGAGGGCGCATCTTGCTGCTGAACTCAAATGGGCGTTCTAGATAGAATTGATGGGACTATTCGGCTCACCGCCCCAAGCTGCCAATCCATCCAGAGCTACTACCTAGGAGGACTGTCTGCGCGACAATAACTACGTGCCAGGCTTACAAGCCGTGCAAGCCGTCGGGTGTGCTCTTTGGGCTGGGCTGGGCTGGGCGTCCAAGACTTTTTCTATCCCAGTGGCACCACCACCCCCAAATCCGGGGGTGGCAGCGAATCAGCTCGCCCAGCCCACAACGTCACAGGCATCTTCCGGGACCCATCTGGCGCCCCTCTCCCCCATGAAGTCAAGCGTCATCGCCTGCAGCTTGCTTGAATCAGGTCGCCCTTCTCCTTTGATCCCTCGCTGGGCCCATCTCCAAGTCCAGACTCCCGAAGGTTGCGGGAGCCGGAGCACTCGTGATTCATTCATTCATCGACCCTTCTCCCTACCCGCCGCCGTCGTATTGTCAGTTCAGGGCCCATGGCGCTGGCTGTCAGTGTGTAGCATGCAATAGGAAGAATCTGTGGTCCTCCTCCGGTACTTGGCTCTGCCGATCAAGCGCATTCCACTGCACCATTATCTAAAAGATCGCCCGCCTCTCTCCTGAGTCGAACGGCCCGCTCGTCATTGTTCGCTTGGTGCACCCTGGGCAGCACAAGTCCGAGGAGCACGACCTCATCCCATCACCTCGATCCATTAACGGCCGACGGCGCATCGCCTCAGCTCAGGGACCAACAAGAGGCTCAGCCGCCTTATCGCATCACCTTGCGATTGCACTCAGCTATTACCATACCACTCAGCGCGCCCTTCCTTCTACCTTGTCGTTACTACCTATTGTTCGTGACTTTGATACCGGGCGGTCAACTCTATTTGTACTGAAGTACTCGGGCTCCATATACACCAGCCGACATCGCGCCAGCCGCGTGCCATCAACGGCAGGTTGTTGTAGCATTGCCCATTGACTACTAGACTCCTACAACATCAATCGAGGATGCCGACGCCATCGAGCAACCCACCGCCTGAGCTGCCGCCCCGATCGCACAGCTCATCGTGCCCAGACGAGCTACGTGCATCCACATCCTCGTGGCGACCTGATCAGCACGAGGTGGGAGTCGACGAGATGCATGTAGATAGCGACTCGGCTGCGTCTCCCGAGTCCGTCAGCGCGCCTTCGCTGGCGTCGACGGCTACCATCCTGGCGGAGGACGTCGACATTGATTCCTCGACAGACTCGCCCAGGCCCGAGTCTCGGAGCGGCGGCGAAGCATCACGACACACATCCGAAGACACAGAAGTTGACGAGGGCCCGTCACAGTCAAGCAGCGGCAGCAAGGCTGCCGAAACCGATCATGCAACGACGGCGGCGGAGGACGGGCCCGAAGACCTGCGGAAAGCTACTGCATCGGACCGGGGCAGCGCGGCTTTCGACATGGCCTCCCCAACGAGTGCGGACGGCACCAAAACGGAAGACAGGACCGTGTCAAGTGCCAAGATGCAAGACGACTACTTTGTACCACAGATGGGCTATGAGTATTCCAATGTTCGGGTGAGCATATCACAAGGTTAAACCTCCTGAAGACCCTTTCGACTAACACGAGATCTAGATAATGCCGACAACGACATCCTCGTACCTGCGCCCAGGAAGCAAATTCCACGGCACGCAGCAGTCGGAACGACAAATCTACGACGTACAGGTAGAAATCAAGTACGTCGATCTGCGGGAGTCGTTCTTATGCGGCTACTTGAAGATACAAGGTCAGTCAAGATCCAGCGACAGTGCATCCTCGTCATACAGCTGGCGCGTTACACCCGTGCACACCCCCGTGCTGCCCTCTAAGACAAGCCACCCACTGACGCGGGAACTCTAATTCAGGCCTCACGGAAGACAACCCCACGCTCACAACATACTTTGAGGGCGAGATCATCGGGTCGCGGTACAGCTTCGTGACCGGCCACCCGTCGTGGGGCGCCACCGAGAAGGTCGACATCAGCCACTGGAACAAGTTCAGCGCGTTCCGGCCGTACGCGAAGACGGTCAAAAAGGGCGGCCACGTGACGATTCCGAACCTCGCGAGCAGGGATAACATCTTCATGCGGTGGAAGGAGCACTTCCTCGTGCCGGACCATAGAGTGCGCACGATCAACGGTGCTAGCTTCGAGGGCTTCTACTACATCTGTTTTAACCAGCGCGAGGGCAGCGTCTCTGGCATCTATTTCCACGCCAAGAGCGAGAGGTAAGTCCAACCCAGCCGCACCCCCGAGGGGAAACCCACTAGCTCGGCACGGTACTGACAGCGTCATCAGGTTTCAGCAATTAGAGCTCAAACACGTCGAGGATAGGGGCTGCTTCGGGGCCATGGAATTTCGATGAAGCCGGCGGTTGGGGAGACGACACATAAGCACTGCCGAACGCATCGTATATATGGGGAAGTCGTTCGTTATACATGACATGGTGAACAATTGCCCGAAGACATGTCTGGGGTGTCGAGGTGGCCGTTCATTTTTTCCATCCACCATTGGTCTTTTCAGGGGGGGAGAAAGATACCAACCGCGGGCGTTAACTTGGCATGATGATCACTTTGACGATGCAGACGATGAGAGTGTTGACCCGGAGTATAAGGGTGCGGACCAGGCAGGCCACGCAGAGCCGAGTGGTGGTGCACAGGACATACGGCACAGGGCATGTTAGCTCTGCGCAAGGAGCCAGACTATCAGGTAGGGCCAGAAGCGTCTGGAAGAGACCCTTGGAGTGGTGAACCGGGTTTACTATTTAGCCACGAGGTTAAGCTAGTCGACCAATCATGGAATTGCACGGTTGCTGCAATGTTGTTCGAGTGTCTTGTGTTGGACGTGCAACGACCTGTAGAGTGTGAGGTTCACAGAGCCCTGGTTGGAGTACTACTGCAAGTAGCTGACGGTCGCCTGTGCCATGTGTGTCAACTAAAGACTGTCACGGTTGCCCGATCCAGTGGATGTCATCAGAGGAAGCTCGTATACCTGGGATTCGGTTCAAATATCATTATTGGCGTTTCCCGTTCATCTTGGCGGCGCCTGGGGGTATATATTTAGAGGAGAGCCTGCCTCGTCGCTGCCATCCTACTGTAGAGTCGACGAAGCTGGCGCTGAGGAGAAGCCTTCCTCGTGGCTCAATTGTTTTCTACTTCACCGCACTTTTCTTCTGCCAGACGGGGACCATTCGGCGCACATGCCATCACCCATGTCGGTGATCTCCATACTGCAGTATATGGCCACTTGACTTCTCCCCTTCCGTTCCAGGTCAACCCTAGCCATGCCCAGCCAAGCAGGTTCTCTCTCTCTCCCCCACAATGCTTAGATTTGCCTCTTGCCAACCAGGCCCCGGGTGATCACGAGATGGGCTTGATCTTAAAGTGCAGCGAGGTGAGGCTGAAGACGAGGGCCTTGAGGTCCTGGACGAGGTAGTAGAAGACGCGCAGGCCCTCGGGGTCGGCGGACTCGGTGACGTCGATGAGGGAGCCGATCTTGGCCGTCTCGAACGAGATGTGGTCGTTGCCGAGGCGGATCTCGAGCTCCTGGCGGCCGTCCTTGTTCTTCTGGGGCCACTTGGCGTCGTCCTCCTTCATGATCTCCGAGGCGCGCACGATGCGGCGGATCTCGTCGACGACCAGGGCCGAGACGCACATCTCCTTGCGGATCAGGCTGTCGTTGCGGTAGTTGCTGTTGTTGGCGTAGCGCGCGACGGCGGACCGCCCGTCGCCGACGACGCGGAAGTCGAACTCGAGGAACTCGTGGCCGAAGCGCCCGCTGTGGCCGGAGCTGCAGGTGGGTGTGTGTTAGTCTACATCTTGTGTCTTGGGAGGGTCTTCTTCTGTGAGAGTGGAGGGCGCATTGCATACTAGTAGCGCAGATAGAAGGGCTCGCCCGTAGAGCCGGCCATCTTGTCTGATATATCTTGGCCTCGAGGCTTTGACAGGTGTTCGAGAAAGAAGGAGGAGGTGGTGGGCGCGGGATGCGTCGCAGCGGGTTTGTCGTGATGTGTGGCTGTATTACAGCTACGGCAGCCAACCTCGATATAGGTAATCGCCGGCTGCTGCCACTGTCCACTGTCGGCGGGGCAGAATGGGATGGCAGTTTGGGGGGGAGGGGATGCCCACCAGCCACCAGCCTGGTGGCCCGTGGAAAGGCGGTCACAGCTCTGGGCTACTGGGCCGTTAGCAGGGAGGTGCCTAACAAGTCACCGCCGGCAGGGGTTCACTCGGGTTCCACGGGTAAGACAACTGAGATTTGACAGCTGAACTCACTGAGGCTGAAGCTTTGCGGGCCACCAGAGCACCCAGCATTCACCTGTCAACTGTGGCTTGGATTGGGGGGTGCCACCTCTGGATCCATCCATCCATCCCTCGTGCCGGAGTCGGATTATCCTGTCGTCCCCCCAAGCCCACCTCCAGCTGGCCCGATCCAATCCCACGACCCCCCTGTCCAAGGTTTAGGGAGAGAGAGACAGAGGGACCCAGGGGACAGCACATCGTTTACCCAGTTGTGTGTGGTGTGGCCATCCAAAGCAGCCTCCTGTGGATATTTCGATGCTGGCCCGTCTGGGGACCTGAACCCATCTCGTCCGTCAACACCATCCTCCACCCGCCAATTCCCCAGCACCGACGACCCTCGCCCTGGGATGCAAAGCCGCATTGCATTCCACCTGCCACTCATCACCCATTGAGGCCTGCCCACTGTTGCGACCCGACCTGCGACCCCTCCAGGCGCATCTCACACCGATCCAGTCTCCGTACTAGGACTGCTACTAGTACATACGTGGACACAAGGCAACGCAACGCAACGCACCCCCCGATAGAGACGACCACGATCACACAGAGTCTCCCGTACCACACACGGACCTGGCCACCGTCACCCCCCATCACCGCCACTGAACGCCGTGGGTGACGAGACTCGGCCTCGAGGACAACCTTCCCGAAGACCACACATACGCAAACCCCCCGTCTGACATCGCGGTCGAGTGCCGCCCCCCTCTCTCTCGCCCACCATGTCGACCTTCCTGGAGAACGCCTACAGCTTGGTCCACCAGGACAATGCCGCCGACGTGCCCTCCATGTCCGAGCTGCGCACCCAGCTCGAGAAGGGCACCGACGAGAGCAAGGTCGAGACCATGAAGCGCATCCTGACCATCATGCTCAACGGCGACTCCATGCCCCAGCTGCTCATGCACATCATCCGCTTCGTCATGCCCTCCAAGTACAAGCCCCTGAAGAAGCTGCTGTACTTCTACTACGAGATCTGCCCCAAGCTCGACGCCCAGGGCAAGCTCAAGCAGGAGATGATCCTCGTCTGCAACGGCATCAGGAACGACCTGCAGCACCCTAACGAGTACATCCGCGGCAACACCCTGCGCTTCCTGTGCAAGCTGCGCGAGCCCGAGCTCATCGAGCCCCTGCTGTCCTCGGCCCGCTCCTGCCTCGAGCACCGCCACGCCTACGTCCGCAAGAACGCCGTCTTCGCCGTCGCCTCCATCTTCGTCCACTCGCCCTCCCTGATCCCCGACGCCTCCGACCTCATCGCCGCCTTCCTCGAGGGCGAGAGCGACGCCACCTGCAAGCGCAACGCCTTTGCCGCCCTGTCCAGTATCGACCACGACAAGGCCCTGGCCTACCTGAGCGGCGTCTTTGACGGCATCCCCAACGCCGAGGAGCTGCTCCAGCTGGTCGAGCTCGAGTTCATCCGCAAGGATGCCTTCCAGAACTCCCAGAACAAGGTATGCGCCCCCTCCCGAGCGAACTGCCACCGCGAACCTACTGACTGACCCTTGGTTGCATAGGCCCGCTATCTGCGCCTCATCTTTGACTTGCTCGAGGCCAACACGTCCACCGTCGTCTACGAGGCCGCCTCTTCGCTCACGGCCCTGACCAGCAACCCCGTCGCCGTCAAGGCCGCTGCGGCCAAGTTCATCGAGCTGAGCATCAAGGAGGCCGACAACAATGTCAAGCTCATCGTGCTCGACCGCGTCGAGCAGCTGCGAAACAAGAACGAGGGTGTCCTCGAGGACCTCATCATGGAGATCCTGCGTGTTCTGTCCAGCCCCGATATCGACGTCAGAAGGAAGGCCTTGGCCATCGCCCTCGAGATGGTCTCGAGCAAGAACGTCGAGGAGGTCGTGCTGCTGCTGAAGAAGGAGCTCTCCAAGACTGTCGATCAGGAGTACGAGAAGAACGCCGAGTACCGACAGCTGCTCATCCAGTCGATCCACCAGTGCGCCATCAAGTTCTCCGAGGTCGCCCCCAGCGCCGTCGAGCTCCTGATGGATTTCATCTCCGACTTTAGCAACACCACTGCCGTCGATGTCATCAACTTTGTGAAGGAGGTCGTCGAGAAGTTCCCTAAGCTGCGCCAGTCCATTATTGCGCGCCTGGTGGCCACCCTGAGCGAGGTGCGCGCCGGCAAGGTCTACCGAGGTATTGTGTGGATCATCGGTGAATACTCCCTCGAGGAGGGCGATATCCGGGATGCCTGGAAGGGTATCCGTGCCAGCCTTGGCGAGATTCCCATCCTGGCCTCGGAACAACGACTGCTGGATGCCGGCGACGAGGAGAAGGAGGAGGAGCAGGTCAATGGCCACTCCAAGCCTGCACAGCCCTCCGGCTCGAGACGAGTACTGGCAGATGGAACGTACGCCACCGAGACTGCGCTCACAAGCTCTGCAGCGGCTGCGGCCAAGCTGGAGGCTGTCAAGGCGGCCCAGAAGCCTCCTTTGCGACAGCTCATCCTCGATGGCGACTACTACCTGGCCACTGTTCTGTCGGCCACCCTCACCAAGCTCGTCATGCGCCACTCCGAGATATCAAAGGACGTGGCCCGCACCAACGCCCTGAAGGCCGAGGCCATGTTGATCATGATCTCGATCATCCGTGTCGGCCAGTCACAGTTCGTCAAGGCCCCCATCGATGAGGACTCGGTCGACCGTGTCATGTCTTGTGTAAGATCTCTCGCCGAGTTCTCGCAGAAGAAGGAGCTCGAGACCGTGTATCTTGAGGATACCCGCAAGGCCTTCCGCGCCATGGTGCAGGTAGAGGAGAAGAAGCGTGCTGCCAAGGAGGCCTTCGAGAAGGCAAAGGCTGCTATCCAGGTAGATGATGCCGTGCAGATCCGCCAGCTGTCCAAGAAGGCGGTGGGTGACGGTGCCGATGAGATTGAGCTGGACCTCGAGAAGGCCACAGGAGGTGACGCCCCGGCAGAGGATCTCTCTTCCAAGCTTAGCCGCGTTGTGCAGCTTACCGGTTTCTCGGATCCGGTCTACGCTGAGGCATATGTCAAGGTGCACCAGTTTGATATCGTTCTTGATGTCCTCCTCGTCAACCAGACTACCGAGACCTTACAAAACCTCTCGGTGGAGTTCGCGACATTGGGTGACCTCAAGGTCGTGGAACGACCGACGACACAGAACCTGGGCCCCCACGATTTCCACAACGTTCAGTGCACCATCAAGGTCTCGTCAACAGATACCGGTGTGATCTTTGGCAATGTCGTCTACGATGGTGCCCACAGCACGGATACCAACGTTGTTATTCTGAACGACCTGCATGTCGACATTATGGACTACATCCAGCCGGCAACTTGCACAGAGACACAGTTCCGCACCATGTGGACCGAGTTCGAGTGGGAAAACAAGGTCAACATTAACTCCAAGGCCAAGACCCTCCGCGAGTTCCTAGACGAGCTGATGAAGTGCACCAACATGAACTGCCTCACTCCCGAAGCCAGCTTGAAGGGTGACTGTCAATTCCTGAGCGCCAACCTTTATGCCAGAAGTGTATTCGGTAAGTCTCAACTCAGCCTTCGATCCGCTTTGTGCCGTTTGGACAGTGTGCTAACAAAACCCCAGGCGAGGATGCTTTGGCCAACCTGAGCATTGAGAAGGAGGGAGATGACGGCCCCATCACCGGTTTCGTCAGGATAAGATCCAGATCGCAGGGCCTGGCCTTGAGCTTAGGCAGTCTAAAGGGGCTGAACAAGATTGGGTCTACGGCCTAGATGCAACCACGCCATGGGGAATACGCATGGGATGGGAAATGGTCAAAAAGCACGATGTAATGACGTTGGGCAGTAGAGAAAACAGAGCAACAGCCCCATATAGCCATATCACACTTGAGGAAACCAAGTTTCGGTTGCGAGACGTTGAGTCGCGCGTCTAGAGCGCGGGCATAGAACTTGGAAGAAAAGGGGGCTTGAGGCACGCTCCGACGCCGTGGGAGGGAGTTCCGACTGGGATATCTAGATCAAATGGAGTTGCATTCACAATATGGAACCCTGACTTTGGCCGTCGTGGTTTTTATGACTCTTGGTCGTCCTAGATCCGATCGGGCGGTGTCTGAACGCACACAGCGAGCGGCCTTTGCTGTTGTCTCGAGAGCAAGTAAGTGATACATTCTCTCTCATGGGCAACTGGCATTCACTTTGACTTGGTCATGTCCGGCGTTAATCTGCAGGATATCAAACAAGTCTATTGCAACATAACACAAAGGTCGGAACTATTTTCATACTCATTACGTACTCCCAGCCAGGACTGGAGCTAATTGCGCAGTAGAGAGTCCTGGTCTGGGTTCTCAAGATTCCTCAGAGGTATGCCTGCGTACTCGTTATTCCCACAGTCTCCCCGCAACAGCCTTACGTGTACACCCGCAGCGTCCTTCTCCATCTCGCTCGCCGTCATCAAGGGGCCCCGATGCGCTGACGAGGTCGGGCCGGATGGCACCCCCAGACTACTCGCCCCGTCCCCGTCCACGAACCGGTCCTTGTAGTAAAGCAGCGGCAGCAGATTGCCCTTCCAAACCATCTCCTCGTTGCGGTGGCGCAGGCTGCGCAACACGACCCAAACCAGGGCAAGCATCTCGAGCGCCAGCAACGCGATTGGGAAGATCATCCAGCGCCAGTCGATGACGACGAAGGGCGCCGTGCGCAGTGCGACGCCGTCGACGCGGTTGACCATGCCCAGGACGGCCTGCTGCTGCTGGCCCTCCCCCTCCCCTTCTGGGGCATCAGCCGAAAGCCCGAGCCCGAGTCGAAACTGCCGCGTCGTGGCCTCGGCGAACGCGGCCATTCGGCCCGTCACCGAGGCCGGCGTCGCACGGCTCAGCTCCCAGAACTGCGCCAGCCAGTAGGCGTCGTCGCAGGTGATGCTCTCGCCCTGCCGCGTGTCCCAGCTGCACGTGCCCGTCAGCACCCGCGACGACAGGAACCCCGACACCATGTGCGCGAAGAAGGTGTTGAACCGGAACACGCACTGCGGCGGCACCCGGCCGCCGGGGTATCCGGCCGCCGCAGCATCGGGGGATAGGACGCGGACGTCGGTCGTGGCTCCCGCCCCAGCCGTCGAGAAGTTGCCCGCGTCGTAGACGCTGCCGTTGACGAGGCACGGCGACTGCACAGCCGCCAGATGCGCCTCGGACCCCGGGACGTTCCCGGCGACGCCCACATACGGCGAGTTCTCATCGGTCAGGTCCGTGCCTGTGTAGTTGCCGACGTCTGGGTACATGGGGACCTCATGCAGCAGGGTCTCGACCAGGCGGCCATTGCTGACGGCGCCCGCGTAGGCGCGCACGCACGGGTACAGCGAGCAGGCGACGGCGACGGGCCGGCTAGGCCGGTGCTCCTCGGCGCCCGGCGGCCACGTCGAATACGCGAGCGTCAGCACCGTGACGTTGACCAAGGCCCAGCGGAACGCGGCCGCCTGGTCCTCCGGGATGACGGGCTGCGCCCAGCTCAGGTTGCGCGTCGGCTGCACCGTCAGCCAGTTGGCCCGGTCGAAGGCGGTCACGTTGACGCCGTTCGGGAGCATCCAGACGTCGGGCCCGGGGACGCTGCTATTGCCGTGGGCCTTGGTAACCAGGGACCCGACGTCGGCGCAGGCGCTGCACATGCCGGCCGTGGCGTGGGTGACCTCGCTGTCCGGGTGGTACTCGGCGCCCGTCTCCCAGCTGGGGAAGGTGCAGTTCCCGGACGTGCAGCTGGGCACGATGGCCGAGTCGTTGCTGCTCGGGTTCGCCAGGGCCGTGAGCAGGCGGGCGCGGACGTCGGACTTGAACGTGAACATGCCGAAGCCGCCGGACCCGCCCAGGTCCCGGTAGTAGGTGTTGTTCCCGTCGACGGCGCGCGCGATCGGGAGCGAGGCCGTGCCGCCGGACAGGTTGGACTCGCGCGTCGCGGTGCCCAGGGACTGCTGGGTGAAGGGCCCGACGGCGAACGACACGACGATGACGAGGGCGCCGACCAGGGCCGGGACGCTGCGCCGGGCGGCGATGGGCAGGGCGCGCACGGCGCCCCAGACGCTGTGGCTCGCGCTGTTGAGGTACTGCAGGTGCAGCAGCGGCATGGCCGCGGGCGCGGACCAGAAGGCGACCCATTTGGACTGCGCCACCACGTTGGCGGCGATGGCCACCATGACGGCCCGGTAGATGGTGGACAGCAGGGCGATGGTCGAGTTGAGGTTGAGGAAGAAGGACCAGTCGTCGACCGCCCGGTTGTTCTGCCGGATCAGGAGCGCCATCATGGCGGCGAACAGCCCCAGGGCCGTGACCAGGGCGACGAAGTCCCACTTCCACGCCGCGAGCACGCTGAGGCTGCTCCGGCTCGTTCTGTAGGCGGGGGGAAGTTGGTGGCCATCGTGTAAGGGGCTAGGCGAGGTTACTGGAACCGGCATCGACTGTGCTGAGAGATGGGGTTTTGGAGTCTCTTGGTCGACGAACCGGCCGTCCTGGCCCGCCGAGTGATATGCAGACATTATAGTTAAAATGTCAGACAAGAACTTGGCTCATCCGACCACTGGCCTCGTCGCGTCCAGGATCGTAGCGGAATACTTGAAAAGATGAAAATGACTTCCAGAAATAAGAGACCCTATGAAAGGGAGATGTCGTGGAAGAGAAAGGATACTAAAAGTGCAAGCAGAAAATAAAAATAAAAATGAAAATTTGGTACCGTATACACCGTGAGCACTACATGACGAGCGGGCGCAGCTGAAGGCGGTACACACGAGGAGTATACGGCAACTGCATCCACATAGCATCGCCCGTATGAGTGAGATCTCACCAGTCGTCGAGACAGCTAAGCATGGAAAATTCTTGGCAGGGCAGGAATGGTCCAATCAAACGGATGGAACGCTTTTTCTTTTTATTGTTTCAAGGTATACCACAAGAAACATGTTGCCTACTTTGGCAGATTTTAGTGGGCGTCTCCTGTGAGATTTCCCCCTGATAAGCGCACATTTTGCCCCTACCTAGACGCCAGCGTCGACGTCGCCAGAGCGTGGAACTCACGCTCGTCAAAACGTTGATGGATACAGCATGTGAGCCCCTTTGTAACGCAGAATATGTTGGCCAATTGCTCCTGCTCGCCACGTGTCCGCCTGTCGATATTCCAGCTGCATCCGGAACCTCGCGATCGCCTTCACGACGCAGTATGTTGTGTTATTGTGGGCGGCAGCTTCCGTCGATCTTCGATTCTGCACACAAAGAGCCACGGTCCACAGTGACCAGGCGACAGGTCAATTATTTTGATGATTTCTCTTGTTTTTATCTTGGAATTCAACTCCTCCATGCAGTGACCCTCTACTCATAGACTACCGACAGCCTCGAGCCGTTAGGACTCTAGACCAACGACCGTGGCACCTGAGCCGTCGAGTTGAAGGTGTCGTCGTGGCCCATGCTGCGCATATCGTTCTGCCTCAACTGCCTCGCAAGAGACTGTGTTGATTCTACCGACACCCGGTTGTGCGGCACGCCGAGTCCTGCGAGATCTCCTTCTTCCTTGTTTGCCCGGTCGTGGTGATGTGCCTGCTGCGGTGGCTTGACGCCGGCGCCGCCCGTCCTGTTCGATGTGGTGCTATGGTCGGCCATGCCATAGTCGTCCAGCTCCTGGGGGTCCTTGGTCCACTCCTGGTTGTCTCGTTTCGTTCTCTTGCGGTGGAATATGAAGAGGACAATGAGCAGGGCGAGCAGTAGTAGGCCACTATGCAGTTGACCCACGTTAGTAAACCCATGATCGCGCTGGCATGGAAAACAGACGGGACCCGCGGAGAGGGCGGGAACCGCATACCGACACTTACCCTATGGCTCCAAGGACAATGTAAGTGACGCTCGAGGAGATGGCTGGCTTCTCACAGGAATCGCCGCCACCGGCATTGGTGCAGTCATCGCGCACGAAAATGCGATGAGAAAGCATGTTGGGCGGCTGTGTTTTATTTTGCAAAGGAAGGAGGAATTTCGAGGTTCGGTTGAATGTCGTTCTATGTCTGGAATGCGAAGCTGCGTTTCGAAAACGGTAGTGCTGGGAGTGGGTGGGTAGGCGGGCGCAGCTATGGCGGACAATGGAAATGGTACGGGACGGATTACGGAAGAATATGTACGGTCGGCGGTGTGGATATGGATGCTTCAATAGTTGGAGTTTGGGTATCTGAGTGTCGTCGTCGCAATGGCAGTGTGATGTGTCTGTTCGTATACCGGGCTTTGGAGTCTAGTGAAGGATAATGAAATGAAGACGTGCTGCACCGTGCCGAGGGCCGCAAGCAGCGTGTTGTAATATTACAACGGAGCCAAAAGCGCACCAAGCCCCGATAGAAATACTGCAAACCTCCCCCCTCTCTGAACGGAAGGGCGAGGAGGAAGGCCGTGTGTAAGAGATGCTGCGCGGGCGTGTGTAAGTATGTCTGTATGTATGTGCGAGAGAAAGTCAATCAAGAAGCGGAAGTGAAAGTTGGCAAGTACAGGGTGACGATGATGTCCGGCGCTGAGTGATCGACCTGATTTCCAATCCCCCTGAACTCTGAAGGGAGAAATGGCCGGCAGCCCAGTCGTATGAAGCTCCCTTGCGGTAAATGAAAAACACGCGACAAGTTTCAATTCCGTCATGGGCGGGAATGAGGCCTCGGGCAGTCTGAACCTCTGGCTGCTTGGGAGGGCCTGGGGGGGCTTGGGGGCTTGGGGGGGGAGGGCACGGGAAGGGATCTGGCTGCATGAATCGAGCCCCTGAGAATGCTTCTAGTGGCCGGCCCCGGGCATGTGATTGGGCAACGGCGCCAGGGCCAGCTGTTTCGGCTAACGGTCACTGGCCAGACGCGCCGAATTACCGTCTGCAGTGGCCTGCGAGGCTGCGCGCCCCCGGTGTACCACGAGACCCTGGAATTAGGGCGGTGCAGCGCGGTGCGACCCTAGGCCAAGGTCCACGGGCACGACGGGGTACCTTCAGGGAAGTAGTTACGCGTTCCTGTCCGCTGATTAGTGGACCCCATCCCTGTCGTGCCCCCCAAGAGTCCGGGGAAGCTTGTCAATCTCTCGAGTGTTGCTTGTCTGCAGTCTGTCGCAGCAGTCGTCCTTGGCCGTCTGAACTTGGAGTCCTACTGCACGAGATATCGGACCATGATGTCACAGGAAGGCAGCATCACGATGGTGCCATCATTGTAACCTCGAACGCTGTCATCGACATGTCTACCAATGTTTGCTGGCAATGTGCAGACATGTGAGTGGAGAGGTGTACTCTCACCACCACCATTCGCCTATTTCGTGACTAAGCGGCTTTTTGGCCAAGCACGCGCACACTCGCTCGTGGGATCCGAAATTAAGTCGGCATTGGGAAAAGCCATTATATCTACATCTTTCTACCTGCAGAGATTGACGTTCGCTTTCTGCGCCATGATGCAAAACTAAAGATTGGGCTGCTAGCGCGGCTTCAAGCATCCGCCGCCTTCCGAAGCTCGTCGTATCTCAGCACACTATTGAGCACAACTTGGGTCCCTAGTGCACAGTCCTCCGGGGTTGAGTACTCAGCTGGATTATGGCTGACGCCGTCGCGGCAAGGAATGAAGATCATGGTGGTAGGACACCGCCGGCTTGCATAGACGCTGTCGTGCCCTGCTCCCGATGAGATATCACGGACCAACTCCTTCGTCCGGTCCCCAAACACATCCGACGTGGCCTCCCTCACACATCTGATGCAGTCCTCATGGAACACTGTTGCTGAGGTTGCGCTGTCCGTTGTCCATGACACCTTGAACTCGTTGCGGCCGGCAGTACCACCTGCACGGAGGTCTCCAACATCTTGCCCGGACGCGAGGGTGGCGAAATCGCGCTTCAGATCCGCCTCTACGGCCTCGACGGTCTCGTTCTTGGGCGACCGCACGTCGAGTGTGAAGCGAACAAGCCCAGGTATTGTATTTGTCGAACCCGGCAAGGCCGTCAGGATGCCGGTCGTCACCAGTGCCGAGTGCTTCGTTGCGATCCGGTGAGAGTGCAGGATGAACTTGCTGGCTAGCAGCAACGCGTCACTCCGGTTGGCCAGGGGCGTTGTGCCGGTATGGGAATCTAGATGGCGCAACAGTGAGCTCCAGCATCATGGCGCGGGGATAAATACTTGACCGACCTTTTCCTTGAATCTCGACTGTGAACCAGTTGTAAGCCTGGACACCTTGCACGACGCCAATCTTCCGCCGCTCAGCTTCCAAAGCAGGACCCTGCTCGATATGGAGCTCGAAATGGGCCGCCATGGGCATGCTTTCATAGCTTGCCGGCGTCTGACCCAAGTAGCCAATTCGTTCGAGTTCCTCTCTGAGAGTTACCTGGTTCCCAATCACCGACCGCAGATTATACGCGTCTTCGAGCGGGAAGAACCCAGACCACACCCCCGAACCCATCATGCTCACCGGGAAGCGAGCGCCCTCCTCGCTATGAGCCGTCAGATGTAAGACGTTGTGCTTTTTGAGCGGGAAGATAGCTTACTTTGTCCAATTCACAACACCGACAGCATACTCGGTCTGGATCTCGCTCTCGTGTAAAACGCGCAGCATCTCGATCCCCGCTTGGACTCCGAGAACACCGTCATATCTTCCTCCTGTTGGCTGCGTGTCAAGATGAGAGCCCACGAACGTTGCCGGACCCTCCTTCTTGCCAGGTCGTACAGCAAAGATGTTGCCGATCGCATCCACAGTAATATGGCAGCCCAAACTACGTGTGGTATCGACAAACCAGTCCCGTGCTTCCTTATCAGCATCCGAGAGCGTGAGTCGTGACATACCCGTATCAGTCGGACGTTCGCCCCATCGAGCTCCTGTCCCCCAACGGGACGTGTAGTGGATAGTCTCCATTAAGCGGTCCTGCTGGACCCGAAGTTGACTGAGCCTGGGCTGGGCACTTGTAGATGCTGAAGCCAGCTTCCTTGTCGCTATGGAGCCATACCGTGGCAGACTTCTCCCAGGCACTGCACGTTGCAGCAGCGGCACCGTCGGCCTGACTTGTGCAAGGCACCTCATCTTTGCTCTCGTACCGTTACCTACACCGGCCTTTGTTAGCAATCCTCTGATGCCACAATCAGATACGCATGGTATAGATACCAATTGTAAGGCACTGTCCCAAACTAATATAGACGCG